GCGTTTCCCGAAAATAGCAACTCTTGCCAAAAATAGGGATGAGTTATCTTATGGGGTGGGGCATCTTTAGGCATATTGCAGTAGTCACTAAAATTGTCTCCAATTTCAGCAGCCATGATACTTATACTCACTTAATTTAGAACTCTGCTAGCCATTATGTGAGCTGTGAGTATGAGGAGGGTGAAGTCACAACTGAAACATCCTCACTAAGTTCCAGTTTCATCTATAAGAAATTTAAAATATATTTTTTCTAAACCATTAACAATTATTTATTTGTGAAAACTCTGAGGGAACCTTCCGTCTTACGGCATTTCAACATGACCCATCACCCCAAAAAATAAGGAAAGATAAATGATAACAAAAGTAAAGCTAGGAAAATAAATCGGTCGACAAAACGGTGAATTTGCGTAAATTGTTGAAAGCGAACATCTATCTAAGTCGATTCTTCCCAAAGCTTAAACTCGCCTATGCAAAAGTGGCAGGACACAATCTGTTTGTTTTTAGTTGGTTGCCTGCAAATTTCCATTTGTAGCAGCGAAAAGCTCCAATTGCTCGTATAAGCGGAGATATTAATTGAAATTCCTTCTTCAGGAAATGGCCATTCATAGCAGAAGACCGTTTTTTGCAGCAGAACTCCTGCCACCTGTTTTCGCCTGCCTTAAGGTATTAAATCCAAAAGACTCTCACTTCTTGAGGAGCTGTCAATTGAACAATGCTCCCATATATCAAAACTACTTAAACCATTCAATATACAATACATTTTATTCTGTATTTTGAACATTTTTTTTAAATTTATTTTTCTACAAATGTCAAAGAGGCTTGTGCACGGGTCACGGCAGTAGCAATACTCGGAAAACAAATAACGAGAACACATTTTGGGTGTTAAAAAAAATAAACTAGATAAATTCAAATAAAATATATGTGCTCACAGATAGTGATAAGCCTATACCATCGTGCTGATAAGTAAAAAGAAAGCAAATTTTCTGACATGATTGCCTAAAGGCCAAAGTACACTTCATTGAATGCTTTCTTTCTGCTTGTTTCCTGTGCTCTCTTGGAGAGGGCATGTACACCCAGTTCCCTCTTCCCTTACTCCCTCATCATTAGGTGAGAAAATAAAACCAAGTGAATCTCCACTGCTCCCAAATGTGCGGAAAAACTGATCTCGAAAAACAGAAAAAACATGCTGAAACATTTTTTTCTTTAAAGTTTATGGCTTGCTAGGTATGTGGGCAGACTTCACTTCGAAATATAAAAGAAGTTGTGTGGCACTATTCACAAGCAGCCAATGTGAAAGCAAGGCAAGTGGCCAATAAACTAGCTGGAAAACATAAAGAACCCACAGCAACAGGAATTTTGAAAACCGGCTCTATAGAACAGTCAGTAGCAGACGACGGAAGCTGCACAGGCGATCGGGCAAGGGCAGCTGCATGACTGCCACAGTTCCTGAGATTTCACCTACTGGTCTACTAGCTGTGGGCTTAGCCAGGCTAGTCTTTCAAAGCTGCTACACTCATATTGGCTTGTTACCGAGGTAAGGGGAACAAAGTCAAGAACTTCCACCGAGGATGTGAACAACGGGAGTGCCATCTTCACTGTATTTTCGTTTCCTCCTGCTTTGTTTAGTTCTGTCTCCTTCGTGCATGTTACTTTTTTCCGGGGATTTCTAGCCGTTGTGCACCTGTCACCATGCCGCACTTTTGGGTTACATTGGATTGGCTACCCACTCCAAAGAGATTAGCATGATCTTTTTGGAGTGGGTAGCCAAGCTGTCACAAGATTAGCATGAGCTTAATACTGGGCTTGCACCTTCATGTATAGTTCAAAATCAATTGCAGGACCCCTTTAAAAGCAAAACCACCAAGTTTTATGACATCCTTCTGGAAATCCATAACTAATGGCATATTTCTTGCTCTTCATGACATACTCTGAGGAAATGTGTTGAAGTGCCAAGCACCTACAGCTCGTATTTGAAAAGGTGATTTCAAAGCGAAAGACGGGCTATGAGCAATGTTTGATCTAGAAACAGTTCATACACAACTAATGGTCACCCTTGTCAACAATTTCTCTCTTTCTTCAAACACGGCACAGTCTCCTCGGAGTCATGTAGCAGCAACATTTATCTAAGATACATGATGGGGAAAACAGCTCAGAAAACACGGACTATGAAGAGGAACATGCACGAAAGGACAAAATAAATAAATATCCAAGATATTTATTTATTTGATTATTTATTATGCCCTCAAGGCGAAAGCATTACAGAGGGGAATGGGACTTGGGAATACAAACATAATTAAAACTTGTTATACAGGCTCAAAACAAGAGCAATAATTAGCTGTAAAATTAAAATCACTGATTGTCGGAATGAAGGGCGGTTTCAGGGACGAAAGACCTGTGAAAAGAGGTGGTTACATGGGGGTATGTTAACTTTGCAGTCATGGTAGATGCACAAAGATGTGTAGATGGGACCATTATTTAGTAGATCTTTTAGATTGGAATTGTTGTAACAGATTTTATTAAATTGACATAGACAAGAGATTATCAGCCGAATGGAGAGGAGGGGTAATGAGAGATTACGTTTCACTGACGTGACACTTGACATACGGTGGTAGTTAGAGTGCATGACACAAGCTGACCGGTTTCGAATGGCTTCAGGGACTGAAATAGAAACTTCTGCACCAGGATTTTAGACTGAGCATGCATATTCGAGTTTACTTCCTACTAAATTTCATAAAGTAACAATTTAAAAAAAGATGTGGCTAAAAAAAATGGTGTCATATATCCAAGCATGCAATTACGTTGTTTATAACATATTCGTTACCATTTTTCCATGATGAGTTAGAAGCAATGTGGAAACCTATGTAAGGTAATACAATTTCAAGAGAATTATCTTGACAAATGATAGAGAGGACAAGCAGTAGTTCTACAGAAGATTCGCGTTGCCTTACATCTGCTAGCCTTGCATGTCTCCCACTTCCCTCCACGAACCATAACCAAGGTGCTTTTTATACTTGTTGAGACCTTTGTTTCTGTGTATTTTCAAAGTTTAGCTACTGTCAACTGTTCCAGTGCTGGGGTGGAGGGTCTTTCAATATATAGGGTGTCCCAAATGGATTTTCAGCTGTAAAACGAGCCAGAAAATTCTGCGCATGCACATCGAAAGTTTAAACTTTCACCGAATGTGCGTCGAGCAGTTCATTTTTACTCTGTGAAATCTCAAGGTGCAATTCTCATCCTGTAAGGAATGAGAGCAAAAATCTTACCAAAGTCAAGGTTCAGCACATTCACAGATGATTTAGTTAGCGACACTATTTACTTGTGGCACACTTTTGCGATAGGTGCAGCGTGCAAACAACAAAATGAATCGTCTGCTCGCTGCACCAGCCGAAGATGGCGCCACAAGTAAAAAGCGTTACTAACTCGGGCGGCTGCGAACGTGCCCAACACTGACCTTGGCTTGTTTCTTGCTCTCATTTTTTTACATGAAGAGAACGGAGCCTTGAAATTTAACATGGTAAAACTGACCTGCTCAGTGCACATTCGGTGAAAGTTCGAACTTTCTATTTTTTCGAGTGCCGATTTTTCTGGCTCGTTTTACTGCGGAAAATCTGTTTGGGACACCCTATGAATCAGGGGTGGCCAGAGTGATATGGGGTTAGAACCACAGACGAAACTACAAAAGTTCAAAGAGTCGCAAGAAAAAAAAAAAAAAGTGTGGGGGTGGGGGGGTTACTTTTAACAAGAAACTATGTGAATGCTGAGACGTTCTTCATCCTCTGTCCTTTTCTTCCACCAAGTTCCCCACTTTTACCACAGTCTTGGGTAATCTACATCATGATCAACATCCACCAGCTCGCCTGCGCACTCTGTTTTTTTTTTTTTGCGGAGGGAACAGTCCTTTCCAAAAGGAACAAGCATAATTGTCGACTGCAACAAATGACACCAGGCAGCAGAATGTTTTTTCAACCGATAAGCACAAATTAATACAAAGTTCACTAGCCAGTCAGTGCCCCTGACACCCGTTGTTTGCATACGGTTCGAAATTCTTACTAGCACAATAAAGGCAAAAGGGTCGGGAAGTGAAATTGAGCTCAGGCGATGACTCAAAGTTGCGCAAACTGCAAAAACTTCTGTTTTCTTTATAGTTTGCTTCGTTGAGTTCCGGGGTGAGGCGCAGCAGCATTCAAGCGACAGATCACGTTACATATCACGAGTGCGATGAATCATTCTTGACACGTAAAGACAAAAAAGAAAAGAAAATCGAATCGCAAGGGCTTGAAAGAAGGAGTGCGCGAATAACGTCACTTCCACTTAAGAAACAAACGCCAATAAAACACCACATTGGGCTACAAATGGGCTCTCAGGTGCGTTGAAAACACCGAGCGAATTGAAGCAGAGCCTAATATATATAAGGAAAACCAAATAACAAGGATTAAAATACTAATACCACGTCAGAAGCAAAGCAACATAGTTGGAACCTTATGTTCTAGTAAAGCGACCATACTTGGCTTGACCCTTAATAGATACAAGATGACCCTTCGTTAAATCAGTCAGCACGAGCCTTCACAAGTCGTGACATGATACTGACCGCCTGATAACCGTTTCTAGCTCCAAGCGATCAAGAACCAAGTCTTGAGATTTTCACGTCTTGGAACCCAAAACAAAGCAGTGTCACTTTAAAGCGACTCCAACTAGGCCAACGCTAATATCACATACCTCTGCGGCCTTCGACCCGTCGTAGGCGCGACGCCGGCGTGCTCGAACAGGCAGCTGTTTGGAGCATTAAAGTTAATAGAACTTTGCAAACCATTAAGCCGCGCCCGACTCACAGAAAGCCCGTGACATCTTCGATTTCGGAGGGAAACGGGGAAACTTCACGAAAAAAAAACAGCTGAAAGTCCAAAGCCGGAAGTAGCAAACGCCACCGCCGTAAATGCGTTCCTTTAGTCAAATAAAAATCCGAAAGAAGGCGCTTCCGGTTCAATGACGTCACAAAGTTTAAAAAGCGTGATGATCCGAACGCGCTCGTGGAGTTGGTGGCGGCATCTGGCGGATGGTGGCGCCGGTGATTGAATCTGTCGCCCGTCGGGTCGTTTCATCAGTGCAATCATGTCTAATAACTAATCTACTCGAAACAAAGCGACCGCTCCCGTCTACGCCCCCGACGACGAGCGCCACAAGGACCCAAGTTGCTTCATTGGCCCATTTAAACACGAGTAAGAACCTGAAGAAAAACGTAAACTCCCAGGCGTTTCAATTGATGAACCCGCTCACCCCCGTTGCTTCCTCGTTTGCGTCTTTTCAATCCATACGTTTGCGCTTTGCGGGGATTTGGCTAATCCGTTGCGGATTATCACTTACGGCGTTCGGCGTGGGGACGTTGATACTAGGAAGGTGCAACGCGCTTGCGGCGAGCGAGCGATCAGGAGCCGGGTGGGACCCTGAAACTGGAGACCATGGGGTCGGGTCCCGCTACGCTTGCTACATCGTCGGCGTTGACTTGTTGCTTGCGAAATTCCATCGAACCGTGTTATCGCCACGAGCGATTCAACTGGAGTAGATTACGTGCCTCGCGTATCGTCCGATCTCGATAAGGTGCTTTGCTGATCCGCTTATGTAACAGTTTCACTGTCGTGTGGGCGAGATGCGCTGAAAGAGATTGCGGCGGTCTGTTCTGTTGTTTCAGTTCCATCTATCGCAGTAAATTATGGCAGCTCCCGACACTACACCCGCCCCCGTGTCACAAGAGGACTTCGAAGAAGTCAAGAAGCGACTGAAGGTGAGGATCTTTGTTAAGACAACGTACATCTACCGAGCTCAGATTTCATAATGACAAGCAGCTCTACAGGATAGAACTGCTTGTCATTCCGAGCAACGCTATTTTGGCGTAAAAAAAACAACAAAAAAAAGTTGTTATTAAGTTAATGATCGAAGTGTAATAAAGCTTTTCATAAAAGTGTATTTAAGTAGTGGATTTATTGCACTCAAAATTCATTAATTTAGGTTTACAAAAAAAAAAAAAGAAAAATGCAAGCCCCCCCCCAAAAAAATATGCATAGAGAGGAAAACTGAAGCAAACCGTCTGTGACACTGCTACTCACAAATAGCATAATCTGAAACAAAAACTTCTTTGAGACAGACACTCGAAAGCAGATCTAGCAGACTCGAGCATGTATGGTACCATCTGTGAGTAATAGCGTCAACCAGGTGGTTTGTTTCCGTTTTTCTCCCTGTGCATAGCAGTAGTATGCTTTTCCAGATTCTTTTTACTGAAACCTACATAATCTGAATGATGCTCAGGAACACCCTGTATATTTCTATGAATATGTATGTACAAACTTCACCTTGTCCATTGAAATGGTGGCACGAGCTGATAGTTTCATGCAGCATGCATGACCTTGGAGGCAAGCCATCTGCTTTATTGCGATTAATTCTAGGACCAACACATTGTCTTCTGTCCACTAGGTAAAGTTACCTTTGAGAACAAGATACTAATAAAAAGAAATTTGTTTCACCCCTTAGTGCCAGATAATTCGTGCAAACTGTTATAAAATGTTGTTTTTCTTGTGTTTTTCAGATGATATTCGATGCAGACCCTGAGCAGGTAACCGTTCTACAAATGTTTCAATCGTGGCTTGCCATCTTTATCTGTGAGCAAAGCCGGAGCAGGAACAGATTGTCCTGATTGGTGCTTGCACTGCACAAGCTTGGGTGCTTGGCAGAAGGGCACTGAAAGCCCAAAGCTCACTCTTTTTAACTTCTGCTATGCTCGCACCTAAGGTTAAGTTAAGTATGAAAGAAAATTTAGTGGACAAACTTCCCATAGAATTTCTGATTTTACTAAATAGGTTGCCCACAACTCCTGAAATAAAGTTTCCAACGTAAAATTACTGAACTGGTTTTTATGACAAAAGTGCTGGACTAGTTAGTTTTGTGGGAGGGCTATGAAGGTTGCTACGGTATTCTCTTGTTGGAAGACCAAACTTGTTTATCTTACAAAATTGCTTCTGCCTAACTTATTGAACTGGTTTTTCATAGGACCACTGCTTTGTTTTATTACAATAATGTTATAAAGTTGATTCTCTATATTACTTATGAACTGTTAGATTACTAAACTCATTCTCATAATGAATTTGACCGCAAGAAAGCTCTTCTTTTTGCTGTGGTGCTATTTCCTGCAAGCGACAACTAAACTAATTTTCCCTTATAAAAAGAAAAAAAGTAATGCTTTTTAGGTAATCTATAAAATTACCAATCTTTCCATGCGGCTGGTCTTTCTCCATGTCGTGAGAAGACTCTACTGCAAGGAAACTCGCTTGCCAGTGCTGGGATTGTTTCCTCAAAAGAAGACCATCCCCTGCTGTCTCTTTCTCTCCGCAGTTCCACAATGACTACTCCATCAAGAGGTTCCTGAGGGCCTTCCACACTGTGGACAACACCTTCCAGGCAATCCTCAAGTGCAACAAGTGGAGGGTCGAATACGGCGTCAAATCCATCAGCAAAGACGATCCGGACATCAAGAGGAACATCGAGTGCAAGAAAGCCATGGTGCTTCCAAACAGAGACTTCTATGGGCGGTAATAGATCCATGCTACTTAGTAGACCTTTTGCTAAGTTACCCAAGCACCAAGGAGCATGCTCTGTTCACGGCTAAGCTGACAGTGCGATGTAGCTATGTGCCCATTGGCTCATTTGTACGAGTATCTTCCTCCACGCGATCACGCTCTCACCCGTAGGCACGCACCGAGTGGTGTCAGGTGATGAAAGGGTGGTGCTTGATTGGCCCAACGAGTGCGCACGGCTTCCACCACACTATCAGCTTAGAGGTGAACGGAGTAGCTTCACGCGCCGCACTTGCCGACGTCTGCTGCAGCGACTGTTCTAAGTCAAAAACTTGAAAACGAGTGGCACTTTGTACGTGAATTTCTTGAGTGCCTTATTTTGGTTATTTACTTCAATTCTTATATACATATAAGGCACGCACGTGTACCTACGTTCACAGCGTTCTCCTTTGTGGGGCAATTTGGTGAGAGGTCTACATAGTATTTACGGTGCCAGTTGCAAGAGTGTACACTGGTACTTTTATACGGAGTATATGTTGTGGTGGCTCTAGCCAGAGTTGGCACGCATTAATTGATCAATCCGTCTTTATTTTTTTCAGGTGTAATGAAGCCTAAGATTTTATGATATGTAAGACAGACTTTGTCTGGCCATGGTAGCAGAGTTGACCCCGTATTAAGATTGCACTATGCAATGCAGAAATGACATTTTTGCACTCTCCCTCACTTTTTGTGAGGAGAAGAGTGTGTGTGTGAGAGAAAAAGAGAGCTGCTTAGAAAATTTCTTCATAGATTAAAAATTTCCGGGAGTTGCACTATCAACAGGTGAAGCAAATGAGAACTTCATCAGATATTGTCCCGTTGCCACGCAGGCCCGTCATCTACATCCCGGCCTGCAAACACAATGTCCAGGAACGAGAAATCAACGAGCTCACCAGGTTCATCGTCTACATTCTCGTATGTGTCCTAGCCCCGCCTAACTGCCCTAAAATTTTAGTTATGTCAAGTTGGGTCCTACGGTCCCCCACCAGCTGTCCCATGTGGAGCTGGAACATACCGTAAAATGTTGATTATGCACTTGCGTCGCAGTAAGTGCCCTCCACCCACTGTTAAAACGTTTGAAATTTATGCAGAGGACATACATTATAAACTCATTATATATGACCTTGATAGTGATAATGATTCTGGTCTAGACTTTGATGTGGGTTATTACTGGAGTCTGTTCTAACCATTGAGACTGATGAAATGTGGATGGATTAGAACAGAAGTTTTTTTTTAAGCTTCTGAACTAACTTTGAAAGGTAGTGATTTTTTATTGAGTCAATAGACATTAGCGACATATAGTTGGCTCCAGACGACGTGGCCGCCCGTTCTAGCTGCGAGTCGAGAGGGTGAACGCTGCTCGTTTTTCTCGAATGTTTTCCGCCACTGCCATTGTGTGGAGAGTGAAACTAGCGCATGTTTCATAGGTTATGAATGTTGAGGAATTATTCTAAGCCGTGTTTACTGAAAGTGCAAAAGCTATCGCGACACTTTTTTAATCGAGCGCATATGTTCGTTTTCCCAACTTTTGCGTCGGGGCTTGCTCGGTTTTTCATGGCAATCGGACGCTGACCTTTTTTTTTTTTCTTTCGGTTCTGCAGGAGGAGGCGTGCAAGAAGTGCTTTGAGGAGGTGGTCGACAACCTGTGCATCATCTTTGACCTGAAGGACTTTGGCCTCAACAGCATGGACTACCCGCTCATCAAGAACCTCATCTGGCTGCTGAGCAAGCACTACCCTGAGCGACTGGGAATTTGCCTCGTGCTCAACGCCCCCACTATCTTCTCGGGCTGCTGGGGCGTCATCAGGGGCTGGTGAGTGCACAGCACCCGTGTGGCAGTAGTAAACATATTTATCTTTTACGTACTGCCATTACACTAGTGGAACTTCCCTAAAGGACTGCCTGTACTTCACACGGCGTGGATTCTTGACCTGTACCCAGGTACTTGAGAGCACAAAGCACTTCATCATCGCTGAACACGGTTAAGATACTTGTTCGTTGCAGCATACCTACCGTAATGTCTCGAGAGGCAACCCATTTAGGATTGAGAAAAAATCGGTTGAATATAAGGAGTGGGCTAACTTTCGGTGTGCAATCGAGAAAAGGTGAGAAAAAGAATGCTATTTTTAGATCATGTGTCTCTGCCAAACTTGTTATCGCGGCGACCAAGACGCGAAGATGACTGTACTCCCCAGTCAGCAATGTTTGCTTATGTCTTGGCATAGCTAACTAGAGGTATTTACGCCGAGGTCATCATTGATCTCAACACTACAATTACTAGAAGTGGGCTATCTTTCGGTGTTTAAAAGAAAAATAGCAAATCAAGCCAAACACAGGGGTGGGTTACCTTTCGGGGGTGGGGTATATCTCAGGATTTCACGGTATATAATTACCGTTAAACCGCCGCATAGCAGTATGCGGCACATGGGTGGTCAGATTTTATTTTTCAGCTTTCAGATTTAAAAGAAAAACGTCAGTACTATTCTTCCAGCCTTGGAATATTCCTAAATCTAGAACTAATTATGGAATTCAGAAATTAGTTCACCCTTTGCCTTTTCTTTTTTTATTAAACATCCATTTCAATCGCAATGTAGATGTAACCAAACTTTCAGATAGCTGCATAGTCAAAATGTTTATTTGGTATTTTTTTTTTACTGATAGTGCATTTGACTTTTTTTTCCATCTTGATGCCCGTCTTGCTCCGTCGTAGCTGCTGTATGGGGGTGCCAGAGCTTCGTTGAGCTGCATTTCTGCAGCTTTTTTCTTTGGCCCCCTATTTACCGCATGCAATTGTGGTGAGAAATAAAATTGTATCGTATCGTATCGATTGAGAGCTGCTGGTGACGGAGTGTATCTTTACGCCGGCGGTCCCGCTCCCACTTGGCAGAGGCACGAACCTGCCACCTTGCCTCTCTCAAAGGATGAAAAGAAGCGTGGCGCACACGTGTTGCGCTCCTTGGCCACAGGCACAAAGATGTAATCCGATAGAAAACCATAACCTACAAACGTGTGCAAATTGGGTGTATTTTGTACAATTCCGTAAAGTGCTGCACCTGGCGTACATCTTTCTAAAATTAGTTTACTTGGTGGTTTTCGATGATGCTCAGCTGGCATTGCACTGCAATGCTTGACGTCCGCCGTGAATGGCGTTTTTTTTCCGGCACCCCTATTTTTAGAGACGTTTGAAAGTCTTCGTTGAAGCACCCATTATACTGTATAGATGGCCGAACCTGTATTTGATGACGCTAACGCCAACATTTCTCCCTCCCGACCCAGGCTGAACGAAGTGACTGCACGGAAAGTGGTGTTCATCGGCAGCCAAGACGACCTTGTCAAGTTTGTCCACCCCGACATACTTCCGAACCTTTAAGAATTGGGTAAACTGTAGGAGTTGCAAAGTGATCCGGACAACACAGTCAGCCACACGAGCGGAGCCATCCCTTTTTCGCCACAATCAACGTCGCACAAGGCAGCAACGGCAGCTCGAGTCTCGACGGTCGACTTCTCGACGCCTCGCAAGATCTCGGAGTCGTCTTTCCGACCGTGTGCAACTTTCTTCGACGAGATCCCGCCGAAAACCATCTCGCCTCAATTTTTTTTTACTTTTTCTCGTAACGAAAGAGATGCTTGCGACATGTTTCGACAGTCTGAGGAACGAACGCGTGTGCAGTTGTCACCCATTGGAAGATTGTGAAGCATGAAACAACGCCACACTTTTGTTTTTATTACACTTTCCGTAGTTCGGAAATCAGAATCTACTTACAGGCATGTCGCGTCACACATTGTTAGTTTCCCGTTTTCTTTTCTTTTGTACTTCAAAGACGGTAGCTGGCACGCACACGCACTCCGATCCGGAGGGTGGCATTTAGCGTGCGGTTTATGCATAAGTGACTGCCCGCTTTCTGTACGTGCTGAACAAGAAAAAAAAAACACTAGATCAAACACGACAGATTAACAGAAGAAAAGAAAGATTAAAATATATTGGACCACCTGCAATTCTGGGATAGTTCTTTTCATTTATTGACTCTGTTGACTCACAAATATGAAAAGGGATGAACATGTTGTGCGGTCAGGCCAACATAAGCAAGAAGGGTTGATCCCATATGAAGGTATCAATTTAGAAGATTAAATAAATTGGACCACCCACAAACTGGGTATACATACCATATTTATTCAAATATAAGGCGGTCACGATTATAAGGCGAGGGGGCAGTTGAAGGACCCAAGAAAAAGAAAAAAAATCGCCATATTGCTATACTGAGCTTCAAATATAAGGCAGGGTATGACCGAGACTACGGATTTGGGAAAAAAAACCTCGCCTTATATTCGAATAAATACGGTACATTCGATCAAGTGTAATGAAGATGCGATAGCTCTTCACGAGATTTGTCAAGGGGAACACTCCAACAAAATAGTTCGTCGCTGGTTTGTCTCAGAATTGGTTCAATGCATCAACAGACACATCTGAACTACAGTAACCAAAATTACTACTTTTTTTTTTTTGCTAAGATTTTTTTAAAGTCTGGTAATGGCAGATGCAATTTGGGCCTTGCAGGGTGTTGATGGGTTACAAGGGGTTTGGGGGTGTGCAATGATTGAAAACAAAAAAACTTGCTCCAGAACAAAAAAGGAAATATGTGAAACATACTGGTTTTTTTTCTATACTGCCTCCTTGACCTGAAAGTTTTAGATGTGATGTCGCTCCACTGGAAAGTGCAGGAAAATTTCGATGTTGATTTTGGCATAACCTTCATTTGCCATTTTTTGTAGATCACGTTTAAATTTATAGATGATCAATAGCTGGCTGGGAGAGAAGCCTGAATATTCCGAAAATGTCTTTAGTCTGGGTAGCACAAAAAAAGGATTTTTCTACAGGAATTTAGCGGACATAATTCTACGCTAAATTGAGCGAGGAAATTGTGGTGACATCATGCAGTCGCCCCGTGTCAATGTGGCGTCATACAGTCGGACCAACACAAGTGAGAAAAGCCCGTGAGGTTCCTATGTCAAGCTTACGTTTTAAAGGGGGGGTGCAACGATTTCCGGTCTTCGATTAAAAATTTGTGGAAGTTGCCCTCTGACACTTCTAAAGTAAAAAACAGAAAACCTGTGTGTCCTAGTTGTGTAAAAAAAAAGGATAAATATTGGCATTTCTGGCACCCCTCAACTCACTCCCAGTCTTCAGGGTCACACCTGGTCCCCCTCCTAGCGACATAATTCGGGGTGCCGTGTGCTCTCTCGGAGGACGCTTCCTCTCCCTCTCTCTGTTGACAATAGCGGGCGTTATGCTGCAGCTTAGAGCCGAGCGAGGTCACGTAATCTTTTCGCAGTAGTTCCTTCGGCTGCCACTTGGGGCTGCAGGTGGGGGAAAAAGCTTGGCTTTTTCTTAGCGATTATGCAGCGAAATCACAACATTTTTAATGAACGAGATGTTTTCTGCATCCTCCGGGGCATGATAAACGTAAAAATGACGAGATGCAAATTCTTTTAAATTTAAAATCGTACTACTCCCCCTTTAAAAGGTAAAAGATTATATGAGCTTGATTATACCGACAAGGGCCAGGGGGCACAGAATGTGTCTCGCACAGTTTTAAGCAGCAGCTTCACTGGTGACACTTCGTGGGGATTTCACTGTCAGCATTTGTAGTCTGTCGTAGCCGCAGAGATGGAAAAACCTGTCCTTCTTTTCACGGCGCAAGGAGAAAAGTCTGGTGTTGTTCCCATTGGCCGCACCGCGGAAGCTTCGTCTACCAACAATAGTTTCGAGACAGGCGTTTTTAGTCATTACTTGCGTCGTACGAAATCCCACTTTGGCAGTATCCAGCTGCTATGCATAATGTTGGAGGGTTGTCGCAACTAGCATGTCAGGGCCCAGCGAGCTTCCACGCTAGCTACGCTTTCGGGTTCAGAACAAAGGCACGCTCATAACCGGAACTGCTTTATTCCGGAGCACTCGCGCTGCACCGCGCGCTCCCCTCGCCATCCTGCGTCCGTCCCTTTTCTCCCCGCTCTCCCCCAGAGCCACCGCATCCCATGCGCCATCTCTAGAGTCCCGCGGAAGGCGTCCTCGCGATGCGCCGTGGCGCCATCTTGTGGTGAGGCATGGAACTGCATGCCTCTCCTAACAGATCCCCCCTCCTTAATCTGTGCATAATACCTACGAGTCGTAATAGCGCACCAACTGGTCGACATTGGCCAGTCCACACCGTCGGCCCGTAGTAGGGTCCTTCAGTCTGTACACGTTTTGTCCTACCCGGGCCGCAATGGCAAAGGGTCCAGAGCGTCGAGGGGCAAGTTTGGCAGTGATTCCGCGACTGGCGTTGCTCAGCGTGTGTGAGTCTCGGAGAACCAAGTCGCCCACAGCAAACCCACACTGTTGTCGCCTCCGGTTGTAGTGTTGTCGCTGTGTCTCCTGCGCCTTGCGTTGGTGGTGTCTCGCAAAGTCGAGGGCGTCTTTGAGGTGTTGGCTCAGCTCTGCACTGTAGACATGGGAAGTAGAGGGCTGGGTCTCGGAGTGCTCCTGTGGGCGAAACTCCCACGGGGTTCGAAGTTCTCGGCCGTAGCAGAGGAAGGCAGGCGTGTAACCGGTCACCACACTCTCGGACGTCCTCATGGCAAACGCCACCTCTGGGAGGCGCCTGTCCCAGTCGCGGTGGGTGTCACAGTAGGCGGCAATACTCTGCTTGACTGTGGCATTGTGCCGCTCGACTGTCTGGCCTGCTGGTACCGTATGGCGCTCTGCAATGCCCCAGTGCTTGAGCACTCCCTTCCATAATCCACTTACAAACGGCTGGCCGTTATCACTGGAGATACTCTGGGGCACCCCATGTCGGCAGAAGATATCTACCATACGCTCCACGATGGCTCTAGATGTTGGTGCCCGGAGAGGACAGAGCTCGATGAACTTCGTGAATTTGTCCAGGATGACTAAGATGTACTTGTTCTGTTTTGCTGTGGCAGGAAGTGGTCCGATGAGGTCTACACTCAAGTGCTCCATGGGGCCAGTAGCCCAAGAACTATCCATTAGGCCCTTTGGTTTTTGTCGTCGTGGCTTGAAGGCCTGGCATGTCTTGCAGGCACGGACGTAACGAGAGACATCTGCCCTCATTCCAAGCCAGTGGAATCTCCTCTCCGTCCGTCGGAGCGTCTTAAAGTACCCTGCATGGGCATTAAGCGGATGGTCGTGCTCCACCTGTAACACCAGTGATCTCAATTGGAGGGGTAGCCACGGAACCTTGTTGCCCTGGCCCACGTACAGCAGGAGACCCGTGTCGTCAATCTCGCTATCTGCTGCCAGGTCTTGCACTCTACGTGACTCCCTAATATCACTGGGTAAAGAGTTGTTTTCCATGAAGTCAATTACTGTTCTCAGAAGCTCATCCTTTCTTTGTTCAGCAGCCAACCCTTTGCCATCCCTCAGCAGCGATATGTCCACAGACTCTGAGGCGGCAACCTCCTCAAATCGAATTGAAGGAATGGGTTCACTCACGTCGATCGGAAACCAGTCTTCGGCAGTAGACGGTGAAGGAGGCTCTGGAGCAGACACTGGGCAACGACTTAGGGCATCAGCAGGGATGTTAGCTTTGCCCCGCCTGTGCTTGACGGTGCACTTAAAGCCTTGAAGACGGAGCACCCATCTCTTCACCCTGCTGGAGGTTTGCTCCGTGTGGAACATCCATGAGAGTGATGCATGGTCGCAGTGTACTTCGAAGTGGGCAAACTCTATGTATGGGCGAAACTTGTCCAGCGCCCATACAACTGCCAGACATTCCCACTCCTGTACGGTGTAGTTGCTCTCTGCTTCTGTCAATGTTCGGCTTATAAAGGAAACTGGCCTGAGGTGTCCCTCATTCTCCTGCAGGAGGACTGCGGCGATGCCAATGCCACTGGCATCTGTCTCAATGATGAAGGGGCGGTTGAGGTCGGGCAAGGCCACCACTGCCTCCTCTGTAAGCCAAGACTTTAGGGATTTGAAAGCTCCCTGCTGTGGCTGGTCCCACCTCCAAGGTGTGCTCTTCTTCAGCAGTGTCGTGAGAGGTTTTGCGATGTCAGAAAATCGTGGGATGAATGTGCGGTAGTATCCCACCAGTCCCAAGAACGCCTGCAGCTGTTTGACTGATGTTGGGGTGGGGTACTCTTCAACTGCTCGAAGCTTTTCTGGATCTGGCTGGCATTTACCCGGAGAGATGACATGGCCTAGGAATTTAAGTGACTGCTTGCAGAGCTGCACTTTGCTGGGGTTGACGGTGAGTCCCGCTTCTGTGATCCTGTGTAGTACATCTCGTAAGTGCACCACATGGTCTTCAAACGACTCTGAAAAGACCAAGACATCGTCTAGGAACGCCATGCAGTACCTGTGTTTCACTCCATCAAGCACTTTGTCCATTAAGGCCTGAAATGTGGCTGGGCCTCCGGCTACGCCAAATGGCATGCGTTTGAACTGGAACGTTCCCTGGTGACACAGAAACGCAGTCTTCGGAATGTCCCGTGTTGCCACTGGAATTTGGAAGAAGCCTTGGGAAAGGTCGAGGCTAGTAAACCACCTTGCTTTGCCAAGTTGCGCCAGGATCCAGTCCGTTCGGGGCATTGGATGCACTGGGACATCAGTCTTTGCATTGAGTGGTCTATAATCCACTGCAAGTCGGTAGCCGCCAGTTTTCTTTGCCACCAGGACAGGGGCACTGGCCCAGGAGCTTGTGCTTGGCTCTATTAAGTCCTGATCCAGAAGATCTTTGATGCATTCATCTATTATGGCTCGTTTCTCTGCATTTACTGGTCGCATCTTGCAACGGATGGGTCGGCTATCACCAGTGTCGATGCTGTGTTGGATCAGCGAGGTGCGTCCAGGTCGTACTGTGAAAGTGTCTTTGTAGTCATTGAGTACTGTCACTATCCGCCGGTCGCCTTCTGCCTTTTCTCCGGGAGTCCCCCTGACCATGGCTTCCTCTGGGCAGGTCTCAACTTCTCTGGGCGCTGCAAACAGCTCCTCCAATGAGTACACTTCCTCGGACAGGGCGACAGGTGGAACTTCCGAGGATTTGCCGAAGCGGACCAGCTCCTGAATCTCCGTCCCCAAGGTCCAACCTCCGAGGGCCACATGTATTGATAGACCCGCTGCGATCAAGAAGTCTCTGCCCAAGATAATGTCACGGCACAGTCCTGGCATGTGGATGAATCGCTGTTTGCGGCATCCACCCGACCAACGGATACGGCATCTGATGGACTGAGTTGTGGTTGACCATCCTGTTGCCAACCTGAGGGAATGGGTTTCCTGCTTGAGTCCTGCACCAGTAGCCTGAGCAGCCACCACAGCTGGGTCCCCCATTAAACTAACACTGGACCCAGTGTCCAACAGGGCAAGGAATACCTGGTTACCCACGGTGAGCTCGAGCAAGGGCTCCCTCCCTCCGGCTGTTGCTGCAACTTGCAAGGCAGTCTCGTAGATGCTGGCCGGGTCAGCCTCTACGCTCGCCCGTTTCCCGGGCAGTTAGCCTGCAGATGTCCACGTTCGTTGCACCTGTAGCAGCGTTGTTGGTTGCGTTGTCTGCCAGTTGCGCAGTATCGGGCAGAGTGTCCAACCCCCCCACAGCGTTGACACAGTTGTCCTCTGTTGGAGGCAGGCTGCAGGTTTGGAGCCTGCTGTGCAGTTTGAAGCCACTGTTGACCCTGTTGTGGCAGAGGTGGTGCCCAGGCTGGATGCTGCAGTGCTGCCCACTGTGGTGTTGGCTGGGGCATGGGTTAAAATGAGGTAGCCAATGTTTGGGGCTGCTGCACTGCCCACTGTGGTGGCAGTTGCGGTGCTGGCTGGCAGGGCATTGTGGTTGGAACCCACATCTGGTCCTTGCAGTAAGATGACTGCACTGCTGCTAAATGCAGGGGCCACCATGGCTGAGGGGCCACCCCAGCACTCACGGCAGCGAGCGTGGATGGAGGGCACTGGTTGGGCACTGTGGGGTGCAGCTCCGCAAAAGCGAGGTCCTTGGCAACTTGGTCCGTTCTTGGCGGCGGCGGAACGTACTTGAGGCGGTGCCATGCACGCTCCATGACGCCGCCGGCTTCCTTCGCAAACTCACGCAGATTCGCGAACGTAAGCCCTTCGCACAAGTCTTGAAATTTTGGGTGCATCTGACGCCTGACACGTCTCACCTTCTCTTCGTCGGACACCGTCTCGCCGATCCTGTCGTAAAATTCGGCAATGACGTGGATGAAGTGGCGCAAGTTTTCCTGCGGGTGCTGTGTGCGTCGGTCGAGTTCCTCCTTCAGCCGATGCTTGTAATCGACAGACGCAAACTCGGCGTGGAACTCCTTCACGAAGGTCTCCCAGTCTTCGAAGCCTCCCGCAAAGCGCCACCAAAGCTTCGCTGTGCCCTCCAGTGCGGCCGGGAGGACCTGCCGGACGCGCTTGCTGTCCGGAACGCCCGTAACCAGGCAGAAATTCTCGAACTTGTCGAGGAAGTCCGTCGGGCTCTGCCTGTCCTCATAGCCGATGAATTTCGGCAACTGGATGTTACCGCACTTCCAAGGCGTCGGCTCCTGCGTGCGCGCATCGGTGTCCTGTTGTAACGGTGTGTTCAGGAGCACGTCCCGCACACACGAAGACAATCGCTCCCGGTCCATGGCACTGCCGTCCGTCTGGGCCAGCAGTTCGCTGACCACGTTGTTCGTGCTCATGTCGGCGTGCTGGCGAGATGAGGACGTAAAACTGCCTCGCAGGACTTGCCGTTGGTCTAGCAGGGTAGTTCGAGTTCAGAGGACGAGCCCCCACTTGTCAGGGCCCAGCGAGCTTCCACGCTAGCTACGCTTTCGGGTTCAGAACAAAGGCACGCTCATAACCGGAACTGCTTTATTCCGGAGCACTCGCGCTGCACCGCGCGCTCCCCTCGCCATCCTGCGTCCGTCCCTTTTCTCCCCGCTCTCCCCCAGAGCCACCGCATCCCGTGCGCCATCTCTAGAGTCCCGCGGAAGGCGTCCTCGCGATGCGCCGTGGCGCCATCTTGTGGTGAGGCATGGAACTGCATGCCTCTCCTAACAAGCACCACGTCCGATTTTGCTCTAACAGCGCTACTTCTCGAAAGCAACTCTATACGTAAAAGATGCTCTGCCAAAACTCATCACCTAGCACAGCTTCGCCTCACTTCTCCACGTGCGTCACTCTCTCCGCTCATCGCTGAAATTCAACGTTACTCCCTTCCTTCGCCGCTCAACAACACCAGGAAAACCTTCGCTTGAGCCGGCGCAGGCTTTCCCGTCAATGTGCAAAGTAATACCAACAGCTGTAGCATGGTTTGCGTAATGTGGGAAAAATGGTGTCGTCGCATACCGTGCTCGGTTACGAGACGACACCATTGTGCCAACGTGCCACAGCTATTGCTTTCACAGACGCCACCTCGTATGGCTCTTGCACGACGCTGGAGAGCATTGAGGCGAGCTGTCATGATACAACATCAAACAGCTCTCGCTGGCTCTCTCACAACGCTCATGCGTGACAATTTTCTCATAGAAAACGACTCGCAAAACACATTCCGCATTGATAAATTGGACTACCAGTGAACTGGGTATATAGTTGTATCTTCATTTATTGACTTTCTTTAACTCATGACTATGACAAGAGATGAACACGGGACCTGATGAACCCAACTTGGGCTGGGACGAAATGAAATGTCGCGCTTGTTACTCCGCCATCTTCGCGACGTTCAGGTCGGCCGGACGGAAGCGCAGGTGAGTTGTCGAGGAAATCTCCCTCATTCCCCAGTCGGAGGTTGCGCTCGGAGCTCGTTCCGCGTTCCGAACCACGTGATCCGTCTTCGCAACGATTGCTTCGACTGATCCGCTCGCTTTGGCTGATCTGCTAACTTCGGCCGATTCGAAGTGCGGATGAGTGGTCGAAGTAACCTGGCCTCCCCAGGCAGAGTTATTGCTGGAAGGCCGTTGAACGCTGTTGACCTCTGGAGTCGTCAATGGTTCTGGTACACCTGGAACCATGGTTAATTATAATGGGCAGCTTTAAGTCCCCAAGTAAAATGTCTCTCTAGTTTAAAAACTATTTTAACAGACCTGAGCCGCCCACTGATGCATAACTTTGAGCCAAGCACTCCCTATTGTCACTGACAGAATGACAAAAGCAGCGAGTTCCTCCAGCGAGAGTTTCCTACCATCGATAACACTTCGATGCCTCGTGAGCCTCAAGTTTGCGTCTGCACACAAAGCGCACCGGCCATTCTAGTCCTGTCAGTGACTACAGTATGTGCATTATTGTTTACCAGGACTGTAAGCATCTGCACTGTTGTATTGCACCGATGACAAGACTGGGAGGGGCTCTTTGGCTGCCAGTCAAGGCAAATGAGAGTTTCTTAAAATCAGCAAATAAAAGGTGACAACCCTCGTTAAGAGAAATGCCTGAATGCTGTATGCCTGAACGTGTGATGTTTTAATGTTTTACCCCCCCCAGGAGGAACATAGAGTAAAGGTTTGGTTGGCACCAATGTCCAATCTGTGAACAGACGAGCGCTGCGTCAACCTTCAGCTGCCACTCGGCCCGTCGAATTCCGCTGCCCGCAGCTAACTGGACACTGTTAGGTGCCGGCCATACGACACATTCTGTTTAAAAACTTACCGCTGGCCTCCAGAGGAGCTTTGGACGACACTTGGTTGTTCTTCAGGGACAGTCCCGCCAGTCCGTTACGGAGTCCGAGGTGCAGGATGGAATCTTCGGTTCCCGCAGCACGTTCTTCGTTGTCTTGCTCAGGAGGGAAACGCCGGTTCACGCGGTGGAACAGACCGCTGTTCCAATCGCAGCCATGCCCGTTCGTTTCCTGGCCGTAGCCATTGTGCTGGCCTCCGTTCGTGTAGCGGGAGAAACCGCGCTTGGGTCGCTGCCAGAAGCTGCCGCGACTGCCACCTGCAAGCATGGTTGAACCTAGAGTCACTGACTAAGTTTCGCTTACGGAAACGACACTTTGGCCATCTTGGTGCCTGTCATCTGGAGATTTATTCTAAATCGCAGGAAATGGTTCATCACTCCCCAGAATCGTTGAAGCGGTCCGTGACGGTGCGCACCGTTATCGCCCGAGCCCCCCGACACCGTATCTAAAGGCATATTCACACAGGGGAAAATCCCTTTCTTTGTTCCCTCGGATGCGCATCACGTGGTAATGGCGTCGCGCTTTTACGTGAAGCCGCGATGACGTAGACATCCCAGGGGGATCGGGAAGCTTTTGTTCGGGCTGCACAAAACACTCCCTGCCTTTGCGTGCTGTCCCTTTGCGATTGGCGGTATGTTGTTGGCGCATCTAGCAACCTTGCAGATTTTGCTCGGCGAGATGCCAGCAGTGGCATCGGGATGCCCAACCCGTGGCTTGCGCTGTTGCGCAAGTCGTCCGAGGCACTCGAAGGAGTCTTCCATGTTTCTCAATGCCGTCCTCGAGACGCTCCTTGTACAACTGGTTTTCGATTCCGCATCCTTTGTGTTGCACCTACCCATTCAAGAAGCATCTTTCTTTCGACAGGAAGTGGCTTGTTGTCTCCTGCATCTAACAGCGCTGCTGCCATAAACGCGTATCGCAGTTTTGTGTACATCTCCCTTTCTCCACTCTCGTCAGTGAGACCCGGGCCCTGTTCTCGTTAATGCAACCGCTAAATGCGTCTGACAACGCTGACATTTTTTCTCGGCTTCCTGCCGTTAGTGCGAATGCTGGATTCGGGGAGGGAGCCTTGCTGGTTCCCTCGATCACCGACGTCGCACATATCCCTCCCCAAAAAGCATCTCCTGTGTGAATAGTACCCCTTAAGGCTCAGCATCGCAACGCTTTCTCCGCCCCCTTTGCGAACGTCAGTGGCAAGCCTCAAAACCAACCAGCCTATTCAAGACGCTCTTCCGGAAGCTTTAATTGCAAATAACTCTCCCTGCTCGCTCGGTTTTCAGCGGCACGTGACACTCACCTCTCCCGCTGTCGTGGTAACCGTAGAATTCTCTGCCCCCTTCCTCTTCCCGGTACCCGTGGGAGTTGGATCGCCCGTTGAGGAAGTTTGCGTTGCGGTTGAAGACGTCCTTGAGACCAGGGGGCACAATGTGTTCCTGCACAACCGCGGCGCACCTCGAGTTTCCACGAGCGGATTGGGAAACTGAACCAAAAATTGCGGCCCCCTCAAATCTGCAGCTGCGGTCGTTCAAGACTGGTTCACACATTGTAGTTTGAGTGTGATAGGTGCTTTAGAACTGCCTGGGACTGTTTACTACGGAGGAAACGGACTGGAGCACGTCCGGTCTGCGTATAGTTCAGAGTTTTTTATGCATCGTTCTTTCACCGTGGAATTAAAGGAAAACTGAAGCGGTTGTGATTTGAGGAAAAACACTTAAATCGTCTTTGTTCCTTCCACGATCACAAATACCGAGATTATTTTTCAACTTTGTGCACGGAGGCTGCAGGAAACCATTTTCAAAGTACCGCCGAAGCCCCCTCCTTCCCGGAGCGCGACGTCATAAAAGGAGTTTTCGGAATCTCCGCTCTCGCGCATCTTCAATGCCTATCAAGGCTATGCACATGCACTCTCGCCACTTTCAATAGCGTACGAAAAAGACGTCGCGGTTGGTGTCGGTGTGGGAGAATATACCTGGCAAACTTGCAATTGCACACGCCGACCACACAAGTGACACGCACTTGGCGGCCAAAAGATCCTAGCATGACGTAACAACTGTGTTTTGTGTTTTCTCGCGTTCAGTTCCTTTGGGGACGACAGACGTGACACTCAGATTCGCGGGGTAAAACCGTAGCATTCACCCCTAACTCGTTTTCTTCAAGAACCTCTTCAGCTTCCCTTTACAAATAACACTGGCAATGTTCAAGGCAACCGTTTCTTGTAGACAATCCGTAGATTTGATCTCTCAAATACTGCAAAACATTCAGTCTAGTTATAAGCAGATCGGAAGTGTTCCAGGGGTACCCAACAGGTGGCAGCAGTGTGCTTTCTCGTCGCAAAGCAGATGGAATGTAGCCAATCAAACTCGAACGTACGAACCAACCTTAAAAGTATACTGGAATGAAAACTGAAATATACCTATCACAGGGGTGGAACTCATGAAATGTACCTGGGAGCAGCCACGGGAGCAGCTGAAACAGCTGTTTTGGAGCAGGTTGGGAGCAGCTAAAACTACGTTCTGGAGCAGGCTAGGAGCAGCTCAGATCGGTTTTCATTGCACTTCAGCTTGCGTCTTAGACAAGCACGGGAGCAATTTCAATCGTACTTAGCAGAACATATGAACATGAATGGTTAGGGACCTAGGTAGATGGGATAACAGTGTAACAGACGCGAAAACTTGAAACTTTGTGAGCCTTAATGAGAATCAAAAAGCCAGTACCCTGTTTCTCAAGATAGCGTCCTTGATATTTTCCGAGCGGCTTTCAGCTGTTCAAAATGCAAACCAGCACTGCTTATCGCACAACCCACACGTGCTTGACATAGTAATTATATGTGCGAACCCCGTGACGTGCGCAAGCAATGGAAGTGCAGTTGCACGGAGGAACAGGGCAACAAATTTCGCGTTTATCCTATTGTGCAACTCGATTACGAAGCAGCAGACTACGATTAACGAAGTTATCGTATTTGAAGCGATAAGCAGGAGCAAGGTTAAAGTACGCCGAGCAGATCTATCACTCGCAAAAGAGTTGCTGGCCGGCAAGGTTTCGGATCGGACCGCGTTTCAGTTCAATCAAATCACGATTTATCTTGCGAGAATGCGGTTCCAACTTCTAACGATGAAGTACTAAAAGGAATATCTTGCTCATTTGTTTTCAACTGGCTGACGTCCGGATCCCGGGCCGCAGAGCCTCAGGCAATCTGACGCTTAACGACTCGACCTCACCTCAGCCGACTTGCTTAACCGTTAATTATGGTTGAAGAATAACAATCCAGTCGCAGGTGGTGTGGCGCTTAGAATCCGAGTTTTTTCGCCCGCTTCCGACTCGGGATACACAGGGAGAATAAACAGAACAAAGGATTTGCAAGGCCGACCAGGCTGAACGCGCTCATTGTTGCCAATCGAGTCAATAAAACCGAAACCAAGACAAAATAAAAAGTTTCTTGGCGCACGTTTTGCTATCTGGCGCATAATGGCGCGAGGTACTGGCTGTGGCGCAGGATGGCGCAGACATATGCGTCTGGCGCAAAATGGCGCAAATGGCGCAGCCGTTCCACCCCTGCTATCATGTTCAGAAATTAGCTAAAGATGATCCACAAAATCTGCTAACAACAATCGCACGCTTGCATTTCAAACGGATGGCCACATTTTTTTGTTCCAAACGCACTCGAAGATCAGCCGTCGGAGAGCACAATGCATATCGGGAGATCCGGCGCCTCCGGCTTTTGTGATGTCACGTCTTTCTTCATGGCCAAGGAACAGGGACATTGGCACTGTTTGCTAGCTTCGTCACTTGGCTAACTCATACACGTTACAACCTGGCCGTTTGGGATTAGCCGCTACCCACAGGAGTCAAATATGCGCGGGAGAGAGGGGATAATTCGGCTTGGCCAAGTTCGACAGGGCTCACACGCAAGCAGCTCTTCATCATACTTTCACAGACCGGCACTGCATTTATGGGTAGTTTGGCAAAGCCACATTCGGTTTATTCATTTTAAAGAATGTTTCGGTGTCTCAGCGGTGCGGTTAGAACATGGTTGACATCTAGGCAATAAAATAGGCGCTAGAATTTTATTGCAGAACCCCTTTAAGTCCTGAGCAGAATCCCACGAACACCATCGGCACTTGAAGCCGACTGAAGACAAAGGCTACGAGCCATCTCCAGCAATCCTGGGCCTCGAACAAGTCACGCAATGCTCCCAGCGAAGGACTGGCAGGTGCACCCACTCACCGGCGGGGCGTACTCGAGCTCCTGGGCATCGAGGTCCCGGTTGAGGCAGAGGTTGTAGCGGACACCCCTCCAGAAGCCCGAGGCAAACTCTTCCTGGCAGACGCGGCGCAGCTCGGGCAGGAAGGCCACGTCCTTGACCAGGGCATCCAGCTGTCGCAGAGACAGGGGCCGCTGGTGCCACACCGTCAGTTCCCCCTGCGGGTGGTATGCAGAACCCTTGCAGACGGTGGAATCGCAGTAAAAACAAGCATTCTTTTTTATCTGCCGCACAAGCGTCTTGTACGCAGAATGCGTTAGCAGTACGCATTTTCCGGTCCACGAGTCACACCGGTGTACATGTCACGCCACCTATAAACAGACGTTTTCGCAAAAGTCTGATGTGTGTGTGGCTCCAATGTCACGCCGCTGCGGTGTGCCACTGCTGGCAGGGTGCATGCTTCGGTCTATACAAGTTGCACGTTTTTGCATGAGTAGCATTTCTTTCTACAGTTGCCCCGCGGCATATTGTTCCCTTCGTCTTTTTAGCGCCACTCTTATTCTCAATGACACATTAGCAATTAACCCAATTGACTACCATACCGCAGTATGTGTGCCCCTAAAGCTACCGTGAAACAGATGAAACGAGAGGCTGTGGCATGACAACCACAAATGCAGCGACAAAGTGCTCGCATCCCTCAACTGCTTGCGCCAACGAACCTTTCGAGGATCTCTAAAACCGCCCTACAGGCGCCTCGGCATAGCCTCGGATACACGCACCCCATACATCCGCTGGGCTTGCAACACTCCGCCGAAAAAGTTTGAAAGTGACGTTTCCGACACCGAATGAAATGGGAGGGCGACGACTCCGCCGACAACACTCACCTCCGGCTGGTTCTGGCGGGAGCGGGTGTACTTGAGCTGGTCATGGCTCAGGTGCAAGAAGTGCCTGAGGCACTGTTGCACCCCACGCACGAAAGAAGGCAGCCGGCAGCCGCCGCGGTCGTTGCCAAGTCGGTTGTAGTGTATGAACAGGTCGGCCACCTGAGCAAAAGAAATCAAGTAAGTGTAGCCCCAGTGCAGTCCTAAAACACGCAAAGATTCAAGCACATCGTCCTACCTAGAGCCACGAAACAAGCCACAACTAGAGCAGCGACGCTCCGCGCATCAATTTTCTCAGGGGCACCGCCATTTTGGTGATTAGCGCAAAGCGGGTGCAACTAGTGACAATCGTACGACTCGAAAAGGGACACCCCGAGGTTCGGTGTCGGGAAGCTCGGGCGAAGTCATTTCACTTTGCCACGGACCGTTTTATTGTTTCTGGAAGACGAAAAACCGTTCCTCGCGACTTGCAAACTGCCTTATATCTGGTAATGTTTACGTTGGCATCTCCATCGCAATCGTGTCATCGGAGTTTAGGTAGATTGCACCAATAGCTCTGCTAATGATACGACAAATGCGTAACGGCTTGGGCGGAGCATCGGATATCGTTATAGGAATGACGTACTGAAACTCGCTATTCTCGGTTTAGGCCACACTCTCAGACGTCACAAGCAAAGAACACAGGAGCTGGGCGCACCTGAGTGTCGAACACGTTGTCGAGTTGAACCCGAAACTTGTGGTAAAGGCAGTCCGACAGGTGACGACAGCCGTGGATCACCTAAGGGCGGAGGAAGACGGGAAAATTTTCTCGAAGTCGAGCTTGGAGAGAAACATGGGGCAAAGCGCATTCTTGTAAAAATGACTGTATCAACGTAAGACAGAACGCAAGAAACATCCTCGAACTTCTGAGACAAGTTAATACAATGCCTCAAAACAGAATGAGAATGGCTGCTTCTTTGCAAGGCACTGAACGGTACTTCATGGAAATAAAAGGAAAGCAACAATAAAAAGATGCACCTTTTTTTGTTGCTTTTCTTTTATTCCTGGAAGGTTACCAGCATGCTTCAAAATGTCAAGTAGTACTTCATCTATATCGAAAAAATTAGCATGCACAAGATTTTTAGCCAACCAAGAGTGCATAATCGAGGTAGTAGTTTTAGAGAAACGCACATTGATATGGGTGACATCAGCAGTGCCTCACAGCTAGGTAAATCTCTAAATAAACGCGGTCGCATGCGCTTGACTACCCTGAGAACTTGTAAAGCGGCGGCAGTGGGAGGAGAAAAACACGCTGTTCAAACCACTGAACCAGTTCAAGGTAATAACATACTAAATAGCATAATCTACTGCAGGTTAAGAACAGCAGGACAAACTCCTCCTACGAGAGCCCTCTACTCTTTTCATTTTAACAGAGCAAACAATGGAGAGGGGGAAACCATCAATGATGGCGAGCAGAGAGCTTCGTGGGGAGAGCTCATCCTGTCATTCTAAACACACAACAGACTGTAGCATAAGTGAGATCAACAGTACGGATATCGAGACTGTAAAAAAATAACCTCGGAAATATTTTGCGCAGGACAACTACAAAGCTCCCATTCTCCGAAGGACAGAAGAGGATAATGCAGGGCACGCTCTAATGCAGTCACCTAGCATAAACCGAGACTCAACTTAAGGTAGTGACTACTCTCACTTCGACGTAGTTGGTATTCACCTCAGTCGGCCAACAACAGTGTAGCGCATTACCTTTTCAATGGCCTTTGACTCCAGAACTTGGCGCAGCCCCTTGTCAAACAGGGCGTCCTTCAAGGTCAACACGTCAAAGATGAACACCTTGGTTCCTGCGACAACCTGATAATCGAGACGCGGCACGATCAGACAACGTCGCCACCTGGCGTCGAAGCATACAAGGATCACACTGAATAGACCCTTTCTGAAATTGCTAAAATGATGCATAGATTATCCATAGCCGCCTTTAGTTGGTTTCAATGCTTCCAGCGTGAAGCCCATGATTGGTTCAGAGTATGTGCCGAGCACAGCCGCAGCACTCGTGTGGAATGCGTTTTGATCCAAGTACAGTCTGAATGCCGACGAAGCGCTCGTGTCCAATCCAGGCTCATGATGCATGACCAACTAATGGCGGCCGCACATAAACTATGCATCATTTCGAAATCTCCGAAAAGGTTCTATAGTACTACTGCGGTCTATTACAAACAATGAACCTTTTCCAGTAACGAGTGCTGTCTGCGGAGTTGTCTTCGAACTACAAATGAAAGGCAGCCCAACTTGCCTCTGCCCGTCAGAATACATTTGCATTCTGGTGTTGTATTGATCTTTATTGCCTTTTGTGACCCATACTAGTGTATAATCAAACAAGAATGGGCAAAAAAGATGAAATATGCAAAAAGATAGGTGCTGAATATGTTGATCGACAGGAACTTTGCCCTGCAAAAATGGTGACAGCAGGAAGCGAGGCCAGGAAAGGGGCTGTACGCATGTACAGAAGCCTACTGGAAAAATGCTCATTAAGCCTGTCACCATTGTGCTGTATGTAGATGCAGCATCAGTACCGTGAAATTTCGAGAGCCAGAGCAGAAAACATCAGGAGGGAGTAAGAAAAAAATAGACATTGACCAACTTATTTTTTTTTGCTTAGAGAAGAGGTATAAAAAAAGGACCTTACCGCGAGTACCGAGAGGCATCCGTTCCTTCCCACTGGACTGCCTTCGAAGCCGACTGCAATCGATGCTTCTCGATTGATGGCAGACAGCTTTGGAGTGTAGAAGGGGAAAACAGTAAGTTGCAGTCATCATTTGGACCGTAATTTCGTAAACTGCTCTCACTGAACAAACTCTGAAAGGCCATTTAAAGAGCTGCTTCAAATTTCTCATTTCTGAATGCTTCACAGGCTCAGATTCTTTTAAGCCTGCAGTTAAGAAAAGCTGCAGCCACTCAATCTGTCCGTCCAGGAAAGTCGTATGCCCTTTCTAGCCACAAGGATGTCTGCTTAGTGGCTTTGACTTAGCAGATTTTGTCAGCATACCCATTTAGAGTTTCCACCAGGGGAGAGCAAACAAAATGTGAGCTTAAAAGCCATCAAGATTCGGATTTTGGTTCAGGGCAACCTAACCTCACTCTCCGCAGAGCTGGAACTTCTATGTTTCAGTATCCGCTGAACGTTCCACAACTTTGGAACTTTGGAAGCAAGGCTAAAACACATAAACCCAAAAATAAAATATTAAAAGCTTGAAGCTGAATTGGTGTCTAATTGTACATCAATTCCATTTTCCGGCTACATTTAGCGGAAATATTATGCCTTACACCTTTGTATTATGCTTTCAAGTTACGTTTGCATTACTTTTCTTTCACTACTTTTACAATTTGATGAGTTACCCTACTTTCCTTTAGCTATTTTACTTTTTATTATTTTTACAATTTTATGAGTTACACTTGCACTCTTTTTCTTTCACTATTTTCACCTTTTTACTATTTTTACACGAGTCACATTTTGCTTTACGAAGCCCTAGCTTTTTTTATCGTGCTTACAGCATTGTCGAGGGCCACGTCAGCTTGGTCCACCACTTCAAACTCCGTTGCCATTGGGTGGCGAAGCTTGGGCAGATGTTCCGGCGATCCCATCACTGCAAAAAGCGCACCATAGCTTCAGCACCGGAGCGAAACCAATCGCGACAAAACAGCTAGCAACGATCGCTGCAGGTAAAACCGGGTGAAGAGTGACTCACTCTGCACACGTCCCTTGGTGATGATCTCCGAGTCGTCGCCGTCGAATAGGTGACAGATGAATTCGCGAGAGTGGATTGAAGCGTTGAGGCGCTCGAGATGTGCCGGCACGGGGCGAACCCTGAGAAGCCGCGGCCCCTCTTCTCTGCGGAGGAAAGTGCAAAGAACACAGAAATGTGTGCCTTGAATATTATTATCAGGTGATATTATAATGAAGCATTATTATTATTGTTATTATTATAAGTTATAACCCACTCCCCCCTTAACCCCTCCTCCCCATGGCCGCAACATTTTGGGCATGCATTGAACACGAGAGCTGCGTCAACGCTGGGCGCATACTCGGATCCAAATGTATTCGACGCGAGTACTATGTCACCGCTCGGCACAAAATGGGATCCAATCACACACTTTGCGCAGGGAGCGATGCCCAACATATGGTAGCTACCAGTGTTGCCTGATGAATTTTTGAAAAGGGTCGACTCAAGGCCATCTGAACCAGGAACATGCAAGAATAGTATTACTGGGGAAATCTCAATATTTTGTAGGCTTTAAAGCCGGGATGTTGATATGTCTAAGGTTCCATTATACAGCTTGAACTCTCAACTGCTATTTTGTGTGTGGGAGAAAAACCTCCAGACCAAGGAAACGCAGCCAAAGAATAAAACACATGGGGATCCCAAGAGGAGCACTGCGTGTTTTTTCCAACAAGTGTGAGTCGCAAGGTTTCCTTTACACATAGCTTGGCAATGTTTCATGTGAACAAGCTGACAAATGTTGACTGCCGCGAGACTGGAATGTCATGACTTAGCAACCATTACGCGAGTTTGCGCAAGGGCTGCTAGAAACAGCCGACACAGAAAAATAGCAGTGCCTTACTCTCTCTCGGGTAGCGACTTCTTGCGAGCGGAGCTGTCGAGAACCACGCCTGTAAAACAAGAAAAATTAAGCAACACGACAGACGTCGCATGTGACGACAACACCCTTATAACGGGGAGTAAATATTTCTAGAAAAGATGCAAAGACATTGGGAATCACGAGTGAAGTCTGAAGGAAAAAAAAAAACACTTACTTTGGGATATGTGAATAAAGGTTTAGACGGAGTGCACTAAGTCCAAGTACTTTTCTAATGCAATCATTCTGGATATGCTCCCAATCCCACACGTTCTATTAAAAAGCAACTTCGGTCAATATTTCTTAATTCGGGATTACGACAGTTTTCAGCTAAGGCAATGTCCCCAAGTTACAGAATATAAGTTTTTTCTTGATATTGCGTGTGGTTGTAGAAATATCAAGGCTTAAAGTTTGGTTTCGGGCGTCTATGGCAAAACCAAAACTATCTGCTAGAGGGACAGCAACACTGATCAGCGGTACAACTGTGATGCGACGTCATCGTGGTGCTGCGGCACGCGGCACAACTAATCGGCTGCAGCTCCACCGAGACCCAACGTCACGGGGGTGCTGTGCCAGTGTTCTTTGACTAAAAGCTAACCCACTTGCCGCCCACTAAAAACCAGCTGGTCGCATCTTTAAAATCTGTTTTAGTGGAGTGTGCGGCTTCACTTTGACGTAATATTACGGCTGTGATCGTATTTCGTGCCACTAAAGCGATACCAGTAATTTATTTTGTTGTCATCTTCGACTGGAGTTGCCCTTTAAACGAAAAATGATGCGGTAAAAACTGACTGCGTTATTTGGCATAGCAACGGCAACTCGGGATCTAGCATGGGAAGCCGAGGCTTGTGTGATGACCAGCTGAAAGGTACCTCTATAGCTCCAACCATTTATCAGTCTGCAGAACTGGGAAAAGAATGCTTTTTCCAGCATTGCCTCATCGGTCCTTTTCCAGATTACACATGACAGAACCGGAAACAGAAATTGAGATAGTTGGGACTTTGGACAGGCAACATTGTAGTGCGTGCTCGAAAACTTGGTTTGTCTCAGGCATCCCGCTTCGAGCGTCCAACCCGTTACACAACACTAATCTTAACACAGAACGTGTTTTGTCGCTGGCTCCTAGCATTTTTCTTTAATGCACGAGTGTGACATGAAAATTCGGCAGTACAAACAAGGAATGCCGGAAAAAGCGTGGAAGCGCTCGGTGTCAAATCGGGGTCTCTCCAGTCTTGCGCCAACAGCCCACTTGGAAAGAGAGACTTTAAAACGTCCCCACATGGCAGCGAGTGTCCTCGCACATTTGGAGAGAGAGTGTGACTTTGCAGGAGGCGAGGAGGAAGCGAACAAACATATGCCCCGGAAGAAATCACGAAACGCAGAACAGCAGGGTCAAAGTTAAGGCGCACAGTCTCAGGAGATGCAAACAACGCATTCCACCCTTAATGGGGCGCCAGCTCTGGCAGGGCTCCCTTTCAGAGACGCAACGCACGAAGACGTCCGCGCCAATCGAAGCGCAAAACGCCTTTAACTTGATCCGTGCGATATTGCCGCAAAGCGATGTACAATGCATTCTGTGTTACCACCGCCTTTGCCATGTAGTGCGGGAGAGGGGCAAATTTTTCTGTCGTAGTCACTGAGGGGGATGAGAACAGAAGGAAGAAGTTTGAGTTATCCTGCACGAGTGTTCTACCTTCTATAATGCTTCAACATTTCGCGAGTCTTGAGTGCATGCACACGGCCAAAGTGCAATAGAAGGCATGAAGAGCATGCTGGAGGTCGGGCATTCGAGAGACACGCCCTGCCATTTTCATTCTGTGAGTGACTACAGTACAAAGTGTCCCTAAAAAATATTTACAGGTTTTTTGACCGCAAAAATAAACTATGCATCGCCGAACGCTCATTCTACTACCCAAATGTAACACTAGTATTTAAAACCGGATGCCAAAGTTTCAGGACTAACCGTCACCTCATTCAAAAGTTGTAGGCGATTTTCAGAAATCTTTTTAATAGGAAAATGGCGGCCGACGGAGCTCTCGAATGCATGATGCCGAATGGCACCAGAGACCATTTTTTTGTTTAAATATTCAGAAATCGCTTTTAACTTCTGAATGAGATAACAGTCGGTTCTGAAACTTTCGGACCTGGTCCAGACCGCTAGCACTATATGTGGGCGGAGAATGGGCGTTTGGTGATGCATAGTTGCTTTTTAAAGGGGCACCCTGTAGTATGCATGCACGAAAAGAGGGTATGCAAAAGAACCGCTGGACACGTGCTGAAATGAAAAGATCACAAAGGGGCAAGACCTTAGTGGGCCCTGTCTACTTACAAGACTTGATGTTCTGGCCATAGAAATGCATCAGACCATTGATTGAAGTGTCCGTGTCTACATCAATAACTGAAAAATAAAGAAAACAGAAATGTGTATCAATCAATCAGTTTGAGCAAAAACGAAAACCTATTTACACAGCCACAAAAGATTATTTCTTTTACCATCAAAATAACTTTGCAGGGTTTATTTTTTATTTTTTTATGTAGTTCTAACTTTGGTGCTAACTTCTCACATTTAAGGGGGATTCACTCACAATTTATTTGCATCCTTTTTTTCATAGATGGCGCGGAGTTTTTCAGGAACAGACGAGTGGGGTGGGCTTGGGCCACGGGCTGTTTGCCACCAACCTAAGTTTTATTCGCCCAGCGTTTGCCACTACCGTCAGGGGCCACTGGCCAGAGTGGGGCACGAGCAATATAGTAAAAAAAAATGGCTCCGACATCCGACTGGCTCAGACATATTTTACATAAACATAAACATATCTTATGAACAGCCTAGTTGCTCATGTTGCTTCGTGTTGGTAGTGCACTTAGGTTTTGCATGCAGATGCAGCCGTTCATACACCTGAAGCCTTGTCATCTTGTATCGTCTTTGGCGTCGCTCATCGCTTGTTTGTCGCATGGAATTTGGTTTCAGACGAAATATGCAGCGACGTGTTGAAATAGGTTTTGCAGTGCAAATTTTGCAGGGGTGGAACTCACGAAATGTACTTTGGAGCAGCCACGGGAGCAGCTGAAACAGCTGTTTTGGAGCAGGTTGGGAGCAGCTAAAACTACATTTCGGAGCAGGTTAGGAGCAGCTCAGATTAGTTTTCATTGCATTTCAGCTGGAGTTTTAGTCAAGCACGGGAGCAATTTCAATTGTGCTTAGCAGCACATATGAACACGAGTGCACGGTTAGGGACCTCGTTAGATCGGATGACATTGTGAAGGATGCGAAAACTTGAAACTGTGTGAGCCTTAATGAGAACCAACAGGGAATAACCACATGTTTCTGAAGATAGCGCCCTTGATATCTTCTGACTGGCTTTCAGCAGCTCAGAATGCAAAGCAGCATTGCTTATCGCAAAACCCACACGTGCTCGACATAGTAATTATACGTGTGAACCACGTGACGTGCTTAAGCAACGGGCGTGCAGGTGCGCGAAGGAACAGGTAAACAAATTTTGAGTTTATCCTATTGGGCAACTCAATATCGAAGCAGCAGACTACGATTAACGGAGTTATCGTATTCGAAGCAATAAGGAACAAGGTTAAAGTACGCCGAGCAGATCTACCGCTTGCGTGAGAGCTGCTGGCCGGCAAGGTTTCGGATTGGGCCGCGTTTCAGAAGTTATCAAATCACGATTTTTCTTGCGGGAATGCGGTTCCAGCTTCTAACAATGAAGTACTAAAAGGAATCTTTTGCCCATTTGTTTTTAACTGGCTGACGTCCGGATCCCGGGCCGCAGAGCCCGAGGCAATCTGACGCTTAACGGCTCGACCTCACTTCGGCCGACTTGCTTAGCCGCTTATGGTTGAAGAGTAGTAGCAGGTGATGTAGTGCTTGAAATCAGACCTCCGATTTCTTTCGCGCGCTTCAAGATTCGGGGTACACAGGGAGAATAAAGAGATAAAATTATTGCAAGGTCGACCCAGCTAAACGCGCTCATTGTTGCCAATCGAGTCGATAGAAACCGAAACCAAAACAAAATACTATTTTTTTTTTTGGCGCACGTTTTGCGATTTGGTGCATAATGGCGCCAGGTATTGGTTGTGGCGCAATTTCCGCAACATGGCGCAGGATGGCGCAGACAAATGCGTATGGCGCAAAATGGCGCAAATGGCGCAGCCGTTCCACCCCTGATTTTGCTGTTAATCTTGGCTCCATACCTCGGCAAACCTCACTCATGAGGGCCCTCACTCACCCTCATCTTCACAGGTGGGGTGAGGGTGAGTGAGTTTCTGAACCAGGAAAATTCATGGGTGTGAGGGTGAGTGAAGGCCGTGAGGGCGATGAGGGCGGTGAGGGCGGTGAGGGCCATGAGGGCCATGAGGGCGGTGAGTGGCGTGAGGGCCATGAGTGCATGAGTGGTGTGAGGGCGGTGAGTGCGTGAGGGGTGTGAGGACCATGAGTGCGTGAGGGCAGTGAGTGGCATGAGAGGCGTGGGGGCCGTGAGGGTGGTGAGTGCATGAGGTGTGTGAGGGCCATGAGTGCGTGAGGGCGGTGGGTGCGTGAGGCCCCCTTCAGATCGAGCATCTTTCTCAGCAATTTTGGTGTTAATGGCGGGTTGTTCTCTAGCTTTCCCTAGATCGACACGAATTGCTGAGATAGGGTCCGGCTCGAAATAAGCAAGCAACTCGGAGCAATCCGAATACGTTTGAAGCGGCTGCATCCGATCAGGGACGCAAAATTTTCACGTGATACTTCGTGCCGGTAATGATGACACCGAAAGACTTGGTTCTGGTTTGAAATCGATCGTATTTTGGAAATAAACTGTTTCAGAAAGGTGCATTAGTATTCTTAACGAGATTTTGATGCATAAAAACACGTTTATGACGCATAATTGCGTCTAAATAGTGCAAGAAAAATAAAATTTTATGATGACGATGGCAAATTGCAGCAATTGGTTGCTGCGTGTGATCGCGGGCCGCCCGCGTTGCTGGTGTTGTGACGTAAAGTTTCTGGGCGAAATTGCCCCATCTTAAGCTGGCCTGAGTGCCGTGAGGGTCATTAGTGCGTGAGGGGTGTGAGGGCCGCAACGGCGGTGAGTGGCGTGAGGGCGGTGAGTGGCGTGAGGGCTATGAGTGCGTGAGGGCGGTGAGGGCCGTGAGGGCGGTGAGTGGCGTGAGGGCCATGAGTGAGTGAGGGGCGTGAGGGCCGTGAGGGCAGTGAGTGCGTGAGGTTCAGTGAGGGTGAGTGAAGGGCTGAAGGTGAGTGTGACTGTGAGGGTGAGTGAGGGGCTGAAGGTGAGTGCAGCTGTGAGGGTGAGGGTGAGTGAGGGGCTTAGGTGAGTGTGGCTGTGAAAGTGAGGGTGAGTGAGGGCGACCTAAAATGCCGACCTCTGCTTGGCTCTACTGAGTTCAGCCTTTAAATGCGAGCCCGTAATGAGTAGCACCACACTATGCACGACTCACGGCCGTAGGTAGAAAATATCTTGTGACCGTGACGCTATTTTCCGCGCTTGTATACGTTCGCGCGCGCCTTGCTCGCTTTCGGAATCTACGAACATGTTTGTGCTGAGCTGTGAAGATTGCATGCTGAGTAGTGCAATCGTCACAACCCAGCGTTTTGTAAACAAAAAGCATCTGGCCAGTACGATTCTTGGCGTTCATGCCTATGGCATATGCTTTGGTCACTTTTCAAAATGACGAAAAATCGTGGCATTCTGGGCTGTCATTTTGTAAACAAAGAAACGGCGTATAATCGTCTTCCAGCATTTGCTCACTACTGCTAATAAAGCATTAAAAAAACAAGAAAACATAGTACACCACAATTAGCGTCTTATCAAAACGCTAACAATTTCGCATTCATTGTTTGCGTGCAACATGAGCAAGTGTGCTGAGGCAGGGAGCTTTTTCTAAGTGAAGAGCGCGTGTGTACCGCACCGCTTTGAGCGACGCCCGAAGCTACGCGACTGCACGAGCGCATGAAGCGTTGGCGTCACAGTTGGGGTAGCCAGAGAAAGCTGTGCTATATCCGTGCCAGGCAACGTTACCTGGTGCCAAGGAAATGGTGCACAGCATTCGCGCCGTTGCTTGACACCAGGTGCGGGCAAAATAGGTTTTGCCAAATAACTGCACGATTTTTTTGCCGTCTAGAGACTGGGTCTAAATAAACCCACCTATAATAATCAAAGCCCGCACGTTACAATTTTTACGTTATTAACACTGATATCGAGCGCAGCGTCAACGTTCGGCTGGAAGTCGTGTCCACTCAATGCGTCTACAGACACTCAGCGTCAGGCTTGGGCTCAATTAACAAGCTGGCACCTTTCGAGTGTGACAACATACTGTTGAAGAAGACAAAGTTGTTCAGAGGCTTGTTTGAGACGATGAGATGACGTTGTGACGCCGTGACAATGTGCAATGCTGCACGCCTTTCTCAGACTTTCAAAACTGATGCAGCGAGCAACGGCAGTGAGCAAAGTGACCCAGTGCCCCAATCCAGCTTACTTTCTATGTCATTTCAGAAAACTGAAAAGTGCATGTGTACAGATCTGAACCGTGCTCAAGCTGCGCGAGTGCACGACTCCAAAAGCTTTGGCCATAGCTTCCTATTATATATGGGACTGTGCTAATTATACATTGGCTTCATAGCCACAAAAAGCGGTGTCAAGCAAACTGCGCGCAGCACCGGATGCGGCCGAGATCGGCTTTGCCCAGCGGCTTTGTCGTAGAACTGAGAGACATTACTGACGTCTTGAGAATGGTTTGAAGACAACGCACGTAGGATGTAGTGATGCAATGCTTTGCTGGCTCTGCCGCACGCCTACCTTTCAATTTCAGGAGTATATGATCGCGACCGATACCGTGAGCTATCCTAGAGTAACTATCACAGCCAATCCAGCACCACGTGACCTAGAGCTCCGATAATCACAAGGCGAACCTGCACAGTCACATCCCCTCAGTGATGGATTGACCCCAGTGGCAATTGTAGAATCCGCATGATACATCTCAGCTATTTAAGTGACCTGTTCTTTATGTGATCGCTGATTACAGACTTTTATCCCTAGGCAACTGTGCATGCCCACCGCCATAACATTTACACCTTCCATCTTTGTTTCCCCTTATTCCTATTATTTCACTTCATCATAACCATAGCAGGTCAGGTTATTGCCATTTTAGATTCTACTGTGTCCTTCTCAGCATTGGCCTTTGTAAAGACTCGTCAATGCCCGTTTCAGGGGCTCGGTATCTCGGTAAGACTAGAGAAAGTCAGCAATGGCGGCTGTAACTTAGTGAGTGCCTAAAGCGTCTATGTACTCAAGGCTCCATTTCACCATAAGTGCAAGCAAAGCCGAAGGCACGAGCGATGTGGTTTTGTGACCTGTACAGACGCCACACCAGCTTCCATTGTGGTGGTTTTGCTGCTGAGCATGTATCTTTTGCAGTTTTAACTGTGTACTACGCATTTCTTTTTTTGCAAGAAGTAGAATGCACACCAGCATGGTGTAAGGACGATACGTGCAAGCCATGTGTAGCACTAACTCGGCCAAACTGGAGTCTTCTTTCCTTTTGAGCTATGTGACGCCGCGTCAGAGAGCTGAGTTGGATGACCACGTTCACGGTCGTCTTGGGATCATCATCAACGTCCGCCTTGGTTCATGCACATACCGAACGTGGAAAACATGGCATTTCTACACAAGTAGATAATTAAATGTGACATAGCACGAGCTCGTACGCTGAGATACACCACAGCGCATGTTTTTTCTCATTGGTCCTATTTTCTGTGTGGTGCAGCACAGAAATCTCACGTACCATTCTCCGTAAGGTGGTCTAGAGGGGGTGGTGTGTAAAGCAAAGGCTGAGGCTTGGTCCCGGTGTGCGTGGATGCCGCATGGTGGCACTTTGGAGAGGGGCGCCGTAAATGCTCAAGAAATGCAGTGCACGAAAGTGCGGTGGCTGCTACTGCTTGTGTGTTTTGCAGCTCTTGGTTACATCAGCCCACCTAACATTTGGAGTGTTATTTTTCACAAGTGCTATCAACGTCGTGCTTTTGCTTTTTCAAGCAATTGCAGCGGTTTCTACTTTATTAGCGCAAGGCAGTGCACAGATGCACCCCCCTGTCAACAAAATGCCTTTCACATAGTGTGCTTGTCCACCCTGGGGATCACGCAGGCCCACTTCTGAAACGCATCGGGGTTTCTCGGATTTCCGAATTTTATTAGAAATCTCCATGCTCTTAGGCTCAAGGGTTGTCGACCTTCATTACACCTTTAAAATGAACCTCAAAAATTATCAATACTCTTGTGCATTGCTGAAGGTCAAGTTAGTGTAGGAAAACTAGCGCATTAACGGAAGAGTGGGTGAATTCCACTTAAAACGTGCAAATGTTCATGTTTTTATTTTTTTTCAAAATCGACAACATTGTAAACTTTTATTTTTTTTTTTATGGACGCTGTTAAAGCTGGTGATGCTCCTTGTGTATCCCAGTGATTCTATAGAGTATTCATTTAGCATTGCATTTGCACACTCTCTTGCAGCCAATGCCACAAGCACGAGACAAGGCTCAAGGTCCTTGCTTTGAGGCGTTCTTCAGCACAAGTCTAGGAGAATTTGTCAAAAGCCGATTCGTCAACGAACAATTCACTGAATGGGGCAAATCACACTAGGCGAATTCGTCGAACGGGAAACTCTTCGAAGTGGCCAGTTCGCAAAAATATTCGTCAAAAGAACTCCAACAAAGTTGGAGTGATGTGCTTAAGCCTAGAAGGAAATCTCGCCACAATTCGCAGACTTGCAAATGCAAATATGATTATCGAGATCGAGAAAAAGAGCGACGATTTACAAATATTAGCTGCTTCCTTGGTGTAGCCTTTTTGTAAATTTGTGAATATATGTACAAAAAATTGTGTAGGTCAAAACGAATAATTGCAAGTGAGCTTTTTCTGGTTCCGTACAAATTTTGTCTTTGCGAAGTTGTAGAAAGAATAATGGCGAAAACAGGTTTTATAGTCTTCTTGCGATAGCCGTGCCTTCAAGGTTGTTAGTTAATGTAGCCTTGCAGGCTTTTCTTTGCTGACAAATCCAGTACGCCACGGTGGCTGCACCAACAGCAAGGTGGCGTTGGCTGTACGAGTATTACATGACCATCCAGGATCAGAAGATTAGCCCTTCACTTGGTCTTCCCGAATTCCATGATGATTGAGTCGAGTGAATGTCTTCACGCAGAGCCCGGCTTTTATAATTTTGAACGACCCGAATTTTCACAATTCACTACCGGACCCTTGTAAATTCTGTGAACTGAAGTTGTAATCCTTTATTCCTGGCAAACAGGGTCCCATTGTTGACCTCCAACGTCCCCGGGTAACTGTAGACAACCCTGTGCAACTCTTTTCGGCCGTTCGACCTAGTTCGACGAACGGGAACCTTCGCCCGATTCTTCGCTCTACGAATTGGCCCAGGACAAAGTGCCCTATTCGACAAATTGGCCTTCTTCGAGTTGTCCGTCGACCAATGGGCTTTCGACGAATTGGCCGGATTCGCTTCAGCACGAGCAACAAGGTGGGCGATTTGATTGATGGTCATATTGAATGGGTTAAAACACCGCAAAAAGACGAAGGACCAGTAAAAGGAAACACACAGACTAGCGCTGTGTCCGTGTGTTACCTTTTACTGGTCCTTCGTATTTTTGCGCTGTTTTAACCCATTCAATATGACAGCACGAGACTACGAGCACTCGCACTAGAAATGCACGTCCCAAAGCCAGGAGCACGGGCTAGCTCGCGCATGTAGTTTTGGTTGCAGTCCATAGGCTCGCTTCAATAATTGCAACACAAATTTGCTACTTTTTTTTTTTTTTTTTTTTTTTTTTTTGCGACACAAAGAAAACGGAAAGAACAGTTGCATCTTTCGGGAAAGATGCAGCAGTTCTTTCCGTTTTCACGGAAAACACAAGACGTTTGGAGATGTCTAGTTCTGTTTGATAATATTTTCTTCACGAAAATAGTTGTTTTCTTGTGAATTCGCGTGAGCGAAGACAAACAAACACCCAACGAACAGACACTACGAGAAGAGAAATGCGCGCGGCGAAGTTGGACGCGCATGGAACAGTACCTTTGTTGAGCGTGATTCTGGACGTCTCGGACGAGACGTTGACGACGATTCCCTCTCGATCTCCATCGTAGGTTCGCAAAAGGACGCGACACCCTTCCAGCTCCGACGTTAACCACCTCGACATCGCTGACTGTTCCCACACAACTTCCAAACGCCGCAAGCAGAAACCGAACTTCGTCCTGCCGCGGTGGTGGGTGGTCGGCAGTCGCGCTGGATGGATGCGCGGATGTCCAGCGGATGTCGGCTCTGGTGGATGTCACGGATGTCACTCTGGTAATGGTTAGATGGTTAGATCTTAATGCGGTAGCTTGCGCCACCTAGCCTAAGTCACTGGTTGGCTGCGAGGACGATGAGTAACTCTAGGGCACTCTAGGGTAACAAAGGTCGCAACTACTCGCATCAACCACTGTGGCATCAACTGCATCAACTTCGACTCTCCAACTGAGCGATCGAGCAAGTTTTCCGGTTCCGTCAAGTCTTTTCCGCTGCCTGTCGCGTAGCGATCCTGAGCGAGTTGGCAGACAGGCCACATCAAAAATGTAAGTTTAGAGCTCAAACGCGGTTTCGACCGTCGTTTTACAACAACTCGTTAAAGGAACAGTGATCCGTGACGTTACCCACAACAGTTGTTTTCAATTGTTTTGTCCAGGAATAAGGTAACATTCAAGATTACGCTAACTTCGGACCCGAAGCTGCCATTCAAAGTGTAAGTGATGCAGTTGGCACTCGTGCTCTTGCGCTAATTTATCTGTTACAGTTGGTATTGATGTTACTTATCGACAGGAGACGACCTTCGTTTTCGTGTTGCGGATAGGTTACGGGAAACGGCTTTGCGGTAGATCTGTCCGCTTGTAGCATATGCGTGCGATCGTCATTTGAAGCATGTATCCACATACGATCAGTGTTTTAATTTTGCACTACTTCCAGGCTCAGCGTTCCCGAATGCACACCGTTCACAGCGGTGCTAAAGTTCGCTGCAGAAGAAGTAAGTTAGTTTACTCTAACAATGTTTCCAACGTCAGCAAAAAAAAAAAAAAAAAAAAAACCACCGATTCATTTTGTTTGGAGAGGACACAAGATGGCCGAGGCCGCTGTCGACCATTTTGTGACATTAAAGATGTCTGCTTCACTTCATCTTGTGAATGTCATTGTATTGGCAAATCCTAAAAACTAACTTTCTTTTTTGCAGTTCAAGGTACCCCCCGCAACAAGTGCAATAATTACCGATGATGGCATTGGCATTAACCCCTCTCAAGCAGCAGGTATGTTTGCACATTCAAAGGCCACCATATAAGTACAGTGGCCTGGGATGGGGTAGTACGCCTCGCAAGTGGGCTCATTTTCGTCTTCTGCGCATGAGAAAGGAAGTAGCGGTGACGTCAGAACGCCGAGCCCCGATTGGCTGATCGCGACCCCCTATCTGAGCGTCGTCTGCTCCTTTGCTACGTCGTCTGCTCGCAACGTCGTCTGCGTCTGTCTTACCTTTCCTGCGACTTTCGGAAGTGCAGGTCTTTACGAGCGAGCTCGACTTTGCTTTTCAGAGAGGGCAGACGAAATAACTCGAGCGGTACGTTGTTTTTGTCTAACAACTAGCAGACGCGCATCAAGGAGGGAAGTCAAAGGACTCACTGGCGAGGTGTCCCGAGGCGCCGAGGTTTGTTTGCTAAGAACCGAGAGTGAGGGTGGCTAGTGTCCGCAAGTTCCCTCCCAAATACTTTTTCCCTCCTTTCGTGTGCGGCGAGACCCCTCGTTCTTTAACGGCGTCGGCGGGTTGGCGCAGTTAACGTCGTCTGCTTTACGTCTGCTAGTCAAAGCGATGGCTGCTCTACCTTTCCTGCGTCTGTCGGTGATTCACTGCTTTTTCACCAGCGAGAGTCACCGTTACCTCGGGAAACAAGGAGAAAACAAGAGGAAGAAATTGACCTCTTAATCTAAAACTGAGTTCAGCGATCAAAGTATAATACGGGAAGAGTTCACAAGGGTCGCGTGGGCATATTCCATTCAGCACACCAGCCGGTCGTGGGCAGACGGTCGCCGAGTCGCGGAGTGCCTGCTAAGCCTAACTGCCGTGCTCGCTTGGTCGCGTTCGGTGGAATCTTGGCCGTTGGAGCTTTTCCCGGGTGTTTGTGGATCCAGCGTTCTTGTTCGTCGTGGTCTGTTTCAAGTGCTTTTTACTTTTTTTCTTGCTGCTTGAAGTCGGGACGCGTGAGAAGCGTACGTAGAAAAATAAACGTCCGTGGGTCGTCGCGACCTCGACGCTGTCGGCCATGCTGATTTGATCGTAAGAAGTGCTATGACAGCTTCGGAGCTGTCGTAGGATTTTGTCGTAACCTGCGCAAAACTTACGAAAATTTCGTTTCGTGAATATGAATTTGTTTTTAAGTTATGTCTTACGCACATTTTTGGCTTAAGATCGTTTCGTGAATCTGGCCTCTGCACTTCCGAAAGTCGCAGGAAAGGTAAGACAGACGCAGACGACGTTGCGAGCAGACGACGTTGCCAAGGAGCAGACGACGCTCAGATAGGGGGGTCGCGATCAGCCAATCAGGGCTCGGCGTTCTGACGTTGCCGCTACCCCCTGCGCAAGAAGCAGACGAACTTGCCCTCCGCGTTGGTTCACAGCAGAGCCGTGTACAGAAAGAGTTTGGTCAATGGGAGGAGCAGAAAGAGCCAGGGCGTGCACCAGACGCAGAAAGAGGGTTTGACATGCTCTCTTGTCCAACTAGAAGCCGAAAAGAAACCCCTGACGGTGCTGGCGTCAGTTTTCGATCAGAGGTATATGGTTTTAATAAGCGCGTAATAGTTAAATGTAGTAACTTTTCATGGTTAAAAATAGGGTGCACGTGATGTTTTGGTAATGATCATGCAGCAAGGTGTAAGTAACGAATGTGCCGCTCGGACGGCAGACTCTCGGCACCTAGCGTGCGGATTATGTCGATCGTTCTAGTCACGCTCTTCCACCATGATTTTGGATGACCATGATTGCAGCATCACGAGCACCATATTTTCAGTCGCCGAGAGTTACTCCGATGCACTTATTCATTTCGTTTCCCGCAACCAATTTCCTGCTTCTGGTTGGCCACATTCAAATTTGTGAAGAGTGATGGCCGAAAGCACGCCCAGCATGCTTTCGGCCAATGGCGTCTTCTCATTTTACTCCTATACTTCCCCATGAATGGCCAAACTCTTTGTTGGGCCTTATACATGGTTAAAGCCAGCGAAACAACGTAAGGAAACTGCAGAAGAATACAGGAGACAGGATAGCCGCTGATCAGCGTCTATCCTGTCTTGTATTCTTCTACAGTTTCCTCACATTGTTTCGCTGACTTTAACTATGTATAACGCTTGCCAACTAGCCCAGCTCACCACCCTTCTCTGTTTGGCCATTCATTGGCCAAACAGAGAGCTTAACCAATGAATAAGACTCCAGAGTCGGAGCAGACATGCATCCGACGAAAAAAAAACACCGACGTACACACGTGCCGACACGCACACAATCGCAGAAGCGCACGGGTGAGCTTCAGGAGGAGCCGACCGGAGTACGACCTCTCGATTTAGACACGAATCGCCCCAGCAAGCAGGCACGGTGAGCCCACTTCACCGTTCCAGGCCACTAGTTTGTATGTCAAAGGCAGATAACAAAAGTGACGGTGTTCTCGCCAAAGAGTTCTTACTTTATGCGTTTCAATTTCAGTGATGACAAAAAGACTACTACTCTGTACAACGCGTTTACCCAAGTAAAACTTTTTATAAAGTTTATCACATCAATGGGCTCGTGGGCCGAGTGTGTGTCAACTGATTTATTAGATGAGAGTCTGAAAGGAATGCTACATTGTTCTTACGAACTGTCTGGTGCGTGCCAAAGGAAGGCGAGGGTTTGAGGGATTCAAATGACACCCTAAAATATGTAGGGTACAAAAGCTTGCAGGTCTCATGACATAGACTTGGAATGACAACGAAATAGCCGACTAGCCTCTTGACATGAACAGATGCCATACACTCGGACACGGTGGGCTGGAGGGAAAGGTGTGCTGATTGCCTGGTTCTGCATAGTAGGCTGTTAGCGATGGTGTGGGTGGTTTTTGCTTCTCCGCGTTGTGGCAGGAACGCCACCTGTGCATGATCCGCACGGCAGCACTGTTGCTCCCAGTCAAGTCACATGGCACCTTGCTCTTGCCAATTAGGAAATGTGTTGCCTAGGATCAGAAAGGAAAGAAGAGGGTGAAGTTGCTTTGATGTTGGCCTTTACTAAAGTGAGCTCCAAATCTGTCTAATTTTCGGCCCCCACGTGTGCTGTCGGAACCTTTGTCGCATGAACACAAGGAGCATCCGAATCCTGTAGCATTGGGCTCGTCACATTGGGGCAGGCTCCGACATATGAACCGACTGAAGAACCCTGGTACAGCTATGACCGCTCACTTCCGCCTAGCCCACTTTAATTTCAGCACACCGAGGCAAATAGTTTACGGCGTCAGGGCAAGTGTGGGGTCGATAAGATGCAAACGTCGTGGGTCTGCTCAGCCAATTGTCTACACAAGCCAGGCCCCTGCTTGTTTTGACAAGGGCAACCAGCGTAGAGGTGCGCGGTCGGGTAATAAGAGCAGCGTGGAGGACGTTCCAGACCTCAGGTTGAGTCCCGGACTGCACTGGAGGAGTTACCCCTCCACGCCGTGGAACCGTGCCACCGAATCTTGGAGGTAGATTCTGCTCACGCTATTTAAACATTCCCTCATTCAATATCAAAGTTAAACACGAGGAATATTACAAAGGGTTCTGTACGAGTACCTGTGTTTACAAGAATTGCAGCATACTTCTCAATAAAGGACGTCTGAAAGGAGGAAATATTATTCAACACCACTGCTCTGCACCGGAGTGAGAGCCGAGCCACCTAACCTTACAGGTACACTTTTCTCTACAACAAAAGACAAAGCCCGTTTTCTAACCTGGAAGACAAATATCCTTGGACAACTACTGGTATTGCGAGAACCTTCTATTGAAAACCGCATGCTACGGTTTCATTCTCGTAGCGGGAGACTATTACATAAAATAAGATAAAGCGCAACGGGAAGAAAAACGGTCAGCATGTAGCATGCAACTGAGTATACTGTCGACCGCTATCAATACCAGACGATCCCAGCAGATGCGGCAAGAGGCGCACGATTTTTGGCAGAAATTTTCATCCGATTCAATGACTGCACCATCTACTCCCGTCCTGGATTGAACCGATGCAGGCAATGAGCACACCTCCTCCTTCGGCCACCCTAACTCAGAAGACGGTGGTCATCGAAGTTGCCGGACTAAATTTTGGAATAAGTCTACCAGCGATCTGATCGTTACAATTAGAAAATGCGACTTGTTGAGCTTGGATATGGCGTGTGGAAACTCGCAGTGTTAGTTCAGTCCGTCGTAGACCGTTCTAACATTTCGGAACGACAGTAAACCATTTCCTGCAATTTCAGACAGTTGGCAAAATTGATCTTGAGCACTAAGTAGTAGTACTAAGTACCTAGGCTAGGTGGCGCCGTCAGTTATGAAGGGTACAGCCATTAGCATCCATCCATCTGATAGGTGAAGTGTCAACACTCGGAAGCATGGCTTATCTAGTGGCTCTCATTGTACCAAGGCCTTTCTATTAACTTCAATTTTTCCTTTGCAGGCGACATCTTTCTCAAGTACGGGTCTGAACTCAGACTCATTCCTCGAGACAGGGTTGGATATTCCAGTTAACTAATGCGTCTCAATACTATGAAGCCGACTAAGTTTCATGCAAGAGTGGACGTTTTCAAGTGATGCAGACGGAGGGTGCTGGTGTGTCTGCACGAACAAGCCGGTGAATGCTTCACCCCAAAATTTGTTGAAAACAACGATGCCATTGCTTTGTCCTACAGTGTCCAGATTGTCCATTCCATGTAACAAGGGGCACCGTGTAATTGTTTATTTGGTCCAATGATCTTTACTCGAGAATCTGCGCAGATTTGTAATAAATTTTCACATTTTATCGAGGTTGTTTCGTTCCATTGTACTAGCCCGACAATGTGGTATTGCCAAACACAGAGATCGGCGCTCATTTTAAGGATCAGAGTTTCGTGGAATACCTGCCAAGTTCTATAACCTAAACCGAATTCTTAGTGCCACAAATTAGAGCTAGTACTGGTCAGCCTTGCACAGTAAGGCAATTATGTTGCTTTTAATCTGCGCACAGTGCAGCAGAGAAGTAATATTCTGCCACTCCATAGTTTTCAGCAGAAGTGCAGCAACTTTTATTTGTTACTAGTGTTTGCAAATTCAATTCCATGAAAAAGAAAAGGCTGCATGTTAGAGAAAAAAATGGCTTTAAAAGCACCAGCTTAGGCCAACTTTACACTGAGCAACATCTTAATAATGCAGCACTGGAACTGCTGAAACCACTCCCATGCATTCACATATAGAAGTAGCGACAAATCAATTTGTCATAAAAAAAAATATTATTTTTTTCTCACTATTTAGAGCAGGGGTCTCAAACATGCGGTCCACAGGCAACAATCTATGTGTCCCGGTTCCGATGTCTCGATCGCTAGAAATGACATGCGCCATAGTGATTTCATATCGCCAAATCATTTCCGCTCTGTATAGCTCTGCTCTTTTGGCGTATTCACATAGTTTCTACTTATTTGTTTGTTTGCCTTTTGTTTTGCTTCATTCTATGCTTCCCAGCTTTTAGCTATGTTCAACACCTGTAAAACAATTCCGCTACGAGGCTGAAAGCGCAATCTCTTCGTTGAAGGATGCATCTCTGCTGCGCAAACTCTCGATCAGCACGAGCTCAGGATTCTCGCCTTAACAAATATCACCATAAGAAGAAAAGTATTTTTTCTGAGTCTTCTACTAGTAAAAATCGTCAGGAAAGCAAGAACTGTCAAATTAACGGATTTTTTTTTTTTTGATACATGTTCAGCTTGTTTAATTACCGAGTGAATTGAACAACGGGAACGACAATGTACTTGCTCTTTTGTTCTATTAAAAATGCCAGCATGTTGACAAGGCAGTGTCATTTTAATTATTATCACATCAGGTCAGTGTCGAAAGTGGTCATATAAACAAATCATATCTTGAAAGATGTCAATGGCAAAACTGAGTTTACAAAGTGCATAGAGCACGAGGTCTCTTAAATCTTTGGATCCCCCCCCCCCCCCATCTCCCCTTTGACTTTTCCGGGGTGGACTGTCTGGCTCCACACTAAAGCGAGTTCGAGACCCCTGATTTAGGGATTCCTCCAGCAAAACCTGTTCTTGCATTTTTATTGGTAATGCTACCCAATACTCTGGAACCACTCGCCCTCAAAACCAATTAGTAAACAGCAAACCATAAAAGAAGTGAAAACCCTCTCCCAGAGTACCATCCCTCACGACCACACATTCAGCACCCATCTTTAAGCGTATTTAGTCTTTTTTTTGAGTTCAGATACTATACCCGTTTTCACCGCAAGAATCATAGTAAAAAAAAAGAAAGTGACCTCGGAGCATTAGTATTAATGTCCCCCTTTTAATAGAAAATCAAGATATACAAAGGTACATTTTAGATTAGATGTACATTATAGAGACGTACACCTTTCAAACATCAAAAGCATCGCTTCTTCCTCCGACAACACACCTTGTAGGGACTGCTTTGCACAGCATGGGAACAAAGAGGTGAAAACGAGTACAGTATGAGGAAAAAAAAAAAACAATGAAAACCAATGCAATGGCACAATGCCAGTGCTTTCTGATGACCTTCAGCTGCCCTTCACTTGTAGTTTGCAGACAACTCTCCGGACGTAGCTCGTTACTCGAAAATTGCAGGAAAATTTGCCCAGTCTCGAACTGGACGAACTTTGTACTAATGCAAGAATTCCGAAAAGTGTACACACTTTTCGAAATGATGCATTATGCAAGGCCGGCATTAGATGGTCATACACTGCGAGCATGCATTGGACACGAGCACTTTGTTGGCATTCGGACAGTACTCTGATCGAAAATGCATTCCACGCGGTGCTGGGCGCAAACTCGAAACCAATCATGGGCTTCACGCTGGAGCGACAAGACCAACTAGTGGCGGCTGTGCATATTCTATGCATGCTTTCACCATTTTGGGAAGGGTCTATTTCATGATGCACGTCAAGACCACAGGCTACCAGCCATACTGCACTTCCTAAATTTCTTTTCACAGCAGAGAATAGATGCCCTCGGGGCAAGACCCAACTCCCCACTCTCTAGTTACAGCGAGGTTACACAAGAGTCTTAAAAAACTCGCTGCGAACCCGAAGTCTCGGCTTGCCAAAAACATCACGCATGGTCTTTGCGTCCAAAATACTTTTATTGGCCACACCGCCGGACCAAAACGCCTGCAAACAGCATCCGTCGTCGCACGAATATAAATATTCCCATTATAATAATACGCAGCAGTCTGTATATTTAAAAAGAACAAAAATGGAAAAACATGTCGTTATTATGACTAGTTACGCAGGTTTTACGGATTAAAATTAGTCTCAATATGGAATGCCGTAGAAATTAAAAAATTGCACCGACACTTTTTCACTGCTTTATTAGCGAGCAGTGTTCGAAGCGATTATAAAATCCGATTTAAAAAAAGCGGATGAGCAAAGAAAGTGTGTTGCCTGACAACTTGCGCGACTTCCCCCAAATGAGTATTCGGCCGCAAGTCGCATTCGTTATGCCAAATTTGAAAGTTTGTCTAAAAGACCCAGACGTTAAGCGATTCTCCAAGATTACATTCCAAACCGTTCGTGCAGACGCGGTAAATAGGTAAAAAATAAAGGGAAGGGGCAACGCCTAACCAGTTCCCCAGCGCAAATCGTAGAATGCCCGTGCGTCGCAGGCGACGCCTCGTCTTGCCCGGTCTCTGCTGGAAAATGGTGAGCAAGTCTGGTGTCGACCAAAAACAGCACCTCAACTAGATCCACTCGCTAGGACGACGGAAGGGTTTTGGCACAAAAACAAAAGTTACCGCGCTTCAATCGATAACTGCTTTCTTGCTCTCTTGCTAGCTTTCGTAGTAACTGCCGAGAATGATGTTGTGTCGGCAACATCGCGCCTACGAGACATCCTAAAAAAAATTGTTTAGTCGTGGTTATATTTTTTCCCTTTCATAATTTTTTTTTTTTAGTAAGCTTGGACCACTTGGTGAGGAATTTTAGTTTGCAGGTCACAAAACGACTCTATAAAAAAAAAAAAAAAGAGTCGGGGCGACGTGAGAGCATGTGGACCAAACGTCCGCAATAGTTGTACGACATAACTTAACTTAAAAACCAACACCTTTTTTGTATAAAAAAAAGTTACGGTTTTTAAAACTCTCAGACTGGGCATGGCGAACGAGGACGTTCCGGTCGTTGGTTGCCTCTTTTTCTTCCAGTCTTCACAGCTCTTCGTCCTGTTGGCAAAAAAGGGTTGACATGAATTAGCATGTTTTCCTGAATTTACAACAAAATGCACACTAAGTCGCCAATCGTTCAGAACAGCAGTAGGTAGTGCAGAGACACACTATTTACTGTTTTGTTCAAAAGAATAGACCGATCTCGCCAGCAAGTTTCGCTACGCCACCACTGCCATAATGCATTATTGGACCTTTAGTCTCTGTGCAGCGGAGCTGGTGTGGTCGCGTGGCAGAGATGCAGTGAAGATTCGGCTGGCGGCCAGCCTCGCAATGTAAATGTTCCATCGAATTGTTTTTCTTTTGCTCCGCCGTTATGGCAAGTTTCACGTGTTGCGTCTCCGGCTGCAGCAACAGCAGTACCAGACAGAGGGGTGTCGGGTTTTATAGCTTTCCTAAGGACCGGCAAATGAGAGAAGATTGGGTCGCCAAAGTTTGTCAAGCAGGCAGTGAGGGACGGTAAAGGAGTCTTCACTTGTTTGAGAAAGGGTAATCAACATTCTGTGCGCGAAAACAAAACTCGCACGGATTCTGATTGCCCCGTTGTTGAGAATGGGACAAAACTGACAGAACCCGCGGAGTGACGCACGGGTGGGAGGTGCCGTAAGATCGTGCTTGCTTTTGATCGCGTTTGCGTCGTCCATGCGGCATCTCATGTTCGGCACTCATTCGTTAAACACACACCTGATCACTTTTTTTCTTTTTCTCGCCCGCTTTTTCGGTTTTTGAAGCAGATAATGACAATGAATTTGCATGAACCGTTCGTTGTGCGATTGTTTTGTGCTTCCGCTCAATGTTCTCCACTTTTGAATGCAACGTGACCATAAAAACGAGAGTGAGCACGACTGAAGCCAATGAATTCTTGGTTGGCTGTTTTCGGGTGGAAAGAAAACGAATTTCGAGCCACAAATTGTGTTCTGGGCAGTTGGGCTCATATAGGTCATGTTCAAAAAAAAAAAAACCCGGCGAGCATAAGTTCAGGTTAACAGAGGCATTACGACGTCTGCTCACCCATTCTTTCGGGTCCACGCCTTCGAACATGTCTTGCGGAAGTGCGTCGTGCTGGCTCGTGATCTTCGACTTCATGGAATTGATGATCTAGAGGAAAAGAAAACACCATCAAAGAAACGTTCATGGAGCTAGACTCTATAGACTGAAACACCTCTTTGACCAGAAAACGCCAATTTTATTATAGAACACTTTCTCGTATCATGCACTTCAGGTGATGCAGTGAAGGGGGCATTGGTGGCCAAGTGTGTTATCACACAGCAGCTCGGTGCATGGGGAGCGGAAGCTCACGCTGCATACCCAGAGATCCCGAATTCAAACCCCCCCCCCAAATCTTGAAGTCATGCCTTCCTACCTGTTCCTCCTTCTCTCTGTTGCTCTCGACGACCGAACTCGACATGGTCATGTCCCCTTCAAACTCGAGATTCACCTCTTGGTGCAGCCTGGGAACGTGGGTTGGGGGAGGCCTGGCTTCCGGGGCTTCCGACACTGAAAGTTCACACAAGGGCCTCCACTTTACGTTTGCCACCCCCGCACGTTGAAGCACGTGCCGGTTTAGACGTTGCCCGCACACAGGTTCGTAGGCAAAATACGTACCTTGTACCGACATCGCGTCGACTGCCATTGCGGTGGCTTTACTGCAGAATGCATACCTTTGGCAGCACCAAATTTGCTTTTCTTGGCAAGCGATGATGCAATAATGTCGCATGCAAGTCACGCATATTCTCAAAGTTAAGCTTCCTACGTTCTCAAGTGCTTTTTAACAATACAGCGAGCTTGCCACAACTTTTATTTATACGGTAAAACCTCTACATAGTAGGGACACTTCGTTTTGTTTCCACCACCTGAGTACATTCACCGCAGCAGCAGCTCAACTGAAGTGTACATCAGCCTTGATTCTCTATATCCATCCACACATCGGTTTTTATGACGGAGGATTTACCGTAGAAATTGTGGCAATCTTGTAATGGTGGTACGGTATTTAGGACATTGACACGGTAAAAATACCATTGTAGTAATGATTCTTTTCAACTGATCTTCACATGAGGAAGTGGCTACACAACACACGTCGCACACAGAGTTCTGTACCTTGTGAACCCTAACCCGTAGCATTCCTACGAATACGGTAGCTATGCAGCAGTCGGCGCAGTCCCGTCAGCAACCACAGACAGTTCTAAGAATCTCCTTCCACATACAGTCATCCTTGTCTGCTGGACCATGCAATGCATTCCGAGCACGCACAGTCGCTCTCCTTTGCAGAATATCAGACACAGCGTGTGCGTCCACAGCCTGGCGACTCGGCATTTTTCGCCTCACTGATAAGCACTGGAAAGGTGTACAGACGGAGCGGAGCGACGACACGAGAAATGTCGGAGTAGCGAAAGCACCGCTTACGGCAGTCCATGCCGACCGGTCGCAGGCTGACCAGCTTGGGAGGCCGTGACACGCCCGCAAACCACTCAGCGCTCGTCATCGCGGGTTGCCAGGTGACCCTCGTGTCGGGAAACAGGTCGTCTTGGAACAGCTCCGACTGAAAGGCAGAAGGCAGACGTCGCACAACACGACTCGTGGAACAACCAACCGCTCACTCATCTCTGATTCACCCGGCGGATCTCAAATTTGCATTTCAATGCGGGAACTTGGAACTACAAGCTCGCTGCAATTAATGTTAAAATGCAACTGAGCTACACATAAGGCACTCACTGCCACGACAGATTTTGGTCAACCTTGGCACTATGCTAACCAGATTTCGATGAAGTGCTCTTACCAAGCCATTACGGGATTTGAGCTATGAGGATCTTACGGTAAACAAACCAAAGAACACAGTCCGTAAGGCCACCGTTATGCTTTGTTTCACCTTACGATGGAACGCTAAGGATGCTACAAGAAACCGGAGCCAATTTATACCTAGGAAGGTGTCACGTGTCCTTCCCGTAGAGCGGATTGTGACGCGAGAGATGCAAAGCCACGAGACAAGTCACAAACTATGGTTTGACTCACGTAACTCGTAGCGTCCATCGTGGTACGTCGTAATGTGAAACGGAGTATAGAAGGGTACGGCCAGTACCTTTCACCCAGTGAACAAGAAACTATAAGCGACAGGACGGTACAGCCGGCATACTCGATTCAGCCGCACCAGCCAACACCTCACCTACACCGCTTCATTCCACTTGCACGTGCAGCCTATTTCACACCGCTCAACTCCAGCCCTCTCTTTCCCACACCGATGCATAGTCGGTGGAAGTTTAAGACCACTGATCTCTATTGTAGTAAGCTGGATAGTGGATCAATGCTTGTATTGCTGGGGTCGAGCAGCACCACCGGCGCCTTACGCTTGACACCAGCCTAATGCATGGAACTCTATGGGAATTTTCCTGTTTCTAAGCTGCTATTGGCACTGAAACTTTTTGGCTGCTTTTCGAAAAGCCTGTTGAATAGCTTGTGCACAAACATCAAAACTGAAAGCCCTCGCAGTTCTTATAAACTTTTGTGGTCGAAAGTGACTCCGCTGGGCCAAAAATGTAGTGCAGCTCAGTGAGACAAGAGCTACCTAGAGTTACTGCGGAGTCGACGGAGGTTTCAACGAGTTGAGTCAACATGAAACTTTTTCCACGTTCATCAACTTCTGGGCTTCCCCAAAGACAGTCTTAATGACAGCAAGTTCCTTTGTTCAGTCCACTACAAGAGCAAGCTTGCCAGCTCAGCAGCGGGTGCTCCGGCACGTTTGATTTTTCTAATGGGCTTTTGAACGCTTGACAAAAATACAGATTCAATCTCCAAACACCCCATATAATGATCGCGGCCACATCATAAAATACTCGCCTTCAAGCACCGCATACAAATTTCAATGCTTCCACTTTTGTGCGTTTCTCCCATAGACGCGCGCAATAACTGGTGTCAAGCAATGGCCGCCGGTCGTGCCACCGACAGGCTCCCGATCCGCGATCCAGCCTACTACAATAGAGATCAGAGGTTTAGACAAGCGCGGGCATTCTTCCTTTGATGACACTTTGTTGCATACCCAGCCAAAACCCAACGAAAGCCAATGAGCGAGTGCTGGAAGCGGTGCTTCTACTGGATTCCGGGCTAGTCGCCGACTACGGGCGAATCCCTTTTCTTCCGAATGGCCATCCGGTCGTGCAAGGGGGGGAGGTTGACTTACCCTCAGCCTGGGCACCCGGAAGGAGAGGGGCTCCACGCTGCCGGTGGTCAGGCGGAAGGCCTTGGCAAACTCCACCTCGCCCACGTTGCAGGCCAGCTTGGGCAGAAACGAGACCGCCTGGTGGGGGCCGCTGCACTTGTAGTGCGACAGCGGGTACAGGAACGGGGCGTCCAGCGCCACCTCAAACGCAAAGATGGTCGAGTCACCCTGCACGGAGGGGGGGGGGCAACGGGACGGTTGCTTGTCCACTGCTTCGTTCAAACACAAGGTCTGGGGAAGCGGGGCAAAAAGGCAGATTCGCTCTTCCCGACGCGGCCCCGTCGGCCATTTACGTCGCTCGGCGGGCAACGACGACGAAATGACGCCAAAGAACATCCACCGCGCTCTCCACACCTGCTGCAGTCGCACTGAAGGCCGGATCACACGTTCATCTGGGCACCGACGGAACCGACACGATTTACCGCAAGTTAAACTGACATGGAGCGCAAAGTCTATGCTTTGTCCATGGTGCTGAGTTGGTGCTTTCAATGCGGTCAATTGCGTTGCCACTACTTCTGGCTGCTTACGACAAGCAGACGGCCTAGATCGGGGGTCTTTTGACCCTGGCTTGCAAAAGTCTTCCGACCAGTTTGTGTCTGGCCATGGTCTTTCCAATAAAGCCCGACCTCTGGCCTGCTTCTGGCAGACCCGCTGCTAGCGGTGCAGGAAGTGCGCATAAAGAGAAGGCTCCGCAACGTGCTCCAAATGAGTAAACTAAGATACCGGGAAGAATGAGAGAAACCGCGTTATTACGCAGGTTCAGGCTATATTATTCATTGAACCTTCTCACCACTAGCATTCCCATTCTTAGTGCTTTGCTTCATGTCTGTGTAACTATGTTAAAATCTATCGCATTCTCGTGTAAATTGCACTTAGTGTCCTCCGTCAAAACTATTGCATATCGTCAACATTGGTATTTATCATTCTTATTAGTCTTTTGCATCGCTCGAATGCACCAAAGCTCTTGTGCACTTCGATTTATGCCCGTTGAGTTTTCCTGGTCATGTCTGTCATGTGACGACGTAATTAGCTGAATATTAAATTTCAATATGAAGTATATGTAATCATCCACCTTGCGATTTTTTACTACTTACTCTAACATTCATTTGGGTGCTTAAATGCTTATCTAGATTTATTTGCCCACTTTTTACTCTTTTATTTTTTACTATTTTCTTCCAGCCCTTGAAACTGTAACAGATGGCCAATCCGGCCCTTTAGCCAAAACGTTTGTCTACCCCTGACCTAGATTATCGAGAGGGAGCAACTAAAACCTTAGAGGACACTTGCAATTCAATGGCAAACACTTCCTGCGCATGCGTGCATTTTTGAGCGGCGAGAAGGATAGAGTGCAGAGAGGCTGAATAAAGGTTGGAGGCGTTTCCAAAGACATTGACGCTTTCGCATCCAGTCAGCTTCTCTGTTTCCAAAAAGCCGGCACCCCCCGAGCTTTCCTCGTGGATTTGGCGTCACATCCATCTCGTTATTACAATTAGCGAGCAGCATGAGGCCTGCCACACATGCACAATTCTTTGTTCTAGATCAGTGATGACCAGCAGCTTCCTTTACATTCCTTTGGAAACGCAGTGCAGCTGACAGCGTAGACGGGATGAGAGTTTGGAACCCGCATCAGGCTTCAAGCCCACCTAGGCTTCTCGCTTCGAGGAAGATGCAACCAGTTTTGGAGCAAGGTGGAAATGCCACCCACCTTTCCAGTCAGGAAAAGGGTAGAGCTGTCCTCGTCGTAGAAAGGGATGAGGATGGCGGGGCTGACGTCGATGCCTTCTGTGGTCACGGGAGACGAGAGGGCCCTGGCGTCGTACAGGCTCACCTGGCGCTCGGACACCCTGCACACGTGAGCACACGAAAGCAAACAAGGTTCAAAAATCTCCCGGCACCTCCTGGCACAGTTCCCAACCCTCGCAGGCTACATTACAATTCTCCAACAATTCCAGGTTTTCCCTACCACTCCTGAACACTTCCCAAAAATTTACCAGCAAGCTCAGCTTCCCTCACCCTATTCCAGCCACCTGACTGCCAACCCTTAGAGGTGCACCCAAATTCCCTAACAATTCCAGGTTCTCTCATTCTACATTCCAGGCACACAAGCCTTAACACTTACAGCAGACATTGACATTCCCAAACAAAGGTTTCCCTCACCATTCTTGAACAGATTCCCAAAAAAATCTTTGATGTGTCAGAGCTTCCCTTATCCTGACTACCAATTCAGGCACACAGATCCCGACCTTCACAGCCGACACTAAAATTTCTTTATAATTCCAGGTTTTCCCTAACCCTTGTTGAACACATTCCCTAAAAAGCCTAAGAACTAACATGTCCAGTTTCTCTTACCCCGATTACATTCCGGGCACAAATCCCGAGCCTCACAGGTAGCCCTAAAATTCCCTAATTTCCCTGATGATTCTAAGAAAAGAAAAGGGGGGGGGGGGGGGAGGCACTCACTTGTTGAAGCCAGTGGTGACCAAGTGACTTCCCCCGAGCACCCAGGTGACCCTGGCCCCCCTGGTCCCGGTAGGCCCCAGCCCTTCGCCGAGCGGCTCCTCGCTCTGGCGCGGGTCGTACACCCTCAGCTTCTGGTCCTTGCACACCGTGGCCACCGTCACGCCGTCGGGGTGCCAGGCCAGGCTGAAGATCTGTGGCGAGTTACATTTTGCCGAAAGCATCAGTTTGAGACCAAGAACTCCCAGGTAATAAGGCAGTGGTTTCCAAAAAAAGGGGGGGGTGTCACAACAAATTCAACAGGGGGTCGCAACAAATTCGGCTGGAGGTAGCAAAGATGCATCGATGCGGCACACCAGCATCCAACCCTCACCTGGTCGGTGTGTCCGCGCAGGCAGATGCGATTCTCCCGAGTCTCCAGGTCCCAGATGAAGACCGTCAGGTCGTGCGATCCCGTGGCCAGAACCCCGGCAGCCGTCGGGTGGAACTTGACGAAGTGGACCTTCTCTGTGTGGCCCTTCAGCTCGAAATCCGGATCCGTCAGGCTCTCCGTCAGCCCACTCTCCGGAATGGTCCAGATCCGGACTCTTCCGTCGTCACAAGCTGGAATTGAAACAGTCTCTTGATCGGCCGCGCAATCTTTGTGCCAAGCGCAGAAGCACCTAGTCCTAAGTCGGTCAGTTTACACAGGGCCCGAAGACGTGCCCTTTGTTTTGGCACAAATAGAAAAAAAAATGACCGCATCTCCACGTGGTAAATGATGTTGATTGGGGCGAAGCTCTGGTGGTGCTTGTCTGCGTAGACGCATAGCCGCAGCATGCCGAGCCTTTCGTTCGTTTTCATCCATGTCAGAAAGAGAATGTGTGGTATGGAACGTGGTTATATACGCATTTGAGCATTTGACCGCAGCGCCCTCTCGTTCTTTGGCCTCAACTGTGACAACAACATGCATGCTCGCAAAATGTGCTAATTGACCAAGCTCGGCCACAACCTTAGATTGCATAGCCCTGTCAAGAAGCCTCTACCGAGAACGAGAAAGGGATGATTACCGATGGCGATTCTTCGGTTGTCGAAGGGATCCCAAGCGAAGTCCATGACACTCGTGCCGCAGATGAGGCTGGGAACAACACCCGATTGCAGACGGCCTCGTCTTGACAACTGCAAGCAGAGGCCCACAATTTTTTTAATATTGGATGCCAAACTTCGGCTGTTCAATGTTGACCATACAACCCTGGTCGTTCAACATCGGCTCCCTAACATCAACTGCCCAATATTGGCTGCCCTACATCGGCTGTTGGGCAAAACAATGTGTTCAGCTAAGCTCTCCTTGTCCTAAACAGTGCTGATAGCTTATTGCAAAAGCTGAAAAAGACTGACATGCCAGACACAGCTCAACTATAACAAATAAGAAACATAAGATTAAATGTGCGAAAGAGCTAAACTCTGCAAAGGTTGGGCAACCCAAGCTTTTGTTTTGTCTTCTTACTCGAGCTACTATGAAGATTTCATAATTTGAGTAGCCCAAATGTGCCGGGTGTTGAACACCAGTATTTTGCCTTAGTATTTGAAATATAGAGTATTTTGCTGAACTACAAAGTCCTATAAGAGTAAGCAGCACTGCACACCTCGAGAATAGCAACATGGCCGCCAGAGATGGCAAGGGGCAGTGCGAGGCGCTCGGTGTTGGCACGAAAACCCTCGCTCTCGCCAGGGATGGTCTTGCACAGTGGCGGCAGGTTGGTGATCTGGGTGTCCCGCGAACCCACGGCTCCGTTCAGGTGTCGGAACTTGGACACCCGCACTGGAGGAAACGAAACCACAACAAACGGCCGGTTTTCATCGAGGACGACATACTCCTGGGTGGGTTAATTTTTTTATTTTTAGGAGCAGTTTTCGTTTGTCATTTGTGAAAAGAATAACCTCTAAAAGCAAATACAGGGTGTTCCGCGCAACGTTAGCCCAGCTTTAAAAGTATTTTGATGAATTTAATGCAGACTAAACCAAAGGAATAAGTTTGTTCATTGTTTGGAGAAAGTCAGGTTATTTTTTTTAATCAGCTAATTAATTAATATACTTAATAAACTCTTGAAGTATTCAATTTAGAGCAAAAGTCCAATGACAAAGTTGTACAGCGTCCTTAGAAACATCCAATTCAGTGGTTTTTATCAAAAAACATTAACTTGGTCCTTCTTTGTGGACTGAAAAAAAGGCCCGTGAATTAATAAGAAAAACACCAAAAAATGTGAATTAGTCAACAGCGCCCAGTCGACAAGGTCTAGTTTATTCAAGGCACGGCTGAGAGCGCTGCCTTGACTAGCATTGAGGCATGTTTTGTTCATTTTCTTATTGTTCCGTGTCTCCGGTTACTACAGTTTAAGTTTGTTATAACAGACCTTGATTTTGACCAAGGTTTCAGTCTGTTGTAAGAGGAGTGTGTTGTATGCAGATATGAAGTTGAGTTAGTTGTATGTAGAGGAAAACCAATTGAGCTTTACAAATCGGTATATTATATCCAAATGTCGGTTGTAACCAGGTCTGTTGTAATGAGCTTAAAGCCCGTTCACACTCTTGCAGCCGAGTATGACTGAGAGAGACGGGACCTGTTGAAACCTCTTACAATTTCTTAGGATGAGGGAACACACTGACATTCTGGCGCCATCTATGTGGTGACCCTAGAACTGCATTTCACAAGAGCGAAGGTTTTGCGAGATTTCCGAGGTGAAATGTGCGTAATACCTATAAGAAAGGTTTGTTTATAACGTTGGCAAAAGTTTTTCGAGCCAAGAAAGAAAGGATAATGCGCGAGAGAAATAGAAAATATGCCGGACCGCCAAGTTTACATTGCTACCCAATAAATGGCGCCAGTGCGTCCTCTCGTAGAGGTTTCAAGGCACCCAGTTCTAAGAGGTCGCAAGGGTTTGAACGGCCTTTACACTGTATGGGAGTTCTTCACCAGCTCGCTTGTGTTTTTACTCTTTCTGCAATACAAGGCGCGCAAGAGCAAAGTCGCATGTTTTTTTTCGTAATTTGCAAACTTTTTTTTTAAGCCCAGAAAAAAGAACCGTGTTAAGGTTTCTTGATAAAAACCACTGAATTAGATGTTCCTGAGGATGCTCTATAACTTTGCCATTGTAACTTTCGCTCTAGATCAAATATTTCAAAAGTTCAATAATTTATTTTAATTAGTTAATTGGGTAAAATACAAAAAAATAGCCTGACCTGCTCCAAACAATGAACAAATTTATTCCTTTGGTTTCGTCTTCCTGAAATACACCAAAATACTTTTAAAGCTTAGCTAAAGTTGTGTAGAACACCCCGATATTTACTAGGTAAATTTGAACATAGGCATTTAGGTACACTTTAGCACAAGTAAACCCAACAGCATCTTAGGTGCATTTCCGGAGAAACTTTTAAAAACCCTGGTAATGGTGCAACCCCCTACACAGAGTCGTTTATACCTAAAGAGTTTATACCGACAGTCTGGCAACCGGGAAACAGTCAAACGGTTCACTCCCAACGCCAGAGTTTGGCAGTCTTTTGAAGCCGCAAACAGTCTAGCAAGTGGGGAAATGACAAGTTCCATCCCCCATCTTGTGTTTTTGACCCGTGGCAGACTCTTGACGAGATAAAACACAATTCTGCATCCCTGGGAAATTGGCTCGTTCTGGCGAGTAACCCAAGCTCCACCCGTCGACCAAACTCTCGGGATAAACGTCTCCGCGCCTAGGCAATCGGCCGTTAGTTCAGGATGCTCAGCCTCTAGTAACTTGGGGCTTCATAACTAAGGACTGAACAACTGGGAGCTAAACAACTAGGGGCAGAAGGACTAATGACTAAAGGAATAAAGAACAAGGACTAGAGACTAAAGGACAAGGGGGCTAAAAGCCGAGGGACTAAAAGACCAGGGATTAAAGGACTAGAGACTAAATGACAAGCTAAAAGACTGGGGCTAAAGGACTAGGGACCAAGGGAATAGAGAATAAAAAACAAGGGACTTAAGGACAGTGGGCTAAAAGTCTAGGGCTAAAGGACTAGGGGCTAAAGAACTAGGGGCTAGTTGCGAGTTTTTCAGCCCCTTGTTCTTCGGTTCCCAGGGCCCGAAGCAGACGAACCGACCTTTGAACCCTCGTCCCTCGTTGCGCGATGACTGTCGGCGCACGTTTGCGGCCACCCTTGGGGCAGCGGCGGGGCTGCCCATGCCGCCGGTTCCCGACGTCACCGACGGCCGGGGCCTTGGGGCCACCTTGGAAGGAGGCGGCATTGCCGACGACGCGTCGCCATTCTGAGATGCCGTCCCGTTGGTGCTGCTGCCGCCGGAGCTCGGGGGGTCGTCCCAGCGGGGGCACGAGACCTTGGTACGGGGTGCGGGCTTCGGCGCCGGCAAGGGCTGTGGCAACGACGTAATGCGAAATTGAGCACTGCACCCTCAAATCAACATCTTTAAGATTACCTTAATTCCAGTGTTGGGTACAGCAAATCTAAATAAGAGTACAATGCGATAGGTAAAGATATAAACCCCCTCTCGTCTCCAAGCCATGCAAGAGTATCTGGCTCGCAACCGAAAAGTCGTGGGTTCGAATCCCTCCTCCGTCTAAAATTCTTCAAATTTTTTCTTTAAGACCAATGAATTACTTTATAAAGTGAAATCATTTGAAACATGCAGAGATTTTGAATTCGCATTACATGAGACATTTTTTTTTTTTTTTTTATCATTTTGCCATGAAAAAAAAGTTTTTATGCAATATCTATGTTAGACGCAATTTAGGTGGGGGACACGGCCTGCTCTAAGCCCCGCCCACAGATCAGTAGCCCCACCCATTACTACTAGACTGGCTCGGCAGCTAAACCGAACACACTAACAAGCCTAGTGTCTCCCTTTCACAACATCTGGTGCATCTAGTCTTGTATCCGACGCTGCCTGCTAATCGTGCGAGCAGATGCGCAGTAGCCTCCGGCATCGTCTGCTACTTCAACCCTGTTTATCGGTGAAACACCTCGGTGAGCACAGAAGGACTCGCACTCATCAAAATAGCATGGCTGTCGGCGTTTGCTGTACGTTCAACCAGCTACGCTCATTGAACGCACAACAAATACCAACAGCCCTGTGTAGTATTGTTTGAAACTGAAACGGAAAGGCAATCCGGGATATTTATGAAAATAATAATGACCATCTAGATTATTTGTTTCTCAAATACAAAAAGTGTACTAATATGGCACGGAGATACAAATTTACAACCAACCTTTCACACGTCAATCATCTCTCCAGCCAATGAGATATATAAGCACCTTGTAAGCACGGGGAGGGGCTTAGCGAGCTGTGACCTCCACTCTCTGCCCCTCAATTGCGTTTAGCAATGTAAATATTGCCAAAAAAAATTTTGTGGCAAATTGTTAACATATAATAAGTTTAAAAAAAATATATATATTTCAGCTTTTCTAGTTTGGTGATCAGCAGAGCTGTACTATGGTGAAACGACCTCAAGGACGACACCTAGAGGACGACGTCTGGGACGACCTCAAGAACGACGCCTAGGACGACCTCGAGGATGACTTCTAGGACGACCTCAAACACAACGCCTAGAGGACATCGTCCTCTAGGCATCGTCCTCGAGGACAATCTTTAAGACGACGCCTAGAGAAATTCAGCTTTTCCACTCTGGTGAAAGCCAGAGTAGAAAGGCTGGAAAGGTTGCCTTCATCTATGAGCGACGGCGACAACCAGACAACCCACAAGCCAGTTGACTGGTTGCTGCCGTCGCTCATAGATGGCGACAGCTGTCCAGACTTCTGTGTCAAGATCTGTTTGTCCACGGAGACAAAACTGGGCAAACTAGCCCTTAACAGCTCTGCTGTAAAAATTATTTTTTGATTGCAGCGATTTTATAAGACGGACACTGTAAACATACTTCCCTGCACCAGAGTCGACCAGAAAGGATAAAGCGAACAAGCCCCCCCCCTTCCCCACCAAAAAGACCAGTAAAAAACAACAGACTGCGAAATTTCTTGCGCAGTCTGTTGCCTCAAGGGCAACACATAATATCCAATGAGTGAAATGGGCAAAGGGCTAACATTCCTAATCAATGCAATTTATTTGGCTGCTTCCGACAAAAAAATTAACTCGCAAACGAAGAACAGCTGAAGAAAGCATCGGTTCTCAGTATCTCGAATATTCAACCTAGAATTTTCGAGAGCGAGTTAGGACGCGTCTCACTTGGCAAGGTCATGCTGGCCTCCTTATCTTTTACACTTGGGTTAAGACTTAGCTCGAATTTTCTATAAGTACAAAGAAGCGTTCCTTTAAGGTCATGCACGCGGCAATATCGAGGTCTCGTCGGTTCTCATCCTTAATCCTCTATATCTGTCTCCAGTCTTTCTGGAAATGTAACATAAAAGCAAAACGGCAAAAGAAAAGAAAATGCAACCTTTTCTGATGGAAAGGGCTTGGGCCTCGCATCTTCCCTGGCTTCTTTTACGGAAAGGTCCGTCGGAACGATGCGGATCTGCCGTCCGGCGGAGTCGTCCGCCAACGCACCCGGCACGGGCCCCGTGCCCAGCTTGTGTCCCGTGCAAGTCAGTCCCTCCTTGGGCCGCTTCTCGGGATCCAGGCTCACCTTGGAGATGGCCTGCAGAAAGTATGTGCGAGGAACGGGGTCAACTAGGAAGGCAACCGACCCCGCAGACCGTCGCGGTTACTGTTATCCGCATGCTCAGCAATTGACACCTCTTAAATGTTTTTTTTTTATTTTTTGTCAGGCAATTCAATGTGTTGTCAGAAGACTAACGAATCAATAGTTTGCTACAGCGTCACATAGCATTTAGTAAAGTAAAAAAAAAAAAAAAAAACGAAACTGCTTGAAACCAAAACTGGACCGGGGACGAAGAAGAAGAAATATAGAGGAGAGCGTTGCCAAAAGCTACGTGGCTGTGCAACTTTTTTTTTTTTTTTAATCAACGTATTTGCAGCTTTTTAGAAGCTACAAAAAATGGGGATCATACTTCGTTTTTACTATTGAGTGTGTGCCTTCGATGATCCACGACTTTGGTTACATTTGGTGGTTGTGTCTAAACAAAAGAAAACGGCATGTGACCACGAAGAGGAGAGTGAGCATGCCTCAACCCAGCCAGTTCTCTATCGGTAGTTTTCGGGTGGAAAGAAAACTAATTTCAAGCAGCAAATTGTGTTCTGGGTAGTGTGGTTCACATGCATCATGTACAAATAAAAACCTTGGCGAGCACAAATATTGCGTAAAATTTGTTTTCATTTCGTGGATATCTAGACAGTATTCTCAGAAAGTTACATTGTTTGTGCTGCATAGTTATTTTTTAATGAATTATTTTCGGTTCACCAATGCTAAAGAAAAGGTAGCGGATTGGGCACTCGGACTGCGTTTCTCTCTATTCCACTTTTTGGCATAAATTTCACTTTAGGAAAACTATCGTTTCGTAATGGGGCAAAAGAAAAGGCTCATTCATTGTTTTTAGCAACTGGAATATAATTGGCAATGTAACTGTGGCACTGTTTTGTTTTTTTACTTTGTGGATGTCTTTTATAAAAAATGTTAAGATTTTGTTGACTACATAAAAGGCATAAACTTTATTTAATTTTTCAGCGCAATGTTGCATAAAATAATTTCTGGAAATTTTCTTTTTAGAGTGCACTTTCCAGACATTCTGGTGCATATCTAGTGAAGAAAAATTTTGGGTATTACATTAGGTTTCTAACGATAGTTTTCCTAAACAATGTCAATGTGTTCCTGATAAAAAGGAGTATAATTTTTTTAACAATTTATGTACACAGATGAAACTTCGCACTGCCAGTATATACTGTAAATGACATTCACATTAAGCCAAAGGTTTAAAAGCTGACACTTTTGGGTCGTGTTCTCCCTTAATTGAGCAGAGAGACTAGAGTGACAGCTTTGTGTATCTGTTGAATTCCGGGCGTTTTATGTGCCAAACCTGCGAAGGGCATCTGGCATGCACTAACGGAGGATCGAGGATTCATTTTAACGCGCAACCAAAATCTCGACTGCATGGCGCTTTCTCCCGAGTAAGCCTCCGGATTGCGGACACCTTGGCCAGAACTTTAACCTGCCACCCAGGGATATGTAGGCTGGCTCTTTGCCTCGTAGCCACCAAGGCAACTTTTTGTGAAACCCCTCGAACTGAACAGGAAGCAAAGTTGTTTGAGAAAAAACGGGAAGGCTGGTTTTACCAAACCTGCATCATTGATTGTTATGTCGCATATTCGAGTGTTCCCAATATTCTGTCGTACTCACTCTTTTTCGTCAATGTCCTCTATTTTTTGTGACCTTAATATCTTTTTAGTGCTCTTTCTGTTGCTTTGTGCCAGTCCTTACTAATGTCAAAACATCCACAAGGATGTCCTTGAGCTATATTAGTTAAAGTAAATACCGCAGTGCCTGGAACGTGACTCCGAGTGCTGCACTTATCGCGTCTTTGTTTTGTCCCATCAATTCGACTCAACATCAGAACTGGGGAACGGTGCTGCTAGCCGTGGTCCTGACGGAGGTAGATTTGGCTAGATGCCCTCTCTACACTAGCTTACTCTGAATTGTTAGGACAACAACAAGTCTGCCAACACTGCAGCTGCAGCAGCGTTGGCATGTTGATCAGGGTGTTAGTGACATTGGTGTTGGGAAAGAAACATACACAAGAATGAGCAAACAAACATGCAGGGACTTAACTACAAACACAACTTGAAAACCGTCCAAAGGAATCTTTATCTGACAATTTCCTCACCTTTGCAGGCTTCTTGGCCATCCAGTCGGAGACTGCAATCGCCGGGCTGGCAATCGCGGTGTCGGGAAAGATGTCGGCATGGAAGTCCCTGTAAGTCTGTAAACAAATGGAAATTTGAAAAAGGCCATATAATGAAAGTAAGCACTGCCTTATTTTGACTTGGAAGTTCAAGGCTCACTTAATGTTTCCATAGACACCACAGTATATTAAAAACATAGTATATATCCAGCAAGCGGTTTCCTGTTTCATCATGCTTTCTGGGTGAGAACAAATTATTCTCCGTTCAGAGTCTCGCACAGGAAACCAATGTGCAATTTTTGCGTTAAATGGAAACCAGCGAGTGCCAAGAAACACATCAAATGTAATACGTAAGCCTTGCTTTGAAACATCTAGAAACATCTTGTTTCGAGGATTGAATATAAATATAGAGTTAGAGCAGAAATCTCCACAACAAAAATGCACGTCGCACTGATGTGAATTGTACATACGATCAATCCTCAAACAATCCAATCTGCATGTTTAAAAAAAAAACATTTCTAACGTGTCTATATAACGGGCATGCAAGGCAATGTGGCTTACTGCCTAGCTTTATCCTTTTTTTGGGGGGTTTAGGAAACGCACACTGCGGCCGATTTTCCTCGAGGCACAACCTGGGGCAAGAGCGCAAAGTTTAGGAAGAACATGATCCGCAAGACGCCACATTCTGCCTCAAAGTGTGCTTCGTCGAGCATGGTAATATGTGGCACCCCCACCGCCTGCTTGGCACATTATGATGTTCCGATGCACAGCGTGTGAAAGATCACACTGGAATAGAAGGCCAAGTTGATGTTGGTTTGTTTCGTGGTTTCAAAATACAATGAAGGCAGACGAAAAAGCAACACAGGGTATGCGATGGCCTTGTTTTGTTTTGGTGTTCTTTTTCACATGTTTTGAATTCCGAGAGGTTAGATCCTTGGATTTTCTGTAAAAGTCTACGCAGAGAGAACACCGCAACTCCTTCTTGTGCAGGAGTTGCAGTGACGTCAGAGCGACGCTGAGCTTCGATTAACTTTGATTGAGAGGATAGTGGGTAGGCCTCAATGCCAGATGCCCCGAGGTCTACCCACTATTTTTTTCAATCAGCCAACAAGAGCTTGGCGATCTGATATCGCAACTCTTGTGCAAGTAGCAGACAAACTTGCCCTCCGCATTGATGTCACTAGTAAAGGCACAAGGAGCAGGTAACAGTTGATGCTTGTATCACACCCGGAGATAAGACTGCAAAACTTTTATAGCCCTCCTGCTTCGTAATGCCAACGAGATTCTACGAACACCCCCCTCGCATGAAGCGCTATTGCGCGTCTGGCTTGAGTCATGCGCAGCAAGCATACCTTTCTGGGGACCTGGTAGGGGACGGGCACAATGCAGTCCTGCCCCAGGATCAGGACCCTGTTCACCTCCCCGTCCATCACCTTCAGGGCCCTCTTGGGCACCAGCCCCGCCCCCTTCGTCTGTACCTCTCCCATGTACTTGGAAGCTGCACAAGAAAGCTACGCTGAAACAACATGGCAGCAAACAAGCAGCATGGCAGACGCCGAAAAAAAAAAAAAACGGTCGGGGATAATTGTTGCACAAAAGTTGCCGCATACCTTCCAGAAGGAAAGAAACAAGAAACAACCACCTTGATCTTATGTATAGACCCTTTTCGTGTTTACAAATACAGCCCGGCCCCTACCCACCGAGCAGCTTCTGGCCACTCCGTTTAGGCAGGTGTTCTGAACTTGTTTATGCAACAGTGTTCAAGGATGCGCGCAAATGCTAGTAAATCAACAAAGTTGGAAATTTATCAAGGTCATCATGCTACGCTCTTCAACATATAACAGGCAATAGGTCGTCGTACAAAAGTAGTAAAAAATCCCCGACAGACCTCTCGCTCACCGATCCTTTAGCTTGGCGTCTGGAGAGTTGGCGACGAAATATTTCATAGACGTTGCAAGACCGTTGTTATGGAGGGATTGTTTGACCTCCCTTTGGACTAGAAGCTTGCTTGCATCCCTGTGTCGCAAGATGCCACATAGGGATGTCATCTTGCTGCCGGTGTGTATAAACTGTCCGATAATTGGGTCTTGCTAAGTTGTGCCCACGGTTTTCCAACTGGTACCCCAACGAAGCGTGCTCCTCCCATGGTTGCCAGACTAGCCTTTGAAACATGGCTGCTTGCAAATGTGTATTGAAGAGTTTCCAAAATGTAACAGAAACAGTCGGAACAACGTAGTAAATGTTTCAAAGCTTATCATTTCAGATTCAGAAAGTTAGAAATGATGTGTAAAAAATTTCACGAGCAAAAAAAATAATTATGAGCCATACCACTTTGTGAAGGTGCATGACCAGCGAAGCTGTTTAGCACACAACACAGACCCGCCCCAAGGAGCTGGAGGAAACTATACTCCGTTTCATCTTAAGTTGTACCACAGCGAAGGCTAGACACGCGAGCTCATTGTGTTGGCAGCTGCTCTTCATGTACGAGAGCTTGTGCTGCCGAGATCTGCCCCAGAGCAAGGAGCTCGCGCTTGTAGCCTCTCATGCGGTACATCATAAGGTAAAATAGTCTGTAGACACGCACAACAAGACTGCCAGCCCGGGAGAGCGGAAGGAAAGGAAACTAGGCACGCAAGCACTTGGAACGACGACAAAGAGAGGGCAGTACGAGCGTAGACATGGCCGCTACGGGTCGCACAGCTGCAAATCTTTGAGAAACCTTTATTATCTACCCGAGAGTCTATTGATCTTAAAAATGGTGCCTATTGATAACTAATCTAGTGAACAGATCTATTGCTAGATTACCCGAGCATCAAGGAGCATGCAGGGATCGGAGTTACACGCGCCGCACGTGCCGGCATCTGCAGCAGTAACTGTTCTAAAGCAAAAGCCTAAAAAATGGCATCTTGCAAGCACATTCGTAAACGCTTTATTTTGATTCTTTACTTTGAATCTTTTTTACGGGGAAGGCGTGCGTCGTGTGGCGGTGCGAGCGTAGAGTTTTTGGTCACGCAAAGGAAAAATCCACGGAACCCTAGCCATAAACAGCTTCGCTGTCGAAAATGGCTAGCAGAGTAATAGTGCACGACTGTCACCATAAAAGAAAACAAAAATCAAATTTCCAGTGATTCACAATTGGGACCAGAAAGAATGCAAGAAAAAAAAGAAGGAGGTAGAAACGTCCGCACCTTCGCTTAAAAATGGCTCCTTGAAGGTGACTTCCCAGAAGTGCACAGTGATATCACCCTGCATAAAAAATTCAAGCGTCACCTTAGTTCACAAGCCAAGTTCTCTCTAGTCAATCCATTTTCCCTGGGCAAAATATATAAATAAATAAATTGTACATTCACCTTGGCAGCCAGGAAGAGCATGTTGGTATCAGGATCATACAGTGGAATGTAGACACTAAGAGACAAAAGACACGTTCAGAGTTTAAGAGACACTGAACTCTATCAAAATCTTTCTTGTTAAGGGGGGACATGGGTTTTCGGAGCCAAAAACTTCCTAAAACTGCATTCTTTTGAAAATGGCGATGGCTGTTGTTCTTCTGAATCTACCAGGCTTATAATTTCGTGAAGGAATATTTGAGCTATAAATCAATTTATAATATCTATATGGGCTGTATGTGCATTGAAGTTGACTCTAAAACATTGTTTTCACAAAACACGATTTTTGGACTCGTTGAAAATTTACAGGAGGGATATCTCGGCATCTAGAGCAGATAGAAATATAATCTTTCTTGAAATGTGTTGCTAAATGTGTAAAGCATACAATGTTGAGAGCAGATTTTTTAATACAAGTCTAGAAAAATTTCTATTTGATCTTTTGTTATATTACTTGTTAGACATGCGTTGAGCACGGAAATTCAATGTGTGGTAAAATCACTAATAATGAGTTTATCTTAAAAGTGCTTCCAACATTGTATTCTCTACACTTTGTAGTATCTAGCCATGTGTTAAAAAGAATATTTTGTTGAGCAGTTTGTTTTCTATCGTTTTTCCAAACAAAGGTAGGCAAGTTTTAATTATTTTGAGGACAATGCTACTGACCGAGAAAATGACCAGATATATGAAATCAGCACAAAAAGCTGAACAAGCTTGTGCAGTTTCATTAAGTTTGGTCATAAAATAAGAAAAAAAGGTCCAAGACCAGTGTTCCCCCTTAAGCGCTTGGACAAGACCTTTATGTCAAACTTTAAAACAAAGTATTTTAGCACAATATTTATGTCACGAGACTGATTCTCAGCAAGTGGTGTCTCTAAAACGCGCTATCATTTTAGCGTGCTGTCCTGAAACAGACGCATCAAATTAAAGCGTATCACGGTACACAAAATGAGTCGCGGAACCTAAATATTGTGACACTTGCATTTTATCCAGACATTAAAAGGTCTTGTAGCTGTCTCGGTGCAACGGCCAAAACAACACAACTCACCCCATCGCACTATCACCAGAGGAACTGGATAACGAAACGTTGAACTTGCGAACATCACGTAAGGTCACTTCGCGTTCCCTAGCCTGCAAAGAATGAAAAAGATGAGTTATATTTCGTGCATGCTTTCAAAGCAACAACATAGCTTTGAACAGGACGGAAACATTCCGTCAAAGTTTGCCACCTTATAACACAGATCGAGACTGGACATGAAAAACATTGTGTTATTAAAACCTTTTACCTCTGATAAGCCGAGCTAAAAACTTCACAAATAAATCATGAAATGAGAATTAGATATTTGTTTGAATGCACTGGTCTTAGCAAAGCGTGCATTTAGAACTTCCACAACAACTCAGTTTCGCCCTGACCAAATGGTAACTCGCATCAGACAGACAAGCAAGAAAATATATCATGACGATGAATATAACAGCTTAGTTTCAATTGCCAGGGTTAACACAAAGGTGCAGCGAGTCCCAAAAATGGTAAAACAGACTACACGTGATGCGACGGGGCTCTTCCTTTTTATAAACGTCCCGAGGCAGGCGCCGCCACCGCGGCACCACCGGTAATGATTGACTATTATATGTGGCTCTTACCTTAGAGTCGGGCAGTTCTACAGTGCTAGGAACCTTGCCTGTGGGGTTATCTTTTCCCCAATTCTGCGCTAGCAGCCACCCAAATTTCTAGCCTTCTCTTGGTATTCCCCTTGGATGCTCGCTATCTCCCGACCGAGGGGTGAACTGCCGAGAGATCACCCACCCCCCCTTTTTGGCTAAATATCCCTAACAGAAATGACGAAACATCACCCACCCCCATTCCCGTCGAACATCACGTGATGTCCGATGGGAATCGCATCAACCGCGCGATCTGCGGTACCGCTATGTGTGACAAGCGAGTTCGCAGAAGGTTCTCACGTTTTTGTTTGTTATCTGCGCACGCAATATTGGTTCCCGTGATATGAGAGTTTGTGGCGAGTTTCTGCTTTCCTCGTTCACGAGCTGCTAGCGCCATATCAGTTCCTGTGGCACGCAAGTTTGTAGCCGGTTTCTGCATGTTCGTCGCATCACGAAACACAAATTTGTTGCTTCCGCAGTCTGCGGTATCCTTTCCCATGACACAGAAGTTTGTGGCGAATTTGCGTATGCTCGTCGCATTGTGAAACGCAAATTTGCTGTGTCCGCGATCTGCGGCATCAGTTCCCGTGTCACATGGTTTGTGGCGGGTACTCCCGTGCTTATCATTAGTTTTTAATCAAGTTTCATTGTCTCATCCCCTTATGTTTTTCCCCATTTATCTCTTCATTTTGGGTGTGCGCCCTTACAAGCTTTTACACAAAGCCGACACCGCGAATGCAGCTGAGAAGTTTGCGTAAGAAATACTGCCATAAGATGCCATGTCCATTAGATGCACGGTGTCCCGGGACGTCGCGAGGGACCTGGTATCGTCCCAATGCGAATCGCAGGCAGAATTGCTAGGTTTTGTTTCGTGGTCCCTTTACGACGTGTACGAGAAATGAGGAACGATGAAAGAACTTATGCTCACGCTGCCCAGACCGGTAGACAGGATGTACTCTGTGTTCCCAAGCCACACAACCCTGGAATCTCTGTTGTTGGAATGACTGGGTGCTTCCTGGAAGCAGAAACACAGACACACTTGTAAAAAAAAAACAGCACCTCTAAATAAAACAAAACGAACCTAAAAAAAGAAACGCATGTATTTATGCATTCTTGAAACGTGTTATGTGACAACATCCCTATTGTTCGGTCTATCTGGGCGTCCCAAATGTAAAGCCCTCGCTCGCAGAGTGCTTGCAAGTCTCTCAAAGCCATTCTGTGCCTTCTAAATGCAGTCAAACGCCCATGGGAAGTCTTTGCCATGTCCCAGTGGCACAAAAATATTGCCCAGTAAAAACACAATAATTTGAACATGCTTTCAAGTTCCAATAAATTTGTTTCACCAGACGAAATTCAACGGCAATGCAAATTTATGATGGAATTTTCCAGGCGAAGTTACGGGCCTGCGACGAAAACGTCCAACGCTCAACTCTACCGGGGACAGGTAGGCGCACTTACGCCGCGGCACTGCCACTTATGCTCGCGGGTGTGTGGCCACTTCCATTTCACATTTTCATTATGTTACCCACCAACTGGGCAGAGCAAGGGAAGGGGGGGGGGGGGGGGGCGGGGGCCTCACCAGGACGTTGGTCGAGAGCCTGGGGTCCCACACGCGCAGCTTCTTGTCCCTGCCCGAACTCACGAGCTGGTTGCCGTCGCCCCGCCAGCTCAGGCTCTGGATCAGCTCCTCGTGCTTCAGGTTCGCTGCAGGGGCCAGAAAACGCAGGCAGTTGTTGGTGCCCCCAAGAGCAACTACCGTAATAGCCAGAGAGATGTCCTTCCTCCAAAAGATAATCCACCCCTTTTTGGCAGAATTTGCTATTTTTCAGAAACGCCGAAAGATGGCCCACTTCTAGTAACTGCAGGGCCCTGGCCAATAGTGACCTCGGCACAAATGGTGTTACTTAGCCACGACGGGAGTAAAGCAAACATTGCTGACTGGGAAGGACAGTCGTCTTTGGTTCATCGCCCCTCTCTGCGATCACGAGTTTTGCAGGCCACAAAACCTAGAACTACTTTTTTTTTTTACTCTTTTCGATCGCACACCAAAAGTAAGCTTACTCCATATTTTCACCCAATTTGCTTTCAGTTTTAGGTGGGCCATCTCCGGGGAAAAAACTAGGTTTTCAGAACATACGGGCTTCACTCTTCCCGGCACGGTTCACAGACTTGCGTTTGATTGTGACTGACTGCACTGCAACTGCTTGTAAACGCATACAGCCAGAGAACACGCTAGCACACTGGCATCATCCTTCGAGCAGCTTTAAAGCTGCATACAACTACTAGATTGGAGGCTTCGCAGTATTCGTGAGATCTAATCGCTCTCCTACGAGAAAGGGTCATTTTTATAACATTGCCAGAGTAATTCCAAGCATGCAGCGAAAAAATGATGCATTACCGGGCGAAAGAGGTGCTGCTCTACTGGCCTAAAAATCTCACCGGGCCCCTCGACGAAAAGTTTTGCGACTTTATGCTGAACATCGCGCCGAATGGGGTGACTCTGCGCGGCGCTACAAAGGAGAGGTCCGAACTGTCGAAGCCAGTCCACTCACAGCTGAGCTCTTGCTGGCTGACTAGGTCCCATATCTGCAGGGTGTCGTCGGTGGCCGAGGCGAGGACGCAGTCCACGGCCGGGTTGAACGCCAGGTTCTCGATGCGAGACTTGCCGGGGTTCAGCACCACCTCGGGGTTCTGGGGGGTGTTGTTCCCCAGCAGGGCGCCCTCAGGCATTCTCCAAATTTTAATCTGAAGAAAAAAAAAAGATTTAAATTTAATTGTGTTGGAAAAGACGGGGAAGCACGCCAGTCACGCTGGTGTCGCTTGACATAGGAGAATCGCGTGGTGACGGCAGGATGTCACGCGACACCATGACACGATGTTTCTATCGGCTACAATCCAGGGATGGGCAAAATACATGCAAATATGTATTGAAATACAAATACAAAATACTTCGTCAAAAATGTATTTAATTACAAATCTAATTATATTTCCAAAAAGACATTTAAGTACAAGATACAAATACAACCAAATGTATTTGGTCTCCTCCAAATACTTTTCCAAATACATTCCTCAAAATTTGCGTCAGCGGCTTCAGGGAACCTGCAACGGGTTTCTGGGTATCTTATCTTAATTTTGCATCGCACACTCGGGAGTTAGTGTGTGAGGCTCTAGTAACGTAATAGAAATATAATCACAAAAAAATGTAATCAGCTTGGACGTAATAGGTGAAAAAAGTACAGAGCTTCAAGCAGCTTTTTTTGTCGATTACATTTTGGTATAGACCAGCAAAGAACCGAGACGACCAAGACGCGCAGCACTAGCTAGAGAATTTTTTATTGTTGCAATTCTTACCAGTTACGAAAATATGACAACCCGTGCATTTAGAATGTTCCAGGCAAAAATATGGATGGAAAGCAGGCTGGAAAGCAGCACAAATTGTCACAGGCACTTATTTAGCCAGTCTGCCTGTGAATGTCGATTTCGTCACTATTCTTGCCCTGGACTAGCACCGTAATCACAAAGTCACTAAACGCTTGTGCTTGATTGAGAGACACTGCATTCGGTGCAGAACGTAGTTTTCTTCCTGCTCTGGACAGTGACAATAAATTTGAGGGATGTATTTTCGCCCACAAAATTGTATTTAATTACAATTGTATTTGAAATACCCACGTTTTAGTATTTAAATACACGTCAAATACATTAACCAATTTGTAATTAAATACAAATGCAAAATACACAAAGTATTTGAAATACATATTTAAAATACTTTTATTTGAAATACTGCCCATCCCCGCTACGGTCCCTATGGGCCCTACGTGTAGAATGTAACGCTGGAACCCGATGCTACAATCAGACACAATAGCGTAATGGTTGTCTCATTAAAAGGGGGCATATAAACACATTCTGCGTTAAAACTGCCTGGCTTAGACATTTCGGCGATCACAACGAAGGTGCGACGGCACCCGACGGGATTTTTGACAAGCAGCACTTGCTGCCGGAATGATGTGCAATGCGACACGCGACCAAGGAATTGTGAATGCATAAAGGTTGTCTCTTCATCCGTTTGCAACCCTTCTTTGGGGGTACCGCATAGTTTTCTCAGAAATGCCGCCGCACATGGAATCTGTCCATGAAATGCCTCTCTGGCTGTTGCAGTCCGTTGCAACTCAAGAAGGTAGGGCAAGGGAAAGGACGGCCGGGGAGGGGAAAGCAGACGAAATGCTAAAAAGAGGAGGAGGTTTCCCCCTCTCCTCTCTAGCGTTCCGTCTGCTTCCTCCTCCCCCTCGCCCTACCCTCTTGAGTTGCAACGGACTATAAACTATTCTCCTAATAATGTGCAGCTCATGTTCCAGAGATCTAGTGCACCACTGGTCTTCAACATTATAAAGCCACCAAAAAACAACTCCAGACATTAAAAATCTGCAGAGTCTTGGAATAAACTAACCCCTCAAAGATCTGCAGCCTATATGTGTCGCACTAAGAAAAGAAAAAGTAGCATACTCACAGTGGCATCGTGAGAGCAGGTGGCCAGCAGACCGTCGTCATAAGGGCAAAAATCGAAGTCTGTCACGAAATCTGTAAAACGCCACGACACAGAAAACTGTAAGCAACTGATTTAATTCCGGCGTTCTTATTTGAGTCGTCCAGTTACAGCAGTAAACGGCCCTACATTTCTTGAAAATAGAACACCTATCAAAATCAAAAAGTTTATTTTTCAGGCTAAAGTTAGATTGGTGTAATCTTCAAACTTCTCGGCTATCAGTGCCTCCATTCAGAAAACAATAGCACACATTAATTAGTGTGACAAAGATGCAATTAAGGTGAAATTAAGTTATTTAGACTATCAAGAATCACTGCCCCAATTTTGTTTTCTTCTCTCAAATAAGGTTGTATGTAAAAAAAAAGAACTAAATATGAATTTGAAAAAAAAAAAAAAAAAAAAAAAAAAAAAAACCTTAAATCATTTTGATTTGGATTCCAGGCCCGTGAATATCAAACTTATATTTCAGATTTATGCGCCAGGTAATTACAACGGCACTTTCAAAAAAGCGTTGAAGCCCCTCCTTTCCGGTGCGTTTGGTGGGAGGAGGGAATCGTGACGTGTTATACAGAGATCTCAACATTTCTGCACCTTCCGCAAGCCTTGCCCAAGCAGTCAAAAACGCTGCACACCTTCCATCAGAAACGGAAAGTGCAAGGCAGTTTGAAGCCTCTGGGTATAACGTCGCTCCCAGCGGTTGTTTTTTTGGTTTTCCACGCGTCTATTGATACATTCGGGTCACATGCTCACCATATTCAAACTCATGGGACAAAAATGTGCTAAAATTCACCGCTATCTCGTTCCTTTTTTTTTTTTAATTAGGGACACGAAAATTAAACGGGTAGATTATTCGTTAAATTTACTGCTCATAGGCTATTTAAAATATCCATAAAGTTACGCGATTTTTAGAGGTCTAGTAATCATAATAATCAACTTACAAATGTGCATCGTTTTCAACTAACAAACAGGCAACGCTACCCAAGTTAGCCGTAAAATAGTGCCCATAAACCATGTGATCCTGAACACTTTCTCATTCTAGGCCCGCCTTGGTACGATAAAAACTTGGGAGGACATTTAAGCTTCGCCTTTAAGACTGGAATGCGACAGCGTTATCGGGCAAGCATGTTTTGCATGGTCTAGTCAGTAGCGTGTCTGGCTCACAACTTAAAGGTCACGAGTTCAAATCCCACCTAAAATTCTTCATATTTTTCTTTAAGGGAAATGAGATACTTTATAAAGTGAAATCATTTGAGACATGCGGCAACCTACAATTTACATTGCATGTAATGCTTTTTAATCCCTTTCATTCCTCGCGTGATGTCAAGTTTCACGAGAGTGGTGTGGGTTGTTTGAAATTCCTGCGTAAGGCCATGTGGCTGTGACGTCATGACCCTATCGACCAAACAAGATTTACGCGTCCCGCTACAGACGTCCAATTTCTGCAACGCCACCAAGGCCTGCACAAAACGAGCTGCTCAACGCCATCGCGTTAAAAGCCTCACACAACTCAGCTGCTCTCGACCCCGGCCCTTCGAACTTCCACCCTGCATGCGCATTCGAGGTCTTCACAGACGACAACGACCACGGCGAGTTCATCCATGATGATGCCGTCGTCGAGGTAGCTGGTCACCAGCGAGGAGCAGTCAAAAGGACCACCTTCCAAAATCTCTCAATAACAATCACTCTCATGGTTGCCGCAATCGGTGTCAAAGACTCCGACGAAGCAAGCGATGCCGCAGATGTTGTCGCCTCGAAACCGCATGCTCGAAATGCGGAAGGTAAACAAGGAAGCTGTAGCTGGAGACGCCGAGAGAGCCAAGACTGTGGTATGTGCAAACAGACGCCGCACATTGGACGAATGGCGTCATCGACCCAACAAACATGGCGGCATTTTCAAATGGGGTAGATGCGGGTCCGCACATAAATAGATTTATCCACGAAACTATCGCGCCATTTTAAAATCAAAGTTAGCAGAAATGTAGGAACATGCAATGGATTTTAGCAATATAGTTATCTCCTAGGTTATTTTTGGCATGCCCTAACCCCTTTATGTGCTGTACGACATGTTCTGCTCTCGTGTACTCACTCTTTAAAAACTTCAGAAAACACAATTATTGAAATGAAGTGAGCAACACGTAGCTGGCTACCTTTACCATGACACAAAATAAAAAAAATTAAAAATTAATTTTTTTGTTTGTTTAACTTACCAGAATGCGCATGAAGCAGAGGCAAATTCTTGCTCTTTTTTCCAGCTTCATCCAGCGGCAGAATACCTAAGCTACCTCCACCTAGAACAGAAGAAAAACAAATGAGAATACACAAAGCACCCAGCACACATTCTGTTTCCTTTCTAGCCCTTGTTCCCCGTCTCCTTTCTAGCCCTTGCGATGTACCAATTATACTAGCGGACAACTTTTTGTGGCTATGCAGTCAAAGCTGTGGATGCACGGGCACTTGAGCACCCTGAGCGTCGATCAAAGCTGTGCACAAGCCCCTGCACTTCTGAAATGAAACAGAAAGTTGTCCACGCGCATAGCCCATCAATGCCTCTTACAGAAACAAGTAGATAAGGTGCAAGCAAAGAACAAAAACTGCATCCCAAGCTAAGACAGGCTTATGCTACAAAGCCATGACGCCACAGTGTACAAGCTTCACAAATATTAGTAAAAAAAAAAATTAACTGCATGAACTGTCAGGAGGTACAAAGTGGCTATTCAGCACAAATTAGTTCCTCAGACTTTTGAGTTTACTTTTCACGATGATACAACAATCTTAGAGAGGATGCACAGTTTGGGAAGCCCATTATATAAACATTTGCAAGTACAGCCTCTGGACACCGCCATAGTGCTACAGGCATGTATATATTGTCTGACAGTAAAGCCTTGCAAAGGCTTTACTGTCAGACTAGTGTTCAACCTACAGTGGCCTGTAGATTGTAGACTGTAGGCTGTAGAATCTGAAGCGTGTTCAATCTACGGTGGCCCGACTATGTTTTGAAGTGCAGCTGCTTACAAGCGTCTATGGGCTAAGGGGAGTGAGTGAAGTATTTGAAAGAACACTGCAATGTAGTCGCTGACTTGCTAATGCTAATATGGCTTCAGTGTGCTTTCAATATTAAAAAGAAAAAAAAAAGAAATTTGAAGGATGGGAAAAAAAAATCTTTTGATGCAGATCTGGAAGTATTAAGCTGACATTAGATTAGCAAGATGCTTCAGAAATAATGTCATGCGTCCATGTCAATTCGCTCAGTTTTTGCCATAGCCTTTTCCAAAACAATCTGGCAATTGCTCACCACGGTTGTCAACGCTGAAAGCCTTGTAGAGTGCACTGGCCTTTATGTGATTTCCAAATGACTGTGGTGCCCCAACAGAGACATCCAAGACCCAACCCTGCCAACGAAAAAGAATATTAAGTTAATTCACGAAGCACTTAACACACCTGCCTGAAACAACCACTTCGGGAATGTAGCTAAGGTCTAGCGACATCTGGTGGTGCAAGGGAGTCGATAAATAAATCTAGAGGAAAAGGTCCACCATGTGCTCGTGCATACTGGCCGCTTCAGAATGGCAGAACATAGACGTGGACATCTGCAATTGCAACGGGCCCATATCACTGAGGGTACTTTAGTATGTGCAAAGAAGCGGCATAACATCACTTAAAAAGTCTGTACCAAGTTTGTTTGTTTTTTTCTAGCTTTATTTTGCAGAGACGACAGCATCACACGTTGTACAAAAATAAATAAAGTTGACGAGGACTCGCACAGCTTCCAACGTGTCGCTGCAAAACGAACATGCTTAACCCATCGTCTGGTTTCTTTCCCCACTTTTCTGCCGTCCTCTTTCTTTTTCTCGGCACCACCAATGTGAGTGCTCACGGTTTGCCGCATTCTGCTCCCATCTTTTACCCCCCTGTCGCACTCCCGATTGCTAGCATGTAGCGGATGATTTCCAGATTTATATACCACCGCAGGGGTAGATTAGGTACGGCCCACCACACAGCAAAAGAATACACTTTCTTGTTCTTTTATTCAAGTTTTGCAGTGCCTTTCTTACCCTGACCTGCCAGAAAGAATCAATTCTCAGGTAGTCGAGACTGGAGCCACTAAATGAGCTACGCTTAGGGTAAAGTTGTGGGCGCTGCCATCTTGGCGCTTGTGCAGAGCAGACTCAACTGCCGATCGTTATGATTAAAAATTGTGACTTCGTCAACATTCAATTCTGTGTTAATAAACTTATGTAATATTGCTTTGCTCCGTTGCGAACTGTTTAAACATTTGGGGAGTATGGAAAAGTGTTTTCTGTGATTTGAGATTAAGCTTCAGATAACTGGCAACCATAATTTTAAAGGGATGCTGAAAATTTGGAGCTCACACAACAACGCTGCAGAGATAGGCGGGACGCTGTAAAACCCAAGAACATCACTCATACAGCGATATCTTTAGCGGATGGCCGTATTTTTGAAAAAGAAGTGCGCGACGATTGAACACGGCCGACAAGGCTGACGAGACATGCAATGTCGCGATTCTCATTCCCTCTCCTCTTTGCTTTATCCCCACGAGCAGGTGAACCGAAGCGGGGAGGAGAGAAGCGAGGACGCTTCCCCTCATTCTCAACTGTTGGAAGAGAATCGCGAAGTCACATTTCTAGCTTTATCGCTCCCTTCTTTGACAAAAATACGAGCATCCGTTTGGGATATCAATGTATAAGTGATGTTTTTGGAGTTCACAGCGTCCCTATTGAACGCTTCTGCGGCTTTATTTTGCAAAATCAAGATTTCGGTTCAGCATCCCTTTAAGCCCCAAGGTGGGTAAGTTTCGTTACTCTGAAGTGGAGCTTATTTAGTGGCTCTAGCCAAACTCTTCGCAAACCCGTCAGAAGTGTGCCGCACATTAGGACGGGCATATATGGTCACTGGCAGGGTCAGAACGGCCGGGCTGGTCTCTAGGATGCATTACCTTCATTATATGCTCGTTGCCCTTCGAATTGTATTGGCTGTGCATGCACAGTCGCAGCACATGAGACGCTAAAGAGTTATCACAGGTACGAAGCTCGCGCAAGTGGCGGGACAACTCGGACCTCCCTGCCATTTTCATCCTGTCAGTGATCACACAGGGTGTCCCAAGTGGGAAGAAGCCGGAAAAAATCGGAATATACTCATAGAAAGCTCAAACTTTCATTGAATGTGCACCGAGCAGGTCAGTTTTACCGTGCAAAATTTCAAGGTGCAGTTCCCTTCCTCTAAAAAAATTGCCCAGGTCAAGGCTGGACACATTCGCAGCAACCAAGTTAGCGGCGCCATCTACCGATAGGCGTAGTGAGCAGACGCAATTTTTGCTCCCATTATTTGCAGGAAGAGAACTGAGACTCAAAATTTCATGTGGTAAAACTGGCCTGCTTAATGCACTGTTCAGTTAAAGTTTGAGCTCTTTATGTGTAGGCTCCAATTCTTGCAGCTCGTTTTGCAGCAGAAGGTTCACTCGGGGACAGCCAAGAAGATAATTTTGAAGTCCCTTTGGCACATGGGTAAAAACAGTCGACCCAAGAATAGAACTGCGTATGAACCTTATTTGACGTGTGTAAACCTAGCCTCTCACCAACAGTTTGCAAACAAACTCTAGAAAGCCAAAAGCAGCTCCTACGAGACATATTGGTAGTAGTTCTTTAACGCAATGGAAAAGTAAGTGTATAGTAAACAAAGTTTTGGAGAAAGGAAAACTAGACTGAACACATTTACTCCTAGATGTTGAACATAGTTTGGTGGTATTGCGCGATTGTTGATGGGACGCTCATCGCCTCCGGGTAGTACATTCCAACTTCTTTCCACTGCCATACTGAACACGGTTATGGAGCGCGATAATGGCTTGCGCAATGCGGAAGGATCAGGGCAAACATCAACACAGGACTCGGGATCTGGCGAGCAAGGCGGGAAAGCCAACCTCCGGCACAAGACGAACAAACACGAATAGTGCTCGTCACGGGCGTTCGATCGCGTCTCCAATTAGAAGCGTCACCGGAATAATGAGCACGCAAAGGCGGTACGAAGGCTGCCTATTCAACCGAACGTGAACGATGCACAAAATAAAACACACAAAAATGCATGCGTAAGTCACGTCGTGAAACAGAAGAGAAAAAAGAAATGAAGCGCGCAATACAGGGAGATTTACAACTCACCTCTCCTTTCTTGGGGACTTTAGGTGTGGCATTCTTGTACTTGGAACTCTTGAAGCGATACATAGAACGCCGGTTGCATAAACTGAGTATTTCTGTCGGAGGGAGGAAGGAAAACGTTCCACCGGTCAAAAGCGTTCGGGTGCGAAAGCGAAATTAAAGGCGGCGAGACACCGGAGACGAGCGTATGGGGCGGTGTGTGCGCACACACACGAGCAACAAAGGAAGAACCTCAGACTCGCAGTCGGAGCATTCTCGAGTCGCTAGGGCCGCAATCTACTTATCGGTACTTTTGAAAGAAACGAGACTATAGTCGATTTTAGAACTAAATCGACGCTTCTGGCGTCTAGTTTTACCCGAATGAATCGGTGAAGCAGAACTGTCAGCTGAAAGAACTCAAGCCAGCGGGGTTGGGGGGGATCTCTGTTGACAGATGATTTTCGGCTGTTCTATCCGAACCCGGCGCCGTAGCCGTCGTCACGGACACGGTCGCGTAGCTTCGGTGTTCAAAAGACGATCGGATCACGTTTGAGCTCGGGTTTGGGCGACGGAAGAGTGGTGTAAAATGCGAACGTACGTTCACCTGGCGCTTCTTTCCAAGTAAACTCGGCAAAGAGAAAAGACGCCTCCCCGTTGGTCACGTGGGCTGGGACGTCACGTGACCTCGTCAAGACCCGTGACGTCAACGGATCGATGGGCGGCTCGGCGGTCGCGGATGGAACTAATGGTTGTAATGACCTTCATATTAGATAGCGTTTTAATTAGTTCCTGGGCCGGGAAGCTTTCTGGATTCTTTTATTGTTAACCTATGGATTAATTTTAAACGTCTAGAAAACTCATCACTGACCTCGCGCTGCCAACATGTTTCTTCGTAAAAAATATATGCAGGGTATCACAAAAGAAAATTTACACGGTCTTTTTTACCGCAAAAATAAACTAGGCAACGCCGAACGCTCATTCTCCGCCCAAAGGTAGAGCAAGAGGTCACAACCAGATGCCAAAGTTCCAGCCCGATCCGATAACTTAATCAAAAGTTATAAGTGATTTTCTGAATATTTCAATGGGAAAATGGAGCCCAGTTTTGCCCGTTTTCGGTTTCTGGTGCCATAGAGCGCATAGAGCAGTACATAGAACCCCATGTGTTTGAAAACTCCGTCGGCCGTCATTTTCCCATTGAAATTTCCAGAAAATCACTTATAACTTTTCATCGGATCGGGCTGAAACTTGGCATCTGGTTGTGACCTCTTGCGCTACCTTTGGGCGGAGAATAAGCGTTCGACGATGCCTAGTTTATTTTTGCGGTTTGTGCTTGCGGTAAAAAAAAAAAAAAAAAATTTCTTTCGTGACTCGTTTTGTACATATTTTGCGCTTATTTATTTTAGTTACCTTTTATTTTATTCAAGATCATGCCTGATGGAGATAGATTTTAGTGGTTTTAGTGTATATCACAAGCGACTAAAACAAACACACACACACACATCCTTTGAGCTAAAAAAATAGGTTATTTTTTCCTGCAAATATAATAAATTGCAACTTTATTGACACTCAAAAAGACTTACACAGAAGAAAAAGAAAACAGGTCAACACAAAACTTGATGTACATGTTTGACATATGCTCGCCAAGCAGCCACACGAAAACAAAACAGCTGTATGTATTCTATCACTCGTATGTTTCTCTATTTACATAAGATGATAAGATCTAAATTACTTGCTTGAATATAGGCTGCTTCTCAAAAAGGCTGGTGAACTCCCAAGTCCTGAAACGATCTCAGCAAGTCCTGGACAGATCTCAGAAACGTGTATGTGTACGTGAGGTACGTATATCAAATGACAAAATAATTGTGACAGGCAACCGTGCGTGCATGCAACATGCGTTATCAGCAGAAGCAGCTACCACAGATCATCCCCAGAAGCCCAATAAACAGCAGGAACCCGATGAAAATGAACACGGCATTATGGAACCAAAATGCGAAGTAGAATGCCATTGGAGAGCAGTAGCCAGTACTGTTCGGATCCTTGGAGGGCCATAAGCTGCCGTAGACGACCACGCAACCTGAAACAAATTACCAATGCGAGCAACATAAGAAAAAGCTTTCAATTTTAAGCAACACATCATCCTGCAATTTCGTGTAAAGAAGAGGATTGAAAATTGTGGATAATGACTATAAAAGCAAAATCTAAGTCAGCATAAAAAAAAATAGAAGTTATGCACGGCACACCTTGATCAATACTTATATTTGGCTCACAAAAAAGCTTGTTTTCTTACAGAAATTATCATTAACACAACTTGTCATTCACAAAATTTGTCACGTCTCGTCATAGTGAATGATCTAAAAACAATAAACCATATGCTTGTACAGTCTGCACTGCATAAAATTTCTCCTCATGTATATTTCGTTCAGAAAATATGGTAATCACTCTTTGATTAGCAATTAATTGATAAACTCCCCCTCATGATGTAAACTTAAAAATTAAAAAAAACATGTGCATATGGTATTTATAGTTGTTCCGACAATACACCAGTTATTTTTTTTTTCCAGAAAGAGATATTGTGGCGATTGAAATTAATTCAACTGTAGTCTGCAATGATTTCTGCAACAACAAATCATAGTCGAAAAGTGTTCGGACACCAGATTATTCAGGGAACGAAACAGCATTAGGCATATGTTAGTTATGCATGATCAGCCATTGCCAATTAAAAACAACCTCTATAAAAAATTTAATAAAACAACTAAGTGATGCAGCATTCATTACTGAAGGGCAGTTCAACTGAGAACTCGTCCTTGCATATTGTGCCATCACATTCATTGTCATAGATCACCATTCTGTTGCTGGAATCCTTTGGAATACAACTCGTGTGAGTTAAAACCCCACTACAAAAGTAATTGGTCTAATGAAAAAATACAGAGCAAGACAACTATCGCTAAGGGATATGCGTGGGTGCAGTCTGCAGAGGCAGCATATGCATCATAAAATAAACCCAGAGACGAGGAAAATAAAATGTTTCCTAATGCTCGCCTGCATACTGTTTCTTCTGATAGTGTATGTACATTCCATTCCCGAACGTCTTTTGGGCACATGAAAAAATAAGATTTCCTAAGCTATGGTGTCATAAACCGTCGATGTTGTTTTGCTTTGTAGCAGTCTGTTTCAACATTTCTGAAGGACGGAAGAACGTTTGCTGCAATTTCAGATGGTGCTTCGGATGACTGGCAACAAGGCTTTTTGGGGGTACCAAGATTGCCGACGTGTCATTACATCTAAAGTGTGGCTTAATTCGGTGGCTCTGACATACGCACCCAGTATGAAGAAAGCGAACATGAAGAGGTTCAGCACTCCGGTGGCCGTCCCCAGTATGAGGAACTTGCGCTCGTTTGCCTCTGGGTCGGATTCGGACGGATAGAGTCGTCCAGAACGAACAACGATGTTGGCAACACTGCTCAGGAGCGCCAGTGCACCCCCGACAACAAGAACCACGGGTATCATCGGCTCATGAGGGCACTTTTTGATGGTCAGAGCACCTGATGTGGGAAGGAGAACACGGAAAAACACACACAGACGAACGAGTCATTTGTCTGCAACAGTTCTAATGCAACCACGGACCTAGGGCTGTGCTACCAGGAAAAAAAACTCTAGAACAAATTAGCAACTCATGTGTACTAGAACCACTCGTGCGCAGCTGTCCGCTGGATGTTGACATTCAAAAACGCTGACTAACAGTTGAAAAAAAAAATATTATATATATATATTACTGCAAAATTCCTAAAAGTTGCAGCATGTTTTTTCAGGCAACAATTATGAATAGCGGATTAATATTTTCTGCAAACATGATTGACCTATGGACTTCATTCTGTACTCATTTTGGATGCCAGTGAAGCCAATGCTACATGCACAAGCCCTGTGCAACTGGTCATAGCTGTTGTGTATGCCTGTTTGCACAGAGCAAGCACTAGCTGTTCAAAACAACATCCTTGCACTTGTTAGGACAGAACGAGCGGGTTGGTATGAATAGTTAAGCTTGAGGAAGAAAACGAGACGGGACGGACAAACACAAACTTCCATTTCTGTTTGTCCGTCCCGTCTAGTTTTCTTCCTCAAGCTTAATTTGCACTTGTTGTTTCCGCCTTGCTTCCTTAGAAAGAAGCAAAATGTATTTTTGAAGCATATTTTTGTCTGTGCTGAAGTAAAATTATTGAACACTAAAATAAACATGAATACTTTATATCTCACCTATTAAGAGGGAAGCAGCAGGAATGAGAAATGTCGCCAAGACAATGATAGTGAAAACAACTGCAAATAACAATAAGGTAGAAATAGGTAGATAGGTAGATATTACGATACACTTTGGAAATCATATATATGTTTATGCGAGAAATAAAACACTCAACTAGACTTACTTGTCCCTAGACAATAGTTGAGAACTGCAGATGCCACTGTCTGGGGATCCTGCTCTTGGTAATGTTCTCGTGCCTGGCGCAACCGTTCCAACACAGATTCATCTAAAAAAGAAAAGAACATGCAATAAATTATTATTTTTTTTTTAAAACATGTGGCTTTAGTGTTTATATATCCTGCCGTTCGCACGCACAAACGACCGCCAGCGGTTTTTACCGTTTTAATACGAAAGCATTAACTGTCTTATGGAGCAAGCTGACGTCATCAGTCTGAAGCGCGAAAACGGCAGATAGTTTCCTTCGGTCCCATTGGCTGGCGCGCGTCGACAGGGCTCCCATTGGCCGCTGCGCTCGTCAGTTTCCATGACCGCTCACCCCATGACGCTGCGTGTCCATCAGCGCGGAGCGTCCAAGGTCACCAGGGGAGCACAAGCGCCGGCCGGCGACGAAAAGTACGCAGCAGACGAAAAAGAGAGCGGACCAGCTGCTTGCATGCTTTCACATCTTTCGAATTCACAACTCGTAAGAAATGCTTAGGTGTACCACGATCTTTTTTCACTGGATTATTTTTCACAAAAAGATGACTCATCAGAATTAATTAGGTGTTGTGAAATGTGCTCATGGGAACATACGATCAATCTGTCGTGGAAATACTGTGTTTTACCATTACATTACGAATCGACATACCATTTCCAAACCAAAACCGTGATGCTGGAGGCGGGGCGTTCGTGCTTGTGCTGCCGTACCGCGCCGGTCCGGACAAATCAGCCTGTACGGGAGCGGGTGCATTATCCTGAGCATGTAAAACCAGTAAATGCATTCATTACGTTCATGTGTACAATGAGACTCACAGCCCTGCGAACAATATTTAAAAAACTTACTAACAGACAACCGAAACTCCCGCGCCCCGGCCATCTTAAAATGGCCGCCATTTGCGCACACTTGGCTCATTTGCTAGCAGACGGCAAACAATTCGTTTTCTGTCGGCTCAATTATACGTTTACATTTGTCAGTACAACTACGACGCATCATATAACCCTGCTTCTACGAATACCCTAGCTATCACACGCATCAATTAAGCCACCAAGTGCGTTCTCCGCGAACTTTATGAACAAATTTTGAAACGATCGATCCGTAAAGCTACCGTCACCGAAAAGCGAACTAAGTTTCGATACTTCCTGGCATACGCAGACACCCTTCGTAAGACGAAAACAGCAAATACTATTCAGACTTACAGTGTGCAGTAGGTTATCCTTGCTACGATACATTTCTTCTGGCCGGCTCACGGTGCTGGCTAGAGATAGAGGGAGGGAGAAAACAAATTCTACGCAGCTGTTTTCCGACACCTGTAGCCTTCAACGGCCTTTTCTCTCCTCCCCCGCAAAAAAACCCTCTGCACATCTTTTCGCTAGCTGCTAGAGCTTCCAAAATACGAGCAGCATTAGAGACTTTCGATGTAAATATAAGACCTACGAAACCGCGTACCGCGTTGTTTTTTGTAGTTATTTCAGACGTGCGTCGTTTTACACCGGCAACGGGTCAAGATCCGTCACTCTGTAGGAAAAATCAGTTTTGTTTATTATGGATCCAGTGGCCTTGGTGGCCTCCCGCACTCTTGTCTAGGACAAAGTCAAAATGCCGTAACGTTTTTTTGTTTCCTTGGCGGACATTTAATCCACTTGGCTCGTGAAAATGAGACTGCACCGACTGCAAACCAACTAGCGCACGCGTAGTTTTCTTATGTACATATACAGGGTGTCACAAAATACGTGCACTAAACGTACCCCCCCCCCCCCCTCCCCTCCGACGATTCAGTCGTCTGCGTCGCCGCCCGCCGTTGACCCTGGCAAGTTTTTCGGCCCTATTTTTTTACAGAAAGGGAGCTATGCTTCGCAATTTTACAAGAAAAAAAAAAAAAAAAAAAAAGAGCCGGTGAAATACACCTTTGACGAAAAGTCTAGATTGCTTCAGACAGGCATCGATTTTACGGTCCATTTTAGATCAAGCCTGACTTCAAACACCCTATATATTTTTAATCACCAACTAGCCCAACTGTCCGCCTTCGTTTAGTAACTATTCTCGGGGATTAGTGTACCAGGTCGTGTATAGTGCCACTATAGTCGTGCATTTGCACCAGATTATCTGAAAATAAGTTTAAGAAATTACAACATTATTTACGCATGTCGCTGCAGCCTGATGCACGTTAATTAAAGACTCCAGGACGGTAGTGGTACTGCACTGGCTAAGTTTCTTGCCTACAGCTGCGAAACCAGACGCTCAATGAGGCCGACCAACTCCCGGCTGTTTAAACATACACACAGCAGAATTACGAGTGGTTAGATCTGGCAGAGTTTGAAGATGCACTCAACACTGTCGCTCAGAGCAGGAATTGTTGTCGCTGGTATTTTAAAAATCCGTAGTCATCTTTTTTTTTTTTCTTAAAAAAAAAAGGGGGGGGGGGGGGGGGGGAGGGGTAAACAATTATACTTCCATTAAAATACATGAACAGATTTTTGTCAACAACTTTATTTTATAGTAAACATCTGCTTATAGTGTGAACATGCGTATATAATGCCTGCATCACATCAAAAGCTTTTCTTGCTAAATCTATTGCAAAAATAGAGGCACTTGCTTGATGATGGGCACAACTAAAAGTGGCAGCATGCAGATGCTTTTATCTCCGTTCCACAATAACAAAGAAAATACTTACATTTTCACCCAAACATAATGAATAGTTGCAAGTTATATCTGTACATTAAGATGCCCTTGCTACTCAGTCGCCACTGAGTCTGTGCCTCAGAGCAGCAAGCGTTCAAAGAACAAAAAATGGCCTATAACAGCAAGTACATCAAGTAAAGGCACATTCACACTCTTGCAACCGAGTACGACCGAGATACGAGACTTGTTAAAACCTCTTAAAATTTCTTAGGACGAAAGAACACACTGGCACGCTGGCGCCATCTATTCGGTGACCCTGGAACTGCATTTCACAAGAGCGAAGGTTTTGCGGGATTTCCGAGGTCAAATGTGCGTATTACCTATAAGAAAGGCTCGTTTATAACGTTGACAAAAGTTTTTTGAGCCAAGAAAGGAAGGATAATGGGCGAGTGAAATAGAAAATATGCCGGACCGCCAAGTTTACGCTGCTACCCAATAGATGGCGCCAGTGTGTCCTCTCGTAAGAGGTTTCAAGGAACCCAGTTTTCAGAGGTCGCAAGAGTGTGAACGGGCCTTAAATGTGAAGTAGTTCTAGTGCATACAAATATTTCCCCACTCTGGCACATGTACGACCCGAAGCCACAATATTCAATACAAATAAATTTGCAATCTATCAAGTACTAACTCTGCAGCTTGCTAGATATAAGTTCGCAGTTGTCTAGAAAATTACCAGAGCAAATGGTCAGCCAGAGTCAAGCACCGAGCCACAGCTACATAAGCCGTCACAGAAGACAAAAAGCCATAAGATTCCAGTTGCACTCAATCATGTCCATAATCACCTTATGATACTATTTTTGTTCTTAAAAGTATAACCAATACAACAGCCAAATTTGTTTTTGGAAAAAGGGGGGGGGGGGGGGGGGGGGGGAGGAGGGGGTTTGTGCTCAGGTGGCTGTGGTGTCCATGTGCATGTGTATACTATAAGGTTGTCTGTACTTAGGGGAAGGAAGGGGTTGGGGGGGGCTGCCCTATAAGTACCCCCTTCCCCCTTGGCCCCACCACTGGTTCCAGTCTAATCTTAGGTTGTCGAAGCCATGCCATGGTCTTGTGTACTCACGGTTAATTCACAGCCAAGGAAATAAAGGGCTGCAACTCAAGTTAAGTCCCAGCAAATGAGCCAAACCAAGGAGCTCTAGCAGGGAAAAAGCAAAAGCAGCCTTTCAGTGGCATGGCCCCACCAAGTGAATGTCTAGTTACATGTAGCCAGTCATATCGCAGCAAATGACTAGATCTGGTAAATGCCCATCCAGCAGAAGTCTACCGATCGTCTTTGATTTACATTGCAGAGCATTTGTTTGCAACATACAGGTTGCGAAATCTAGCAACTACAAATACAAACTTCAGCTAAAAATCCCCTAGCCATTTATGCCGTACCCTTTGCACCTTCCATTCTGCCACCACACACTCAAGAACAAAATCACACAGTGTGGCATTAAAAGAATGAGCATTTCGTGCCAACTATGACAACCCTAGGCAAAAAAGCAGTACACCCAATGTGCACTCTCCGTGTTCTTTCAAGAAACGAAAAAGCATGGTGGAAGTATTTTTGAGTGCACTATGATACACCTTAAATACCTGAGGCATGATTATGCTTTTAGCATATTTTAACGTAAACCACGTTTCAGCAGTGCTCTCCGTATACACTAACTCTGCTGTTCTTGTGACAGGTCAGTGTATTTTTAAAACAGTGTTTCTGAACACTATTTGGGCGTAAAACAAATTAAAATAAATACACCAACGAACCGAGAGCAGTGAAAATTCTCACAAAGGTGTCTTAAGGTGGTGCATTTATCATGCCAAAATTGTAGGAGCCTAGGTTTCAGGAAAACAAAAATATAATTTTAATAAGACCTTTATCCAATGCACAAGACGAAAAAGGTAATAAAGCAAAAACGTGAAAGCTCTTTCGAGATGACCATCTGTGACTGGCAGCGTCAACCAGACTGTTTTTGTCGCTTTGCATCCTGTTCATGAGAAAGAAAAGCTTTTTTTAGGGCTCTGATTTTTGTCCAGAGGCCTACACTGGTAAAATACGAGTAGGAACCATGCACGACGTAAAGACACCTCTCTGAAAAAAGTTTCAATTACTGGTTTATTTATACAAAACATTTTTACGCCCGAAGAGCGCCCTGAAACACCCCTTACCGTCGGTAGAATCGGAATATACTCCAAGTACTTCCAGAGAACGCTTATTGTATCGTAACAGCGAAAAAATTGGCACACTTTCGGCGCACGCTGCTTATAAGCCTAGCCAATTCAGATTGTCGGCACCGCGACGTCTCGCTGCCACGCCAGTCCGTCCAAGGGTCGGTCGTTGTGGACCTTCAGGAGTGTTGAGCCCCCGAAGCTTTGTCGACCGTTTCGCGACTCGCAGCCGTCAAAGGGGGGTTCGTCTGCTCCGCGGCGATGCGGACCATTCCGCCGGCCATCTTGGCTCCGTAGTGTCCGGCCCAGAACTGCGTGTCCGTTCCGAGGTGTGCGAACCGGATGTACCGGACACCCTTTGGATAGTCGTCGAACGTGTGTCTGACCTGAAGCAAGCCAACATCACAGCCGCGTTAGACAGCCGACTTTGAGGGAGTTTAAAGATGTCAGCGCAAAAGCTATTGTGCAAGATGTTCTCAAGAGCTATTCGCGCAAAAAAAAGGTTTATACGAGTGAAATGAAACTTTTCACAAATATGCCTTTAGGTCGAGCACTCATCATAATGAAATTTTTGTGAGTGTAGGCTTTTGGGTGAAGAAGTGGAGGTATTTCCTGAGCAATGGGAGAAGAAATAAACAAACCGTCTATTTCACGCCGCTATTCGCATATCGTACCACACAGGCTCGGGCCTGTTGAATCTGCCTTAGTGTGTTCACTCCAAGAATATTCCGAGTTTTTGTACCATGTGGTGCCATATGTGAACAGCAGTGCCAACCCAACAGTTTTCTTCAGTTTTCCTAGTGCTCAAGGGAAAGAAAACAAGTTTTTCTTTTCTCGCCGTGTTTTCCCAGAAACCACCTGCATTTCTCAAAGAAACAGCAAATCGTGCCATAGATAGGGGGCAAGTTATCCTTCATAGGTATAGTGTGGTACGCTCACAAAACTTTAGTACGATAAATGCGCCACATAAGACACCTGTGAAATGTTTAATTTTGCTTAGCCTATTGGTTTATTTATACAAACGATTCTACGCCTGAACGGCGCTCGAAAATATCACACAATGTGAATATGCACAATATTTCCGAGTGCCGTTCGCCACCCCTCAGCTATAGTACAGTCCAGGGGTGGCTTAACCGCAGCTTTTGAGCTGCATGAGGCTCATTATGGGTCCAAGTGTCGCGGCTCCCTGTACAAAGTACCCCCCCCCCCCCCCCCCCCCCCTTCCACCCTCAGCTTCCATTTTGGCAGCCTTATGCCACCATACACACTACTGCAAAGCACTCTTTTTAACAATAAAGATGGTAAAATCAAAGGAGCGCGTGACCTGAGCTGCTTTTACTACAATGATGTCCTTCGAGCCGAACTTCGGGGCACTTGCTTCGCAAATGAAGACGCATGATAAAGAAACATTAACGAGCAATTGATTAACGAGCGGAACCGTCTGTGACTACCGACTGAAAATAACGAAATTAAAAAATATAGCGCCATGTCCCTTTTTTACTGTGGATCTTCACCTCTTTTTACGGCTCTTCTCCTACTATGTCCGTCGGGCCACCCCTGCTACAGTCTGTTGTGACTACGGTCGCTGGAATGCGTCCCTGACGAGTGTTTGGCGTCCTACACCGCCTGTGCATAGAAAGTGGCAACAAATATGAATACAAGCGTCACTCTTGTCGCCGCGTCCGAATAGACCGTCAAGGCGGAGATCGACCCACGGCAGAACGGGCGTCTGCGACGTCCACTTTTGCCGCCGCAAGGATCATGGCAGGCAATGGCAGAACGCTTGTACGAAGTCCTCGGGCAGAAATCGAGGGTCCACGAACGAGGATGCGGCAAACTAACCGGTGGGAAACGCGTTTCGGGCACCGTAGTTGCGACGTTATGCAAAGCGAAAGTTTGTCTGCTTCCTTTGAAGGGGCAGTGGTGACGTGAGAACGCCAAGTTCCGATTGGTTCCGATTGAAACGGACCTCAAGCCAGCTAGCCTTGAGGTGCACCCACTATGGTTTAATCGGAGCCAGTCGGAGCTCAGCGTTCTGATGTCACCCCAACCCCTGCGAAAAAGAAGCAGACGAACTGGTACTCCACACACTTCCAGTGGAAGATCCGCCTCCAGCACGAGTTCTCCGTGTTCGACAACGCTTCGGAACGTGTGCAGCCAAACCACTACAGACGGCAACGAGGGCATGTTGTAGACGGAGTCAACGAGAACATGTTGTAGGCGGAGCTTCTCCTATTGATCTTAAGCACCATTTGACTAACAGCTCAAATGTGATGCCGTTAAAAAAAGAAAACTGAAGTTTTGGATTATAATCTGTTGATATAAAAGCTATGGGAGAGGCCCTATGCAGGAAACAAAAAAAGGCTCTACTCAATGCCCAATGCACCTTTTCCAGTAAGCTTCTACACACACATACTCCCCTTCCCCGGGCCTCGCTTCCCGCCGTCGCTGTTGACAGAGAGGCACTGTCCCGTACTACCAAAGTTGTCGGCCCCTGTCTTTGTGCGTATTTAGTCTTTCCTGACGATTCTTCTCTGAACGTCGCTAGTATGGGGCATAACAATGCAATGAAAACCGATACGACGGCACTATGCCAACGTGTTTGGACGGGCGGAGGCACGCTGAGCCGCCCCTCGTTTGTAGCTTGCAGACTGTCCGTGTGGCGCCTGTCCGTGTGGTACGTGTCTCTTTTTTTCGTCCTGTTTGTTCGCGCCTTTTAACCTTTTAATCGATATGAACCAACTAGCCCCAACCAAATTTTTATTGCAGACAACCAAACTCCCAGTCGGCGCTCGTTATTCGAAAAAGGTCCATTCCTTTTTAGGGTTTCTCGGTGCGTACCGAAAACACAGGACCCCGGATATAAGCGAAGAAATCACGTAAGAAGGATCCACTCCGAAGATTAAAGGCCGGTTCAGACAGCACCATTGGCTTATGTTCCCTTGCGTGCGTTACGGAAGCCTACGTCTGCTTTCGCTGAGAGTCGCCAAAACATCTGCGCTTCATACTAAAAAGAACAACTCAGCTTCAAAAGTGTAAAAAAAAAAATGAAGTTTTTTTTTAGTATTATTTAAGAAGATTACTTGACAAATATTACGACCTGCTCCTGTCTAAATGTTTCTTAAACAATCCAACAAACTTTGAAATGCGCCAAGTTGCCGAAATCGGCTGACTCTAGCGGGTGAATAGAGGCACAATAAACAGCGGAGTCAAGGCTACGATGTTAGCTTAGCCAACATGGAGGTAAACAACATCAACATTGCTACTTTTTGTTTGTCTCCGCTTCTCCGGGCAAGCGTAACAGGTGACATAAGCAGCGTCTCCCCTTGGCGCTCAGAGGGGCCCACGTGATTGGCGCAACGTGCCTGTGCCGTGTGCTTCTTGGGAGCCGTCCGGCCCGTTACCGCCGTCTCCCGTATCACAACCGCCATCGTCATTTGTACTGGTTGTCTCTCGGAGCTTCGTTCACACCACGTGCGTAGATTGATGCCGCAGTTGTGCAGACGTCGTCAGATATCGTTAACACCAAGATAACCAAACACGGTGAAGACTGTAGTGCAGACGACACTTGCGTCTTGCACACACCTGCCCCAACGGTGGCCCGCCCCGATCCTACCCGTCGTCGCGTAGAGGATCACGTGACCGCTCATACCACATTTACCCATGTTTCTGGCAGCCTGAGCCAAAGTTTCAGTTTCGATTTCGGTTTCTGGTCATGTTTAAAGTAAGGTTTCACAAAATACATTCCATTTTTTGCAAAGCAAATGACGTAGTGCCTTTTGTCAGTGCTTTTTATTGTAAAATCCTTCATAATCCTGAAATTTTCGGAATTGAGCGGAGTTGCCCCTGAAGTGTGGCAACCACTTAAAGGTGTTGCCTTGCACATGACACACACTCCACGGATGTTTTGGCGACTCATAACGCAACGCAAAAAAACGTAAGCGAACGCTCTTCGTGTGTATGAGACTGCAGAGAGGCCACCAACTTGCCTGTTGCCATTGGCGCCCTGCCCACTGTGGGGTGACAAGCTCGCCCGTGTCGAAGGTGGCCACCGGTTTCTTGGCGACATCCAGCAACTCCACAATCAGACGGTACATGCAGCCGCAGTCGAAACGCCCCGCATACCTGTCCCGAGATCAGTTGACTCATGAGCATCTGCCATACTTCATTATGTTTCACGTGTCTGTTACACACCGGTCCCATGACGGCCACTTCAAACGGCCACAAAACGGTTTTCAATTGATTAAAATAAATATAAAAATCCATACTTGAAAGTAGCTTTGCTAACATATTCCCTGTGATCTTGGGGATCCTAAAGAATGCTATTTTGTCATGGGTCAATTATTTGCTTACCGTGAAATACCATGGAAGTGCCCACTTCAAACGAGCACCCACGAATAATATTTCCGAAACTTGGGAATTCTGCAAATTATACATTCAGCGCTCACCCTCTCCAAAGCACCGGAATCAGCCGAAGGTATTCACCCCTTTGCGGTGGCCACGAGACCACCAGCAGTGGTGACGGGAATAATATGTGAAAATAAATGGGTTTTTTTCGATTTCGTTCACCCTACCTTCAAAGCTCTTTACTGGCCGCCATCTTAGTTTTTACCCAGCTTTCAGTGAAACTGGGTGGGCACTTCCCCATTATCTTACAGTAGTTAATGAACGAGTAAATATTGCCATATGCTTTTCATTTTTTCCCTCCAATATTAATATGTAGAGGGTGACAAGTTTTCCACCGCATATTTGGTATTCTAACGAAGAAGTAGACGAGAGATTTTCTGAAAACTCAGTTTCAAACCGCATTTTAAATAAATTTTGAACTCGTACCACAAAACGTTTTATTTTTTTTAAGGACACTGTACGACGCAAATTTGAAATAAAGTTTAAAAAAAACCTGCACCCATTGGCTGAAGATGACGAATGACACCCACCATTCCGACACTTCGATGGCCGGTCTGAAAATATCGAGCACTTCAGGAACCACGCCCTCCTTGACTAGGGATATGACCTGCTCCTTGGAGCATTCTCCGTAGGAGGTAGCAAAACAGCTCTGGTTGGCTGCAACAAAACACGAAGACAACAGCTCAATGATTCTGCATCTCTCAATATCATGGAATAGGAAGCATCCATCTGCATTGACGTGTTTGGTTAGTCATATTTGAACACCTAATAGTTTTTTTGTAAATCACCAACTTTGTTTTTCAAAACCAAAATATGTCCTCGTAGTATGATGTCCGCCACTCATCGCAGTCTATCCTATCATATTTTTCTGCCGTGGATTTATTTTGAAAATATTACTGCAAGACAGGGTTGTCACACCAACATTCAAGTTTTTTTGTTTTTTTTTTAAATATTTGACGCTTGCGTGCTTATGCGCAGAGAAACTGAGGAAGAGTAGGAGAGGCGACGACAGTGCTCGGGGACGTCGAAATGCCAAGCCCTGATTCGAATAATTAGTGGGTAGACCTAGACCCAGCTGCCTTTGTCTCCACTGCACTTGTCAAATGTGCTAGAATGCAGAATGTCAACATCCGGATCTTGCATTCAGATGCATTATACGAGGCTACCCCAAGGAACCCCTGAGGCACTCTAAGAAACTCGAGGGCACCCTAAGAAACCCCTGAGGGTACCCTAGGGCTATCCTCAAAACATTCTAGGGAATCCTCAAGGGCAACCTATGAAACCCCCAAGGGCACCTTAGAGAGCCCCTAAGGACCCCCTAGGAAACTCCTGAAGGCACCTTTGGGAGCCCTTGAGGACACCCTAGAGAACACCTGGAGGAACCTGAGGGCACCTTAGGAAACCCCCGAGGGAACCCCTGAGGGCACCCCACGGAGCTCCTGAGGGCAGCCTGGGGAACCCCCGGGCTCCAAAGAAACTAGTCTGAGAACTTATGTTCTAGGTTATTGCCCTCGGTCCCTATTGAAAGAATTCATCTCTCATGTTGCGTATATCCCGCTCCCACTAGATTGGGGAGTCAATAGCCCCGCAGTTATGCCATCGAGCCAGTCGCCGAACCAAAACCGATGCACTATACCAAGGGGTAAGGGGTCAGCGCCGGCTGGAGTCTTCTCAACACGCCATCCGTCTCCATGATTCTGAGTCACCTGCCAGTGTGCAAACATGTCTGGAAGACAAAAACAAAAACAAGTGATAAAGCAAATAAAAACACACAAGAGTTCTTAAGGCTGGTTTACACATCTGCGCTGGAGGACGCTTGAGTGTGCTGCATTTCCCGATGATAATGAGCGGGCTCAAGTGTGCGGCGTTTCCTGATGATGGCGACATTGTTTATTTACATGAAAAGGGATACACTCCGGTTCTTTAGACTAAAGTCATCCCTTGTAGCCGCTCAACACACTGGCACCATCTATCGGCGAGCACTAGAACACTTCCAGCCTGTGTATAACTAGATCAAACATCTTGCAGTATTTGCGAAATCAATTAAATCTATGCAACACCTATAAGAAATGCTTGCTTAAAACATAGACAGAATTATTTCAAGCTCATGGTGAGAGAATAATGCATAAAGAATTCTAGAAATATATATTGTGCAGTCGTTCCAGGGGTACCCAAAAGATGGTGACAGAGACACACCCAATAATTAGAAACTCTTCCATCATGCCAAACAGGCACAAGTCAGCAATCTGCCAGACTTTCAGTGAACTGAATGTTTGGGCTCAATGCGATTACTGCATTTGGATGCAAGTTAGGGGCACCTCAATCAACACAGCAGCTGCCTTCTGGCAGAGCATGCTGGTTCTCTGCAAACTCTGCACAAAAGAAGGTAGCCTGTATCCCTGTAAATATGACAAGCTGCCAATATGTCAATATGACAATATGTGCCTTGATCATGCAAAAATTTGCGATGGTTGGTCAGACTTCCACGGAGCTCATGGCCCGCCCTTAGAAACTCGTGCTAGCGTGACAACAGAATGCACAAATTTTTTTCTATGCTGCGTCCTGGAGGTAAGTGAGGTGTGTGTCCATGTGAATGGTAAGGAGACAGAACAAGGCTTACAGAATATTGTGTTTATCTACAAAGAATTTGCACCAGCAGGCCAAACACAAAAGCTGCCAAGTGTGCAGTTACTTTTGTCCATGCCTGTAGAATCAGCAGAAGTTACAGTATGAGGGTTGGAAGTCAGTACAACAGGAGGCTTGCTAACATCCCTTTGGGAAGTAGCGATGGTATCTTCTCAAGTACGGCATGCTTTGTAGAAAGGTCAGCTGTTTTCGCTTCTTTTCTTGAACATGGTCTCTCACTTCCCCGATACTCGTCATCATTCTTTGGGGTTCAGCGTGGTCCACTAGGCATGCACTGCTTCCTTTTTTTCAAGAAATACAGCACTGATCGCGCATTGACGCTCGTTATCAAGTCGTTTGGTGGCCGGAGGACACCAGATGAGCTGCTGAATACACCCAAGCTTTCGTTTTGCCAAGTGATCGGCAACATTTACACTAATTCGTAGGGAATAGACAACACAGAATCGACAAGCGCTTCCCCAGAAAACGTTGTTCATAATGTCTAGCTGCCCTCCACCTTTCCCCACCCCCTACTTTTTTCATAGTTCTTGATTTCAGTCCCCGAACCACACAGACCATTTCACATCCCTAGGCGACATGGAACCTCTTTTACGAATATCGTGAGAGGCGGTCTACGAGAAGCCCCCCACAAAATACAGCCAGAGGGTTCTCAAATCTGTTTGCAAGTCAGGTAAGGTGAGGCAGTGCCCTGCAGACGAGATACACGAAGGCCTTGCCTCTCCGAAAAAAGTTGTCTTCGTAGTAGTCTTCGTCCTCCGATGGTGGCTCACTCTCCGGCTCTCCGTCACTTGAAGAGGCTGCCAAAAACAAACAAAGTTTGCTCACTAAACTGTCTCAGTCGCTCGTTTCTTTCTGCAAGCAAAACTATTAATGTAACTCTTTAAAGGGGTACTCTGACCGTTTTTTGAGCTACCTAAACAAATTGCATTTTCTTAGTACCCGGACTTCAGTCGTCATGGTATGCTAATTATTTTCTCGAAATTCAAAATAGCAATTGAGAAAGTCATAAATGAAGATGATGCCGAAACCAGCATTCAAATTTTCACGCGCTCTTCAGTTGTGTGACATCACACATGGTACAGACTTTCAGGTCGTGCATGTAGTCTTAAACAGAGTATGTCGAGTGTTTTTTGCGTGCTTCTCGGTGAATCAGTTACCAAACATTCTTTCCCCACCATAAAACGTCTTGTAATCAGTTGGGAACATGGCTTATACTGCCCCATTTGTACCATTTCTGTCGTCACACTTCAATGTTGTCAGTGTGGCTCACGGTTCGAGAAACACGATGAAAACAAAATTCGGAAATTCAATAACTTCGCAAATTTTTTTTTGTTTTCACACAAAACTTGGGGAACTCGTAGAGCCATGTCTATCGGTGAGTTCAGCTAATTTTGAGGCAAATCAGCGACCGTAAAAAAATGGCCGGAGTACCCCTTTAAGGAGAGCTGAAAATGATTACTAGAACATGAGTTCCCCCCAACAAGGTTCTTGGGAACCCAGGAGTATCCGCACGGGTTCCTCCCCTCCCCTCCCAGGTTTCAACAACCATCCTCCCCAAAACAAAAGCGTTTGTTTCTTTTTTTTTTTTTTTTTTTTTCATTTTAAGCATTGTTATAGTCACCCACTGGTGCTTATTTATGAGCCGAACACTCCTTAAAATATGTGCATTATTTATTACAAGGTCTGTAAGCTTCTGCACTGCTCTATTCGATCAACGCCGAGACTGGAAGGGGTCCCTTGGATACCACTAAAGACAAAAAAGGGTTCGTCGAGATTAAAATTTTTGAGAACCAACGGTCAAAAACAAGAAAATTTAAGATTTTCTTTTTTAATTCAACAGCCATAGCAAGCCGAAGTCATGTCATTCGCATTGCAGTACGAAACCTCTCGAATAAACACTACGGAACTAGGATTAATGACGAAGTTGTGTCTAAGCAACGTGCGTGGCACTAGTCCCAAGTTCTACATGATACAGGATGCCCACAGAATGATTTCAGAAGCAAGCATGTCTCTTATAGAGAAGCATGGGAAATTGAGCCTGCGACAGGTTAGCACTAGCCGCATGTCAGTTGTCTGCTTGCAATCAAGGTGAGGAGAGGACTTTATCTGGCAACTGCGACACGCGCATTGTCCACAAAGATATATATCTTACACCATGGTTACAACCGAGTTTAATAAAAAAAAAAAAGGACACGGAAACACAAAAAAAACTTACTACTACACCAACGTTATGAACCAATCACTTTACACTGATTGGCTCCATAACGTTGGTATAGTAGCAGTATGTTCGTGTTTTCGCGTGTTTCTGTTACTTTTTTATTAGACCCAGTGGAAATTAGTGCCTATGTGTAGGTTTCTTTGGCTTATCTCTCGTCTCTTTGCGCCATTTTCATTCAGCTATGCATCACTAACTCCCCCCACCCAAGTTTATACCCTTCAAACTCTAACATTGCTCTTACACCCTACTTTAGTGGTGTCACTGCACATCATACTACATAGATTAACTTGCCAGTTAACCCTTTTGGGGGCTCGTTCATACACTCACCTGCTGAAGCTGGGTCTGGTTTAGCTGCCTGCGACATCTCATCGTGTTCGCCACCGGACGACTCAACATCTGAACAGTCCCTTTCTGCGACTGCCTTCATAGTCTTCGAAGGCAGCTGAGAAGCTTCATTGTCGGGCCCTGAAGTGGCAGAATGCATAAAAAGGGAATCCTTTAGCACTATGCAAAATGTAGAAACACCAAGCAAGATGAACAAAAGAGGGGCTGCAGTGAATCTGCAGTTTGGGATTTAACAATGAATGCTCTGAAACGCTTTGGTTTCATGCTCCAACCCCCTAATTTAGTGACGACTTTCAAAAATAAAGTATGTGCTAAATCTAAGGGTATGCCGTAATTTTGAGCAAGGATCAAACAGACTGAAACCTAGATCTCAACAGGCAATTCATTTGCAGAACTCGTATTGCCAGACGCAAATGAGCCTGCACTAAAATTATGAGGGAGCCTGAAAGAAATTCCTACATTTTTTTACAAAGTGAATGTTGCACTTCTGTCAAACACGGACCATCTTGTTGAGGTATGATTCGTCAAAAACTGCATTTTCAACATATTCGGTATTGCTTAAACTCAAAAGCACATCTCTCTTAACGCTTTAGAAGGTGGCAGAATGCGACGTTTTCACATAGTCTTTTTCTTTTCTTACACCCAAGCACTTAATCTACACACACCCATTCTACACAAACTTCTGAACACGAAAGCAGCATAACTGTAAAAATTAAGAACCAATAAAAAAAGATATTTAAATGCCACTTTCTACAGCACGACGTCACAAACAAATGGAAGCACCATGTTTACTACTCTTTGCTAGCTTCCGTTTTTTCTCATTGAGCTGCAGTCGAGCAATGCCTCGGGCACTTTAGAAGAGGAGAACTTCCGAAATGCCATTCGCCTGATGTCATATTTAGCAAAATGCAGCGTGCGTGTTCTTTGGCATGCTGTCAAATCGCGTCTTTTTCTTACCGTGAATGAAGCTGAAAACGAAGTCTGTACTGGCCATAGTGAAGACAGGAGGGCGCATTCCGCACCTCTTTTCGGGCAATGTTTTACAATATTCTATAATTATTGTTCCTTCCTGGTAGTATTGGAACTCCTGGATTTACAAATTTTCAGCAGGAGAACATCATTTAAGGCAGTTTTGCACAAAAATAAAAAGATATATAAAAGGGGAGGTGGTGTTGCACATTAATTGTGATGCCTGCTAAAGATGTTCCTAGAGGAAATTTATCCCATGCCAGGCACGAATCCAGGGATGGGATGGGAGGGGGGGGGGGCCGGCCCCCCCCCCCTCCCCCCCCCCCTTTGAAATTTTTCATTTTGCTGGGGCCTCTTCTCCCCCTTCCCCCTCATACAGCATTTTGTCATGGGTGGACCAAAAAAAAACAAAATCCTGGCTATGTGCCTGTCCCATGCTAACCGAAACCATATTGTGCACCTGCAAATTGTATTGCAGCAATTAAGCTCGAATCATTTTCACTCCCAGTGATATATTTTTTAATTGTAATGAAAAACCTGTTATTAAATGAGTCCAAGTTGAAAACATAAAAATTGACTGCAGCAGAACTCAATGCATCAAGATCAAATAAAATACATTCAATCTTTTTCGCTCGTTGTTTTCAGTCGGTGCTTATGTTTACCGAATTGCTCCTACACAAATTTTTAAACATGTTTTTTGTTTTCTTTGTGAGTTGCAGGTTTTTTGCCTTGTGTAGCAGTCTTCACTAAAATAACTTTCCCACGGCAACCTTTTTGCATTGACACAGCATGAATTGGAAATAATTGCAATAATTGATATTTCAACTTTTGGCAAGCAATGGACCTTTTTTCGCATAAAGACAACACCAAGTGACTAAAACTCCAACTACGGTTGGTGGATGGAATGGGAGCTGCGATACCTTTCCCTCCTTTTCTGCAGCTGATCCGAGTCGCGGAAGAGGCAGGAGAAGTAGTGCAACCATTCTTCCAGGCGCAAACCAAAGTTAGAGCTTTCGCCGCTGCGAGAGGAAGGCCTATGCATGTGCAGAACCCTTCTTCTTGAAAAAGGGTTCTGCACATGCAATTTTCGCTTGCAATATTTTGCAATTTTCTTTTGCAATATTTCGCCACCAAGGAGAGAGGCAAAACGGCGGATGCGCGTCGATTCTTCTGCAAAAACGATGATCACTTCCCGCAATGCTTGGGTAGAAAATGGTGCATCATCACGATTTAGAACGAACTACGAGTTACCCCGTGGCCCACAGTTCGGCAGCGTCGCAAGTTGTATAGTGAATTTTATGATAGTGTGAAATGCGGGACATTTTGAAGATTTTCTTATTTCTCCCGAGACGCGAGGCACGAGTGCCCAACGCGTGACAGTCCTGCGACACCCCTGTGACGTTAGGGTGGTCACCCTATCGTCACAGGGATGTCACACGGCAATATAGAGTCCCTGACTGGCTGCTGCTGTTTCAAACGTCTCCGAGTTGCCCGATTTGCTCTTCCGTTTCGAACCGGACGCGATCCGAGCAATTCGTGTCGCAGCGCCAGGATCTGCCTTACCCGTTACCTGCATGGTAACGGTTAACACAGCAGTAACGGCCACCGTGGCGGCAACACCTACCATAGCGGTGACGGTTGACGTAGCGGCAAAGGTTACTGTAGCAGTAAGGGTTTTCGTACCGGTAACGGCTTGCGTACCGGTAACGCTTACCGTACCGGTAACGCCTACCCTTGAAAGCAACCAACCTTTCTCGTCCCCGTGCCCGTTCCGTAGCAGATTCCGGCCGTATGGATTGCTCACGTAGATGGCCCGATAGTAATTGGCCGGGAGAGAGTCGAGATGAAAGCTGGGGATGACCTTGCCATCCCGCTCGCACTTGATCTTCCAGAATCCGTTTCTGTCGACGATCCGCTGGAACTGGACGCAGACCAGTCGGCAGCTCTTCACCAAGTCGTCCGTGGACACGAAAGACAGCACGTACTCGACAAGCTGTTCTGGAAGTTCCAGGATGGGAAAAGGGTCGACGTCTTCGGCTGATCTGCCCATCAGGCGGGAAACGAAGAACTTTCGCATCTCGGTTCTCAAGCCTCAGTTCACGCCTAGTTGCCTCAGTTTCCGTTGAGCGCGATCATGGGCATGTCGTCACAGCTGTGAAAGTGTGTGTGCAATGCCCCATGATTAGTGACGCATAAATGATTATATAAATAAGGTACTAGAGAACTACGAGTAGAAACACCTGTCACAACCCACCACCTGAAATGGCGAGAAGTCAAAGCAGTCAAAAGGCCACGAATGGGGCAGTTTGCTCGTCGGTTTTTTTGCAGTTTGTGGCTGCCAGTGGCTGGCCTTGGCTGTCTCTTCGCGCAGCGCGGATAGTGGTTGATTTTATTTTGGATTCTTATCCGCACTCCGGATTGTGTTGGATTTTGATCCTCATTACAAGTGCGTGCGGAGAATTTTCACTTCGCGTGTGGCGCGACTTGGACGCGGGAAAATTTGAACACAGTGACTTACGATGTTTGTGGTTTGACATCGGCATGCTGGCAGCATCGATTCCATAAAAATATTAGCGGTTGTGCAGTGTTTATTTAGGCATAGACCTGTGTTTCGGAATTCATTCAATTTCAAAGAAATGCATAATCGCCTCATTATTATTATTATTTTTTTTTTTCGAAACCTCGAGGTACGTGAGAAAAGGCATCAAAGCAGGACGGAAGCAATCACTACCACTGATCTCAATGACAATTGTCATAGAGATCAGTGATCACTACATTTCCTTCAGTGTCTTTCTTTTTTTCTTTTTTTTTTTTTTTTTTTGGGGGGGGGGGGGATTAAACAATATATTATAAAAAAAAGGAAGCTGGTTTAAGTTCTTGTATTATAATGCACCTTGGCCACAGTCAGCACAGTAACATTGTGTGGAGCTTAGCTGATGGGGGCATTATGTGGGAATCCGGGTGCAGGATGGCCTCTACGCCACTGCATATTGAAGACCATGAGATAGATTGCGCACAAAGAAGCACAGATCCAACTTTGTCACATGTTTTGAAGGGGCCGTAACTCAATGTGTTCAGTATGCACAATCTTTATATCTAAGAAATTCGTCAGAAAGGCTAGCATGGTGTCAAAACTGCACTCCATGTGACTATGGTTCTCAAACACACCAGAAAATTTATTAAGCAATGAGAAAACACGCAACAAATTTAAGCAACATATATCACTTTATTACAAAAAATACATGCACATGAGATGTGTATGTAAATCTCTGAAATAATGCCATAAAACAAAACACTGTCTTTATGAAGTGAAAAAAAAAAATACATGATTATATAATTACCAATGGCCATGAAAAATGTGAACATTCTTAAGGGCAGAGCTGAGCATTTCTTATTGTTGAGGTTAAAAATAACCTAAACAGTGATAAAATTATTTTAAATTAAAATATAAAAATAAAATACATGTGACAATTATCACTCAGGTAAATTATATATGATGTAGCTCTTACAAAAAATTATTGAACCTTTCCGTCTAAAACTGTTACCACTGCAAACAGCCTACTTCACTCGTAAAGGCCCCGTCAAAAATTTTTCAGCCTTGGGCAAATTGGCACTGGTAAAAAGAAAGCCTGCCAAAGTAGAGCAGCGAGTCAGAATGAAGGAATGGACAAGAATTCTCTAGTTGCAAAAAAAAAAAACTTGGCAGTATTATCACCACATGTAAAGCCAACGACATTCTTTGGCACGAAAGGCAGAAGCAAGTTGGCACATTTGTCCAATGGGGCTAATCACAGATCTTGCTGGCTGCCATGTGAATTAATGACAATAATTCACTTATTTTTTTCACCTTGGAAAGTTAAGGCAGGGATGACGGTTTACATTATAATTATCAAAAAAGCTTTATAGCACAGCAACGCGCACTGAGGAGTTGAGACGTCAGGTTGGCACAGTAACAATTGGTGCAGCACAATCATTATAGACAGCCAAGTACAAGCAGCAGGTGTTGATACCACACCTTTAAAAGGCACTTCATGGGAAGCTTGGATGTGTGGTCGCTTTACGGCGAGTCATTGCCGCCGCAAAGCGAACAGTTCTTGACGAGCTCGAGAACCTCCTGGGTGTCGACTGCGCATCGCGACGTCTGCTCGGGGACAAAGCGAACTGTGCCGCCGGCGATGTCGGGGGCACCCCAGAACTGCAAGCCCCTGCCCTCGTGCGCAAAGTAGATGTAGCGAATGCCGCTCGGGTAGTTGGAGAAAGTGTGGTTCACCTGCGGTGGTTTGAGGGAGCAGTTATGTGTAAGGTAGCCCAGGCAGAAAGGAACAGATATGAACCACACTTGCGGGCTGCAGGTTTACGGGGAGCTTTAACAAGGTTGAGAGATCTGCTGTACAATTACGAAATGGCGGAGAAGGTGAAAGCGTCAACATTTTTGACTACACGGGTAAGCTGTCTGACTGACCAGTTCCAATCTATATTTTAACTTCTCCCAACATATAGTTTGACAGCATGAGCTTGTACTTTATTTAGAGCACATTGAAAGTACTTGTCTGCACTGTTCAGTTTTAATTCTTCAAATAATAAACCAACGAGCCCAAACCAAGTTTTAATAAAGTAAAACGGTTACTCCCAGCTACATATCTCCCTTACATATGGGAAAAGTGCTAGATACTATTTATAAGGCTGAGTGGCTGATAAGGTCACTTGCTCCTCCTTAAAAGTGAACCTACATCAGTCAAGCAGTCTTTCCTTGCTAAACAATACCGACAAAATATACAAGATAGACATACAAATATACTAATTGTATCTGTTATTGGCAGTGACGAGAGGGTTGTGCATTAATATCGCCTGCTTTTCTGCTTTAGAAGTAGTACATCATGTCTCATATAGTTTACTTGAACAGCGTTCCACCTACCATGCAGTCACCCTGTATTTACTTTTTATGCATAACACACTTTACCCAAATCTGACTTCACTCATTTTTGCCTCAAGAACCCTAGCAAAACAAATTCTACTCCTCACACATTACCAATTTCCCCCCTCATGTGATGAATTAAGATACTACTTTTATGTGCGCTTAGAATCAGTTATTTGTTATCTATCATTACATAAATCTTTCCAACCAGTGTTGTTTCCTTTGATAACCAAATCTCGCAACCACTTTGAGCAGCGTATGAACTACAGTAAACCACCTAATTTTCACAAAAATATTAAACGGTGTTGCGAAAGGTTGATATAGCAAATATTAGGTATTACCCTACAGTAATCAATATAGCACTCCCGATTGCAAAATATTCCCGAAACTTGTTAAAACAGAAGTTCGGGCGAGTTGGTAGTTCATGACGCACGAGGACACAGCGCACCCGTAACAAACACTAGGACAACGTTCACAGTCACACTAAAAGAAAGGGACACTTACACAGCGCTGACTTCAACTCTTTGTATATTCCCGCCTTTTCTCTTCTTTCACGTCTAATGCATAACCTAGGCCTCATCTTTTTCTTTCTTTGCTAAAGGTTAACTGTAAAAGTTTTAAGCCAGAAATTGAAAATTAAAAATTAAATGGAAAAATTAAATGAAAAATTAAAATTGAAATTACTGTAGATCAATGATGCAAAGCTAAGTAATCCAGCTCTTTTTGTGACAGCGCTATAGATGGATTACTAATACACCTGCCGTTTTGCCTGGCAATGTCCACCGTCAACAAGAACTCTGGACATGTTGGCATACACATTCGGGACTGTGGGTGCACAGCGGAACTTGACAAGTGTGTGGTGTTGGCAAGGAGTCGAGACCAGCTCACAAGGGAAATAATAGAAGCGGAGAACATTGCCAGGCAAAACGGCAGGTGTATTAGTAATCCATCTATAGCGCTGTCACAAAAAGAGCTGGATTACTTAGCTTTGCATCATTGATCTACAGTAATTTCAATTTTAATTTTTCATTTAATTTTTCCATTTAATTTTTAATTTTCAATTTCTGGCTTAAAACTTTTACAGTTAACCTTTAGCAAAGAAAGAAAAAGATGAGGCCTAGGTTATGCATTAGACGTGAAAGAAGAGAAAAGGCGGGAATATACAAAGAGTTGAAGTCAGCGCTGTGTAAGTGTCCCTTTCTTTTAGTGTGACTGTGAACGTTGTCCTAGTGTTTGTTACGGGTGCGCTGTGTCCTCGTGCGTATTCCCGAAACCCACATTTCACAAAATATCGAGCCCACGAAAATAAAGTTGTTCATAGCGTACGGGAAACTTCCCTTTTACTTGAGGTGTCATTAAGCATAGCGGTAAACGCTTCCAGCGGTTGAATGTCGGCAGAACCTTTTGAACCCATAGTCCGATTATAGTCTTTTCCACTCACCTCCTTCCACCTGAACCTTGTCAGATTGTTCACCGTCACCTCGCCAGTGTCGTAGCGGGCCAAGCGTTCCTGTTCGGCATTTCTCAACTCCACCATCATGCGGTAGATGCCGCTGCCAAAGCCCACCTGTGCCGCGTACCTGTTGCCGCGACAACCGCAGTAAACAATGATCAGACGGTGCAAAGATTTTCCAAGCCCGAAGGCCTGTTCACACACGTGCGTTTGCTTACAGCCAAGCTCTTGCCATCTCTTACGGTACACTGTCCTAAGTAGTCGCACGTGTGCGACCCAGCCTCGAGTCTTTTGGTTCGAAGTTATATTACAATATTTATTCATTTATGTACATCTTTTGCTGGCCACCAACAGCAACATGCCTGCCCGGTGGTGCATCAAAACACAGACGAAAAAGAAATGCACACACATCACATCATACACACAAAGATATTGAACAAAGTAAAAAAAACTAATCAGAAATTTTATCATTGTTCTGACATTACTACCTTAGCATCCCGAGAGATGACCAACCCTCAAAAGATAACCCACCCTATTTTCGGCATGATATTCTATTTTTCTTCAAAATCTCCAAAAGATAGTTCATTTCTGGTAATTGCAGGGCTCTGGCCAATGGTGACCTTGGCAGAAAAAAAGTGCGTCCACACCCGTTTTACTCAACAGCCTCACAATAATTTAGGCCCTTTCACACACTTGCGTTTGCTTAGGACCGAGTTCTTGTGATCTCTTGTGACGAGAGCACACCGGCACACTAGTGCCACCTATGAGGCGACTTTGGAACTGCATTTTGCTACAGCGAAGGTTTTGCGGTAGTTGCAAGATCAAATGTACATACTACAAAAAACGGTTGTTTATAACATAGTCAAAAATTTTGCAAGAAAAAAAAAAAAGAGCATTTAACATGAAAAAAAAAAAGGAAATATATGGAAACTGCAAGCGATTTTAACACTACCCGATAGGTATAAAGGCACAAGGTCCTAAGCAGTCGCAATTGTTTGAAGCAGACTTGGGTACATCTTTCCGAGGTATCAATAAACCAAATAGCTTGTAACTCGAGCCAAGCTATACAAACTAGTCAATTCGAACAGTCCAAAGGACCTTTGATCCTTCAAATATCTGCCCATCGGAGGAACTAAAAAAGATCCGAAATGGCAGATACGCATTCGAGGCTTTGGAGGACGCATGGTGGGAAGTCTGCCTCTTGACTAAGAAGTCACCTACCATTCTGACACCTCAATGGGAGGCTTGAAAGAATCGAGCAGCTCAAGGTCCACACCCATCTCGACAAGGTCGACAACCTGCTGCTTCGTGCAGACGCCGCAGGGATGCTTGCAGAGGCAGCGGCGGGACTCTGAAATAAGAAGAGTGCAGGCACTGAGGTCTAGATGAACCACACAGGGAGCCCGTTTGTTTCCGACTTATTTGCTTATTGACTGCGCCCTCGAACAGTCAAAGGCCTACAGAGAGTGAGGGACTTGGCATAAAAAGTATACACTTGCACCACTTCTCAGCTGAGTCAAGATGATTGAGAAATCCTCTTGCCATAATCAAATATAATTAAACATAAAATTTTAAAAAGAAACACAATTACGACCTACACTTTGTGCCACTAGTTGCGTGCACTACAGGTGAAGGCAACGCCAGGCAAGGGGAGAAAGGGCAGGCACTAGGAAGGCTGGGGCGGAGGAGAGAAACTTCTCCTCTCTAACACTCCTAGTGCTCTCCCTTTCTCCCCTCGCCCTTCATTACCAACCTCTCCCATTTCACCTTTCCAGTGATCGCCCTTTCTCTCTTCGCCTGGTGTTGCCTTCATCAGACATATAAGCAAAATAGTCCTAGTTCTGTTTACAAGATTTGTATTGTATTGTAGTCACCGTTTCAAGTCAACATTCCCCAAATTCCTTTTTTTTTTTTTTGCCAGATACTTGCACATGCTCCATACCGCCTTTAAAAGGCCACACGGCCACATGTCTTGCATTCCTGCGGCAAAGCAAGACATGCAGGACTACGCTATGAAAATGAGTCTTATGTGCGACGAGAAAACACTGTTTCAGTGACTCGCCACAGTACGCCATGCAGTGTACAAAAAGTACCTCGAGCGCAGAAGTAGCACGGACGGCATAAATTGCACTTTGCGCGGTGTCCACTTTGCGAGTGTGACTTCTCCCCAGTGTACCAGTGCATTGCGGGAGGCTCATCCGACAAAGAACAAATCCCCTGAAACATTGAACAGTTTCCCACAATGCTCAGCGATATCCCACATTGCCTGGTGATAAGTTAAAAAAATGCAGAGAGGAAGCAAATCGGCTTATAAGGGCAACGAAAGGGATCATATATTTTTGGTTAATAGGCTAGGTGGTGCAAGCCACCCCACCGCATCCATCCAGTGAGAAAATTTTCAAAATTTCATTTCAGAATATTAGTCATGGAATACTGGGATGCATGCCAGAGACGCTCCATGCCAGAGAAGGTTCCTACCTCCATGATTGCAGAACCTGTCTTCACTGTTCATTATGGAGATCAGAATGAAGATTGTATGGATGACCGAAAATTTCGTAACCGGGCATTGTAGGCCTGTAGGCCCAGTAGGCCTTGCGGCATCGCTAAAAGCTCTTTACCCAAACGACCTGAACGTGGCACTTGGGGCTAGAATTTCTTGTACAAATTTTAGCAACAAAAAATCTTGTAAAAAGCACACTGACCGTGAAGTTTCCGAAATTTCGACATTTTCAATTAAAAAATGGCCAGATATTGCCTGCTTTCAAAAACGAACACCATTTTCTTCTTTAAATAAACATAAAATTGCCTTTGACTGGAGAACCAGATAACGCTCAGTCAGCTCAGTTCTGAAACTTTGCCACCTTGTACTCTTTAGTTAAGTTGGAACTTCAGACCACGACCTGGTCTGAAGGCAATGGCATTATGGGGCTTTAGCCCCATAACGCCCCCTTTCCCTTCCCCCCCCCCCCCCCCCCCAAACAAAAAAATAAAATAAAAAATTAATTACGCCATTGGTTTTAGCAGCTCAAAGCAAATCTTCCCGCCCGACTTTTTTTTTTTATTTATATATATATATATTGCTTTGATGTTTACGGTGCAGATAAACACGGTCGCCTGTTACAATGGCCATTGTCAAAAGCAAAGAAAAGCCGATGAACGGATATCGGACAAAGTAAATAAATAAATAAATGCGTCCATACCTTCCCTGGAGCCTCTGCTGGCGAGATGCAGCAGGTTCTGGAAGTAAGGAATTCCCGCGTAGAGGCCCCGGTAGTAGTTGGGAGGCAGGGGATGCCATTCCAAGTTGGGAATGTATTTGCCGTCTCGTTCGCACTTGAGCTCCCACAGACCGTTGCCCTCCACGATCCGTCCAAAGCTGCCGCACACGAACCGGCAGGCCTTTACCAGGTCAACGGCAGGCACAAAGGACAGGACGCGTTCGATCAATCGTTCGGGAAGCTCCAGCAGTGGCAACGAAGAGGCGGCGAAGTTGGCGAGGTCTTCGTCGTCGTTTTCCATCAAGCGCATCGCCATCGCGTTTCCCATCCTTCCAAAGTGATCAGGTGACGGACTCACAAAACTTTTAAATTGTTTGGGGTCACTTCGTCGCTGGTACTTGACTCGCAATTTCCTCGGACGAGATACGTTGTTCCGTTATCGAGGTGAAGTAGGTCGGACTGGCCTAAACACGTCTACACGCGGCACAACGGAGGACCAAGGGACGACCGGTGGTTCCCGATCCCGTGGCACCTGTTGTTAGGGGAAAGGGGCCAAGGGCGACGGCCTTCAAAACGGGGAATTAGGGATGTAAAGGGGGGAAAAGCTAATGGCGATGCAGAAGTGGTGTTGACGCTGAGAAGAAATAATAAAGATGAAAGATGGATCTGTAGGCTGGGGCCAGCAGAGAACAAACGTGGCGGGGATGTCAGTGCTGCGCTTTTTCCTTCTCCCTTTTGGGGCAGCGGATTTGACCGGTGGTAGGGGTGGGGGTAAGAAAAGGTGGAAGGTCAACTTTATCTGTAAAGAGGCTTATGAAGATTATCTGAAGGGCAAGTTTTGACAAGTAACCTAAAAGCTGTGTTCTGGCACAAGGTTACAAGAAGGTGGTGAAAATGGGAGGGAGAGCCTAGGGTTCTACTCAGTGAGGTGCTGATTTGGAATTTTTGCACTGACAAATTATAACATACACCAAACTTGAGGAATTTTTTGAACGAGTTAGCTATGCATTGGTTTTAGATCGCAGCTCTTTTAAAGGACACTGACAGTGTGTTCATGCTCGCTAAGGTTTTTATTTGTACTTTTCTTTCCGACCGAAAGCCGCCGATCGAGAACTGGCCGGTTTGAGTCGCGCTTTTTCAGCTTTTTCCGTGGTTACAAGCCGTCTTCTATGGTCTAGACGCAACCACCAAAGATAATGAAATTCGTGGATCATCGAAGGCATACGCTCAATACAAAAAATAGACACATTGCAAACACGTTAATTATAAAAAAAAAAAAAAAAAAAAAAAAAAAAAAACAATTTGCACAGCCACGCGATTTTTTGTAACTTATTCTTCCCCAGTTCAGTTTCGGTTTCCAGCAATGGACCTTTTCCGAGGAGCGTTCTGCGCACGCGCGAGCGCCCGATGCCAAGCGGTGGAAGTCGGCACGAAAAATCGAGGAAATTCGGAATGAGGCTGTAGATCGACGAGTAGAACACGTAATTTCAGCATATATATAATTGTGTTACACAAAAAAAGAAAGTGGATGGAAAGAAAACACGACGTTTGAGTGGAGGCCACGGATTTCCCTCTTTAAAGTCGCGTTGGGCAGGTAGCGTAGCTCCCATTATCGATTGGTAGCGCATGCAGGTAGGTCACTTCCTCGATTTTTAGTTCGTGCAGCCACCGCCTGGTGCCGTCGGTATTTGGAAAAGGTCCATTGCGTTTTCTCGATCTAAAATGAACCGTAAAAATCGACGCTTGCACGTAGCCATCTAAACTTTTCGTCAAAGGTGTAATTCACAAGTCGTTTTTTTTTTTTTTTTTTTCTTGTAAAATTACAAAGCGTAGTTCTTTTTTAGTAAAAATTAGGGCCAAGAAACTTGCCAGGGTCTACGGCGGGCGTCCAAGTCTAATAGCGGGGTGTTTGGCGTTTGCACTCAGTGGGCGTTTGTATTGATAAATGGCGTCGGGAGCAGCGTCCGAAGGTGCAGCCGACCAGCGAAAGAAAGCAGACGACACACAGACGAAATCAAAGTGCCGCCGTTATACATACGCGCTTTTTTTTTTTTTTTTTTTTTTAGTTTTGCTTTTATTGTCCGCATTTATTTTTTAACCAAAGGTAATCTCAAAAAGATTATGTTCTGCGTCGCTGCCCGCCGTAGACCTTGGCAAGTTTCTTGGCCTTATTTTTTACAGAAAGAGAGCTACGCTTTGTAATTTTACAAGAAAAAACCAGCCCGTAGAAATACACCTTTGAGGGAAAGTTTAGATTGCTACGTGCACGCGTCAATTTTTACGGTCCATTTTAGATCGAGCCTGGTGGGCGCTGTAGCAAAATGTTGATTAGGTAGCCTCCCAAAACAATAATAAATCGCCTGGGAAAAAAATTTTTGGGGGGAAGGTGTCAGCGATTTGTAAGGAGGTTATAAGTGCTAGGAGGGGGCACATTGCATTATTGGTGAAGCCTAGTCATAAAAAGTTTAAACTACCGGGTGATTCAAGGAGACGGCAGGCTCTTTAAATCTACCGCAAAATTCGGTTTCTTAACCTATCGCGCTACGACTTTGTGCAGCGTTGCCCACAGATGGTGCATTTTTTTTTTTTTTTGTAAAATTAGCAAAGAGCGAACTTACTTGAGGAAAAAGTAAAGAAGGAAAAAGGCTTACCTCCTATAGAAACGCAGCGAAGCCACCGCGGTCTTCAAACAACACGGCGCCGTTTCGCACGGGAGACAGGAGATGGCGCAAGCGGTCGCGACGCCAACTGCCGCCAACGAACGAGTAGACAACGCCGAGAGCCGGCGTTTTTAGCAGACGAGGAACTGCAGTTGCTTGTTGTTACCGCGCCTGTTTTTGTTTCTGCGACTGCCGCCGTTTGCGGAACGCGCGCCGCTTTTGAGTCGAAAAGATCGTCTGCTAAAAACGCCGGCTCTCGGCGCCGTATGCTCGTTCGTTGGCGGCGTTCGTTGCGCCATCTCTTGGAATGAAAGAATATATAAGTGTCTGGAGAAAGATCTTGAAGAGAGCAACATCACGCGCCCAATTATACTGATGGGAGACTTTAACTGCCATCTGGCGGAGTTAAGTAGTAAAGATGAAAGAGCTCACAATCTCAGAAAACTTGTAGAGCACAACAATTTGCGAATAGTAAATCTGGAGGAAGGCTGTAAGGGGCAGATAACATGGAGCAGAGGAAACCAACAAACAACCATCGACTACATTCTCGCCTCCCAAGATTTATTCTGTGCACCATGGCACCTGAAAAACATGACAGTGGACGAGGAAAAAGTGTTCAGCTGCGGAAGTGACCATAATCGGATCAAAATAACGATTGACCAGGCCTACAACAAGTTCATACACAGCTCAAGGAAACATAAACTCCACAGGAGGACAAGCTACTGGAGAACTAGTGACGAAGGTAGAATGGCGGCATGGGGTAATGCCTTGGATGCTGAGTTTGCAAGAAGCCCCCCATCAACCTACAGCGAGTTCTACGAGTCTCTAATGCAAATAGCATATACTCATGTAGGAAAACAAACCAGAGTCAAAAGTGATAAACGAACACCGTGGTTTGATAAGGAGGTTAAGGAGGAAATCAAAGTACGACAGGAATGGTCCAGAAAACATCGAAAGGCCATGAATAAAAAGCAATACAGCATGGCAAAGCAAAACTGGGAAAATTACGAGCTACAGAAAAATAAAGTAAAATCTCTAGTGGCGACAAAAATTCTGAAGATACACACGAAACACGAACAAGCCCTACAAGAAAGCGACAACAAAAGCCGTTGCTTTTGGAGATATGTGCGATCTCTCCAACCACACGAGGACCTTGAACACAAGACGATAGGGAGTGGAGAAGACCAATGGACCACTGAAGAAGAAATCACCGAGGGAATGACGAAATACTTTCAGGGACTTCAAGCCTCCCTCTACAACAGACCGAGGACACAGGAGGAAACATCCCTACGACCTCAGGAACAATTTGACCGCAGCATTCTTGAACCAATAGCGCCCGGTGAACTGCAGAGACATATTAATAAACTAGAAGCACGAAAGGCAGTAGGTCCTGACGACATCCCCAACGAGTTCCTGAAAAAGCTTAAACCGGTAGCACAGAAGCACCTAAGGTACCTTCTAAACAACATGCTGGCAAAAAGTGCTATTCCTGAAGCCTGGAAACAAGCCAAAATAAAACTAATCTACAAAGGAAAAGATAAAGACAAGAAATCATTAGACTCATACAGGCCGATAACAATACTAAGTAATGTTTACAAACTCTTTGCATCAATTCTGCAAGACAGACTGCAGAGACTCTGTGAGAAAGCCCGCCTTTTCAGCGAGGCACAGAATGGATTCCGTAGGAACCGGCGGGGCAGCGACAACTTATTCACTGTCACACAACTAATAGAGCTAAAAAATCTAGATAGGTCACCACTCTATCTGGCTTACCTTGACTTGGAAAAGGCCTATGATGCAGTGCCCCATGAGAAGATGTGGACGAAGTTAGAAGCGATGGCACTGGATGTTCAGACAGTATCGCTCTTCAGAAACATGTACGCCGGATGCAACGCCAGATACAGTTTGGGAGAACATTTATCAGGGCAGGTGAACATGATTGTGGGTCTGCGCCAAGGCTGCCCCCTTTCTCCAACCCTGTTCAACATCTACATCAACAATCTCATTCTGGAGCTGCAAGCCAAAGGGCAGGGTGTTTCTTTCACAACCATTACCTCCAGTAATGACATGGAAACAACTTATATTCCAGTACTGGCCTTTGCTGATGATATACTCCTGTTATCAGAGAATGAAACTCACCTTCAAGACATGCTCGATATCTGCACTCGAATTGGGAATGAAGAGGGATTCAAATTCAGTAAGGAAAAATCAAAGTGGATGGGCTATAATGTTCACGAGCTTAACCACACGTTTCGAGTACAGGAGGTGGAAGTAGAACATACCAAGGAATACAGGTATCTGGGAGTGACTCTTCAAGAAGGCCCGCTGTACTTAGAACTACACGAGAGGAACACCCTAAAAACCTCCAACATCCGAAAAGGTCACCTGTGGAACATGGCAAAGTATTCCTATAACCCATACACCCTTGCGAGGGCACTGTGGAAGAGTGTCGCAGTACCAGCGATCACCTATGCTAACGATGCAGTGGTCTTCCAACAGACCACCCTGAAGACACTGGATCGCCATCAAGTGGAAATCGGGAGGTGGGCACTGGGCGGAAACGGGGCAACTGCAAACCTGGCCGTCACGGGAGAGATGGCCTGGTCGACTTTCAAGCAACGGGATGCAAGGGCCAAGCTCGGATACCTCGGGCGCCTGATTCACATGCCAGACGAAGCGTACGCCAAAAGGACATTCCACTACGTTAGATACCGCAGCAGCAGGACGAACTGGTCAAACACCATCGCCAGGCTCGACTCTGTGTACAGCAAAGGGACAAGGCGACATGAGGCCACATCGGAGAAAGGATGGCTCAAGGCTGTGACAGAGGAGGTGAACGCGATTGAACTTGAGGCCTGGAGACAAGCGGTGAGGAAAAAGCAGAGCCTCCAGAGCATCTACGCGCTCCACAAGCCTGAGCCGTCTCCCTGCACACACTATCGAGGGGACCATGAAAGTGCGCTACTGTTCCAGGCACGGGTAGGAGCGCTGATGACGGGCTGCCGACGTGCCCAACTCTTCGGAGACACCGACACAGCCTGTCATCTGTGCGGGCAGTCAAGCGAGGACGTCCTCCACGTGCTGCTGTGGTGCCCTGCCCTAGACCACTGTCGACCGCCCTGGGCGACCAGCGAAGAGAGGATTCCCGAAATGCTGGGATTCGGGGAAGGAGCCCACGGTTCACTAGCCACCAGGCGCATTCTTGTTGAATGGGAGAGACTACGTTTGATCGCCAACCAGTGAAAGTGTGCCAAAAGTGGGAAAAGCTAAAACAAAACAAGAACTAAAACTTTTACCTGTGTCGGCAATTTGAACTTTTGCTGACCCCCCTGTCTCAAAAGGGGTTAGGTACCGCCAACTAACTAACTAACTAACTAACTAAACGGCGCCGTGTTGTTTGAAGACCGGTGGCGTCGCTGCCTTTCCATAGGAGCTAAGCCTTTTTCTTTCTTTACTTTTTCCTCAAGTAAGTTCGCTCTTTGCATATTTTACGAAAAAAAAATGCACTATCTGTGAGCAACGATGCACAAAGTCGTAGCGCGATAGATGGTGAACCGAAATATGGATTTCAAATAAACAATGCTGGAGATGTAGGCAGGACGCCACAATCCCTACAACACTACTAGTAATGAGCTATCTCAAATGGACGGCCGTATCTTTGGAAAAAGAAGTCGAAATTGAACCAGGCCGATGAGGCGCGTGACGGCAAGATACAGAGTTTCCTTCCCTCTTCGCTTCGCTCCCTCAAGGCCGCGAGGCGGAGAACACGCGAGGCCGTTCCCTCTCCTTCTCGGAGAAACATAACGTCAACATTCCTGCCAAATGCGCTTTTTTTTTTTTTTTTTTTTTTTTTTTTAAATACGGTTATTTGTTTGAGATATCGCTGTATGAGTGATATTTTGGCGTTGGTTGCATCCCGTTGCACGCTTCTGCCGCGTCTTTTGGGGAATCCAGATTTCGGTTCAGCATCCCTTTAAGAAACCAAATTTTGCGGTCGATTTAAAGAGCGTGCCGTCTCATTGAAACACCAGGTATGTTGTGGCCAACGTGACCGTAGATTTCTCTGACAATCGGCGCGCGTGACATGTCACGTGCGAGATGGATGGTTGATTGTAGAAGGATGAGTGGGCAAACTTTTCTCGCTAAATTTAGCGGGAAAATTTTACCCTCGTGATGTCACACTAAATTTAGTAGGGACAAATTTCCCCGCTAATTTTATTAAAACTGTGAGTTGGGCTAGTTGGTACTTATGCATGGTGGAAATACGCCAAAAAAAAAACACGGACAAAGGAAGAAGCACAAAGGACGAGACGTCCCCGCTAAATTTAGAGAAAAAATTTCCCGCCAAATTTAGCGGGAATATTTTACCCTTGTGACATCACATGTGACCCTCCCCTCCGATCGTCCTCCTCAAGGGCTGCGCTCTAATTTGGCATTACAGAGAATCGTGAACGTCTTTCATTTTTTTACTTTTTGGGTCCCGAGATTTCTTGCTCAAAAGTTAAGGCCAGGATACACCAGTTCCTGCAACCGCAGCAGAAAGGATGGATAGCCTTCAACCTGACCAACTTTATTCCTAATGTGGAAAGCAAGTCGTCTGCTTTTTGCACAGGGGTTGCGGTGACGTCAGAACGACAGCGAGTTCTGATTGGTTTTCATTGGAAGGATGGTGGGTAGACCTCAATGCCAAATGCCTTGAGGTCTACCCACTATTTTTTTCAATCGGCCAATAAGCGCTTTGCGCTCAGACAGCATCGCAATCCCTGTGCAAGAAGCAGATGAACTTGCAACCTGCATTAAAGGGGCCCTGCAATGACTTTTTGACTGGTTTTAATTTGCACCGAACCTGAGCGCACTGAACGTAGTAACTTAATCAAACTTTTCTTTTCTCAAATTTCGCATTATTTTAAAAGTTATAGGCGAATTAGAATTACAAAAACAAGCAAAAAATACCCTCCTTCATGACGTAGTAGGTCCTGGCTTGAGTGGCCATGAACTAGAGGAGGGGTAGTGAGCTCATCGAGCGTTCACGGTTGCCGCGCTCCGGGTCAACGGCTCGAGAGGGCGCCACTAAAGCATATGTTGGATAGGCTCTATGAAGTGGGCGGCCGGGGCGGCCCACTTCATTGCATTTGCTGCGCGATTAAAGACTATTTCGGCATAACACTTCATTGGCCACAAACGACAGCAAACACGGGGTAAAGATCAGTTCAGAACGGGAGCCGTTTCGCGCTGCTATGCCGCCAAATGGCCAAATCGCCAGCAGGGCCCGCGCCGAAGGCCTTCGGAACGCTCGGAACCGGTCGGATCGTTGAGCTGGTATACGACCGCAGCGCCGCCGCGTACATCCGGGGCTTTTCTACGCTGGCCGTTCGTCGTAACCTCATCCCACTAGTTATTTCTAGTATGCGCCGTTTTCTCCGCCGCTTGGTGGCGGGTATGTCGACGGGTCTTTTCTTGTTTCCGTACTTTATAAACTGCATTTGTTTCTTTTCTGATCTAAAATACTGAACAAAAACTTCTTTTATAAATAATTGAAACGGGTCGCGCCAGTTATATTTTGTATTTCGACTACGAAAAAGTTTTTAGCGGCTCTGACCAGTAGTAAGCCTAGGACCAAACACGTCACATTTTGCGTGCTTTCGGTACCGCGTGTCGCCCTCGTCGGTGGAGGTGGTTTCCGCGTCGTCCGGTTAAAATATGACGCACTGATATTTAGTTACTCTCTCCGTGCCCGCTGGCTTGCCCGGACCCCAAGAGACGTGGAAACCGCAAAAAAGGTAGACGCTTAAATATGGTTGCAGGGCCCCTTTAAGGCATATCAGGAGCATTGATGACGGCTTAGCATGCACAAAGTTTGAAAACACAGCCACAAACATTGAGGAGGAACAAGCTATAGCTGACTTAAAGCTACTACTACAAAAACAAGATTGCTGTGCCATTGTGAACAATAATCTCCCACAAGCTTAAAAAGGATAAGACTCATGGTTCGAGGTTCCGTCAGCACTTATATGATAACTGCATACCGACATGCATTGCAGAGCTCCGCTTCGATTTCGTGAACACATGAACAAAAAAAAGGAGACAACAACAAGATATAATTTAATGGCAAGCTTGCCCCCCTTTTCTCTAGCAGTGTTCTCGCAAAAGACCCCCGACGTTTCTCCCCATTTCTTTTCAGGATAACTGAACTTTCCGACAGTTCCAGAGTTTCCACATACTGAGTCACACTGCAGTCAACGTACAGCCCTTCCAATGCGGTACCTGGAATGCGTCCCCTTCTTGTGTGTTTACCACGCCTTCAAAAGTGGTCTCTCGATTTCCGACGGATAATGTCACAGAAGCGTCTTGCTGTTGTCTGCTGCCGTCCCGGCAGACAACAGCGGACACCTGCTCTACTGCAGGTCGCTCTCCATCTTGACGCTCCGTGGAAGCTTTGGCAGCCAGGAGTGGGAACGCTGCGACAAACACACACTCATACTTTTTGGCGGAACTTCTACGACCAACCCCCAGAATCGTGACGACAGGCAGCATGGCATGCCGGCTTCCGCGGCATCATTTGTTGCCACTTGGGGACCCCTTTCGATGCATGGGCAGTATAGGGTGCTAAACACAACAGTAGAAGGCGCTTTTCAGGCGTCATACTTGTAGGTAATCGGTCGCCATCCGCAGCAGATGTCGGACGTCACTGTTGCCCAGCCATGGGAAAGCGTCTCGTGTTGCACAGCCACGGGGTGCGGTTTCCAGCCGCCTCCAAATGACCTTCCGTCGTCGCCGGACACGGCGACGTCTGCTCCGCGGCGATCCGTACCACGCCAGCAGCCATCTTTGCACCGTAGTGACCTGCCCAAAACTGGGTGTCCCTCCCGAGGTGGGCAAATCGGACGTATCGGACGCCGCTCGGGTAGTCGAGGAATGTGTGCTTCACCTGCAGAGAGAACAGTGTGCTGGTTATGTGTAGGGCTGGGCTTCTCAAATGCCTTGATCCCGGAAAACTCGAGGAACCTTTTCCAGTGTTAGGATTAATTAAATACAGCGGTGCAGAAGCCCACAGACCTTGTAAGCATTATGCACATATAAGGAAGTGCTTGGTTGATAGTTTTACTTCAATGGGCGGCATAGGACTCCTATAATAGCACCTAAACTGGAAAAACACCACCTAGAGGTAGGAAAGGTAGAGGAACTTTGGCCACTCGGGGAGCCCATGAGGGAACTCTAGAGAACTTCTAGGTTCCTTGAAACCCGGCTTGGGAACAAACAGTTCAGGGCATTGTCCCTAAAGCAACGGACACGTAAATGCCCCTCACAAACACATCAAACAGTGAGTCTCGCTGGTACCTACTTTTTAAGTTGGCTTGCCAACAACTGGCCACGCAAAAGCACAGGCGGCAGTGTGTAACATTGCCCCAGTTATCGATAAATCAATCTTGTCTAATCATAGAACAAAAATGCCTTTCTACAGTGCCAGCGGGGCGACGCCTTTAGACGGTGACTTTCAATCATGATCTATTTCTGGTTCGTCTGTAGAATCGTAGTATGAATGAGTGCACACAAACATGTGCACACACACAAAAAAAAGAGTGAAGCCCGGATAAACAGGGTTGCACATGTGCACACAGAAGAAGTAGATGGGGGAAAAAGCTAGTAATATACATTCTCATAACGTCGTCAACAAACAAATAAAGTTATGTTTAGGAGATTGAAAGACGTTGGCAGTGTTAGGGATTGCTGGAGCCTCCATTTAGTAAATGGGTGGATTGCTTGGCTCGTTGGCGACCGGACAGCATAATGAAAACAGTGAAAATAGATGGGACAAAAAGACGGGACAGGGCTCGTCCCGTGTAGTTCTCTGAATTTGTCTCGTCTATTTGTGCCGTTTTTATTATGTAGTCCATTTAGTAACCCTGGCCTAGCGCTACAGGGAACGCTGAATGGGTTCTCCCAAAAGAACGAAGAGAAAAACAGAGGCGAGAGAGGTAAGAGAGGGTAGTAGAGAAAAAGAGAGAAAAGGGTTTAGAAAGTGGGAAGGGGGACAGCAACTAGAGTTGGCCGGCTAAGCCAGCAACGAAACGTGCCGCCACACTGTCGAATCATTTCAGGCTCACCTGTTTCCAACGGCGTCCCATCCACTGAGGTGTCGTGATTTCCCCCGTGTCGAAGATGGCAACTTGGTCGTGGGCGATGTCAATTAACTCCACCATTAGGTGGTAGACTCCGCCGCAGTCGATCCGTGCTGCATACCTGCCACCCCGATCAACGATCAACAGCGTCAGACGCAAGACGTTTTGCCATAGGTCATTCTGTGCGTGGAAATGCTTCGAAACCAGAAGATCACGTCAATAAAAAATAACCCACCTTTGCACATCACAATTATTAGTAGTTTAGCATTCCATTGCTTTTACGCATGCTATCTAGTTTACTCTCCGATCATTCACGTAAGAAATCTGAGTGGCTGGTTGGCCCGTGCCACTCAGCCATTTTCATACCTACTGGAAATGGTACGTACGGTGACCTTATTGGTATAATGTTCGCACATTTCCATCCTATGAAGAGTGTCATCAAAATAATTCTACCGACGCAAAGGTATGTTGTAAGCTTTTCTCAATCCAGCAAGACACTTAGCCGTTTGCAAAAGTGACCCACCATTCTGAGATCTCGATGGGCGGCTTGAAGGTGTCGAGGATCTCGCAGGCAACCCCTTCCTTGACGAGGTCAATCACCTGCTCCTTGATGCAAGGGCCAAAGGAAGTGGCAAAGCAGCTCTGACTCTCTGCACAAAGAGAATTGGGAGCAATGCAGGTAATCACTAAGGAAACACCTTTCAATTGGCAAAAAAACAGAAAAAAACCCTTTTACAAGTTCCTTCAAACAATCACAAATTGCAAACGGTTGTTAGGGCGCTTTAAACGACAGGGAGGTCTTCTGGTTGTCTTGCTCCCAGTATACCACTGTCTAACTTCGACAATGCTTACGGTGTCGCACAGATCTTGAGCATCCATGCCAAAGACTACCAACAATGTCAGAAAGGTCTCTACATCGTCGTATGCACTTGAGAATTGTAATTTGCAAATATGCGTGTGAGTCTTGGTGGACTGGAAGATTGCTGGCCTGTGGTTCATGTCTACTAACACACAAGTAAATGAGCGAGTATGTTAACTTGCCTTACCCAAGGGCAGGGAATCAGCTCCGACAGGAAAGGACTCGACACGCCAGCCGTCGCCCATTTCCGTGGTCACTTCCCAGTGGGCGAATTCACCTGAAACACACGTGCATACAGAATAAGTACGAGAACATATGTGGCTGCTCAAACTGAAAATTGACCCAATAAACGGAAAATTTCGTCTGCCGACGAAACAAAGTTTGCGGCACCATTTGTTCAACCAAACATCTTTTGCGACTAGTTGCTTGGCGCTCAAGCATGAAGAAGGTCAACAACAAAGCGCGCTCAACATGTCTGCGAGCAGTTTCTCAAGTACTCTTGGCAAGTTTGCCATCTCTTGGTGCTCGTGAGGTAAACACGTGAGATAGCAAGCCTGGCAAAGATCCCTTTGCATGCTTTCTGCACATGCCTGCAGCTTGCCAGTGTTGATTGTTTCCGATGGTCACTCTAGTGGAACTCTGGCATAGCTGGCGTGCCAGAAAACACAAAGAATGTTCACGCCTTTCCACCAGGCAATAAATGCCTAGTAACTGGGCAGCAAATGCATGTGCGGCATCTGGTATTCCGCAATATGAGTTCTGCTGCGCATGCCCAGAACGTGTTTCACAGACCGATGAAATGACAGCGTGCAGAAGCAGATTATTGGAAAGGTCCCAGACCAACGCGCGGCTCTGATGCCATGTTGCTGCGGCAGCGCTGCTGTAGGCACGGCGCATGCGCGCAGACGCTGCACCTCACGCGAATCTGGATTCCGCGCACGCGCAGAAACCAGAATCCAGGCGGTTGAACGTGGAACTGTTTGCGAACGGCGCGTTAGAACATACCTTCGCGGCAGTCTCCCTGGCTGTTCCGTAGTAGATTCCTGCCGTATGGATTCTCCAGGTAGATCATCCGGTAGTAGCGTTTCGGCAGCGGGTCAAGTTGGAAACTGGGAATGACTTTTCCGTCTCTCTCGCACTTCATCTTCCAGAAGGCGTTGCTGTCCACGATGCGTCTGAACTGCTCGCAGACGAAGGGGCAGTCCCTTACCAGGCACTCGGCGGGTACGAAGGACAGTATGCATTCGACGAGCTGTTCGGGAAGACTCAGGATCGGGAAGGGCTCGGGGTGGTCTTCGGACGGCGGGTCTGTCAAACGCGAGGCGATGAATTTTCCCATTGTTTATTTTTTTCGACGATGAATCGCCGAGAGAACTTGCACCGAGTTAAGCCGCTTAAGGTCCACTCAACGCCTCCCGTCCACTAGACGCCGACATTTCTAAACGGACGGCACTAGCGTGTGCCAGACATAGAGGTGCCAGAGGAAGAAAGCTAGAACCGCTAAAACTCTTTTCTAGAGATCGGGAGTTCGTGCCCCCCAATTATTCGCTCGCTGCCTCGCTTGCCTCAAGTTCGGCGATTTGTTGATAAACGAGAAAGGGGACGCGGCGCATTCGATTACTCAGACAAAAAGTGGACAATCTGCTTCTTGTAACGTTGTTGTGAACTATTCGGAGTAACTCTGGAGTTGGCGACTCGACCAACTCGACACTCAACCACTACTGTTAAAAAAAAAAAAAAAAAAAAAAAATAGAAGGATTGGAAAAAAACAATGGAAGAGACAAAACAAAATAGTGCAGACAACTGCATTGGGAAAGTACTGATATCAGTGGAAAGCAGTGGTGGAAAGCACCATTGGAAAGAAAGAAAACAAGTCAATGTACAAGTCACTAGCCAAATTCGACGATCTCGACGCGCGAATTTCAAATGACGAAGCAGAAGTAATAAAAAAAAAAAATAGTCAGAGTGCAGGCGAGCTGGTGTAAGTTGAACATGATTGCAGAGGTCGGCATTTTAGGTCGCCCTCACTCACCCTCACCCTCACAGCCACACTCACCTAAGCCCCTCACTCACCCTCACAGCCACACTCACCTAAGCTCCCCACTCACCCTCACCCTCACAGCTACGCTCACCTTCAGCCCCCCCCCCCACTCATCCTCACCCTCACAGTCACACTCACCTTCAGCACTTCACTCACCGTCACTGAACCTCACGGCCCTCACGCACTCACCGCCCTCACGCCCCTCACGGCCCTCACCGCCCTCACTCACTCATGGCCCTCACGCCACTCACCGCCCTCACGCCACTCATTGCCCTCACGGCCCTCACCGCCCTCACGGCCCTCACGGCCCTCACGCACTCATAGCCCTCACCATCCTCACCGCCCTCACGGCCCTCACGCACTCATAGCCCTCACGCCACTCACCGCCCTCACGGCCCTCACGGCCCTCACGGCCCTCACGGCCCTCACTCACCCTCACACTCATGAATTTTCCTGGTTCAGAAACTCACTCATCCTCACCTCACATGTGAAGATGAGGGTGAGTGAGGGTGAGTGAGGGCCCTCATGAGTGAGGTTTGCCGAGGTATGCATGATTGTAAACCTGAGACTGGGGCAGGAAGAGAACACAACAGAAGGTAGGAAAAAAACACACCAAAAGTTTTTTTTTTTTTTTTTTTTTTGTGGTATTAGTGTTGTTTATATGTGTATCCTTGGACTTGTTCGAGAAAGTCGCTGTGTTATCCATTTGTGGTTCGTGGTAAGAGGGCAATGTCCTTCTCATTTTTGGAGATGGCCCCAGTTCCGGCTGGTAGCAGTGTATCACTGGAGCTCTGCGCGTGTAGAGCACGAGACGGCACGAGCCCTCTCGTGCACCGCCGTTTGTCTCCTGTGAACTAAAGTTATGGCGGCGTCACGCATGCGCCGAACGGTTGGTGAGATGGGTCTATTAGAGCGCAGCTCTTGAGGAGGAGAGTATGCCCCTCCTCCTCCTTGTCCCTCGTGACGTCATTCCTGAAGGTCACTCTTGAAGGCCTCATGAAGGTCGTGGCCTTCATGACGTCATTATGAGAAACGTCCCATAATGCAACGCGTGGTTACGCCGATACCACTCAAGCCGGAAACAGGCACCTAAGAGCTGCGCTCTAAAAATAATTTTGAACCTTAATGCGGGTTTTATCGTGTCGGCTATCCCACCACTTTACAGGGCTCTCAGCTGCGAGTGGAGGCACCATCTTTAAAAGGGGCTGTGTATCAACCTCGACACTCCAGAAAAGTTTTACCTAGGACCACAAAGTGAGCATGCGGTGTCAGCAAGCTCAAGCGATTTCGTTTTGCTCTGTAACGGACCGTTCCAACGTTTCTGGAGGATGGAATATTGTTTCTTGCCATTTCAGATAAATCTTTAGATATCCAGCTAGTGATTTTAGGCACCAAAATGGCCAAAATGTTGTTATTTTGAAGCGAAGCTGATTCAGTGGCTGTAGTTTCACCTATGCATCCCAATAAAGCGTACAAGCACGAGGCTGGTTCACACATTTGTTCCGACTGTGATGCCTTAACACGTTTACTGCGTTGCATCGTGCAGCACAGCGCCTCCCTATTGGCTCGTTGTGTCGCCAGAGCAACAGCTCGACGCAAGCTGTCTTAATGAGGCCCAACTGGTTGCAGCCGCACTTGAAGGCAACTGTGTGAACGAGTCTTTAGATGCACCTCGACTCTTTGTCTGCACAAACTCCCACACAGCAGGAGCAACCGTCGAAGCTATACTCAGTTCACCCTTAAGCCAGAACTAGAAGCTCCGCCTTCAGCGCGAGTTTGCTGGCTTCCGCAGTGCTTTGGTTGCGCATGCCTGCGCGTTCACACTTGTGTTAGCAAGGGCAGACAGCTCGCGCTGAAGGCGGAGCTTCTAGTCTCAGCAACGGAGTATAGGGGCCTGGGCTTCTGACCTTCGCCGCTGTACAAGTGTACTAGGGGCTTGTCTAATCATCTGGCGCAGCTGAGCATCACAATCTTTTCCATTATTGCTTATCTCCTGTTTGTGAAACAATAAGAGAAGCACTGTTGCATCGGCCCAGGACCATCATTTCGTGAGACTTGTTGTTGGGTTACCTGGTTCAAGATGTTGAGGAAACTACCGTAAAATCCCGAGATGCCCCACCCCGAAATATAGCCCATTTATATTTTTTTAGCTTGATTAGCTACATTTCTTTGAACACCGAAAGATAGCCCACTCCTAGTAGTAGTACTGTTGGGACCAATGATGGCCTCGGCATAAATGCGGCTAGTTAGCCAAGGCGAAATATAAGCAAACGTTGCAGACTGGGAAGTAGTCATCTTTGCATTATTGCCCCTTGCCATGATAACAACCTTGGAAAGGACACTTGACCTAAAATAAGCTTTTTCCAACTTTTCTAGATTGGACACTGAAAGTCAGCCCACTCCATATTTTCACCCGATTTCATCTTTATTTTAGGTGGGCTATCTCCAGGAATATTACGATACTAGTATGCACATAAACAAACAAAGAAGCACTTGTTCGAGTTCCCTTCCTCGTGTTCCGACCCTGTTTGCACATACTAGTTTCCTTGGCACCATCATTTCACAAGTCAAAGTGTAGTCATATGCTGGAGGACAGACATGAACACAAATTAAGAAAGCAAGTAATTTTCAAGGAAATCCTGCAACATCATGGAGTTTGAAATCCCACTAAGAATGTGTTGCCAAGATATGATAACACATCGTTTTCGACAAAATTACTAGTCAGGCACTGCCAACGAAACAGACAAAGAATGCCTATCTGTCTGTTGGGGGTGCTGGGCTGACCAGATGCCAATCTTTCTTTGGAACCAATCACTGACCAGCTGTGAGGGTCCACCAGTGGAGGAATCTCCAAAGACTGTAAGAACTTTACACTTGGAAACAATGCCCGGAAGATGTCCGACTGGCACCTGCCACGATTTACCTTTTTGTCGGAGTCTGCAAAAGGTCAACAAATTGCGTCACGGGGGCTGTCTTGAGAAATTTCTTAAACCGTTGCAATCCTGACAGTTTGACGTACAAGCGGCAGTGCAGCAGGCGACGCGCCCCTAGATTTAACTTCCGAGCTACTCAAGTGATCGGAGTGAAATTTGCAGGGGAGATTTTATTGTCAGATGTAGGTGTACTGTGCATACTTTCAGCTCCCTAGGACAACTTTACATACCTGCATAAGATGCATTACTCTTTGTTAAGAAACTATGTTATGCAAATGAAGCTATTAAGAACCATTTCGACTGCATGAATGGGGGATGTGGGACTTCGGGCTATCTAGCTTTTATAACTCATATGTAAATATTTCAGGAAGAGTTATTACCTCAAAATATCAGATGCATACCTGTCCCAAGTAAATTTTTGAAAGTATTTTTTCAACGAGGATTGAACAACTTAATATAAAGTAGATAGCCCGATTTCCCAATAAATTTCAGTTCAGAAATATCTCTATTGTGGTATCGGAATACTTTTACCTTCAAACAAAAGATTCCTTCGTATGAAAGTTGCAGCAAAAAGTGGAACTGAGGAAAATGCATTCCAACATTGAACTCCTTTACCTTGTTACCGTCTCACGTGTTGAAAATATTTAATATCAACACTATTTGGCGTATGGTTATCAAATTTAGTGTAATGGTGTATAATTAGTTTCCACAACTGAAAACCTCCATTTGAGAAATGAAATTTTTACAAAAAAATGTTGCAGTATCCATCAGTGGATGCACAGACGATTCCAGTAACCAGCATTTGTGTCTCGATAATTTGGTTCAATGCATGACAGCATGACCGGGGAAGAAATTCGCTGATCATAAGGGGCTGCAATAATTGCAGACATTATAAATCGTACGATGACCCCCCGAGTTGTTGAGTCTTGTTAATATAAACCACCTTCGTTCCCTCCAAAATAGTCCCTAATGAGAGCTGAGCAAAGTAACTAGGCAGAAATGCGCATATTTGCCCAGTTCATCGCCGAAAATTATGTCTATATAGGTGGTGGGGTGTCCATATTAGCCAGAAACATCTGTTTTCTTCAGTCGTGCATCTAACATACAAGAAAGTGCAATGGACAACTGGATACAGGCCATGCTTAAGACAACATTTATTATCAACCAAAGAGATCATACACAACGCTTTATTCGACAAAAGGAAAAAAAACAACTTAGCACAAAGAAAACTACACAGCCGTTACACAGGAGAATGCGAAATGAAGCGTCCTCTCAATATGCATCTTTTCATGTACATAACATCTTTTTTTTTCTCTTTCACAAGTGGTGGTTGTTGCAGTTACAGACATTGCTAGTTCAAAGATCACATTACATGCAAACGGAAGTATATCGCGCAAACCGCGAACGTTAAACGCAAAGAAAAAAAAAATGAACAAGTGTTTGGGGGGCGCAAGCTTCAAAGACTCCAGCTGATTTGGGCGCAAAATATGGGGCCTTTGACGCTCGAACACAGCACGGGGGAGACGCAGTGAAAAAGGCACGAGTTATGATACAAAAAATGACGTGTGTCACGCCAATTGTTACCACAACACTGCTTTTTTTTTTTTTTTTTCATTCTTCCCTTTAATTATTATTTTGTTCCTATGTGGAGCCCAAGCTTAAGAAAGCATAGCTAAGCCCCGTGCGCCTAACTGCCAAAAGTTGGGACCGTCGGTTTCGAGTGAGTCGTCCGAAGTAGCGACAACAAACTCCTAAAACGAACAACAGAAGAAAAAAAAAAAGAGGAAATTAAGAAAAGAAAAAGTGATATACACCCATCAACGCCAACTTGAGTACTTTAAGCAGGTCCACCCAAACCCCATTCTTTCCCACCCTTCGGGTTACGACGAAGACCTCGAAGATCCGCCAACGACCGCAACTCGTCGAGAGGTCGACCAAAGCAGAGAGCCGCTCCAAAGATCAACTTGGGAAAAATCCATCCACGTTTTTCGTTTCTTTTTTTTCACTTTTCTATTCCAAAACGGCGGGAAACCCAAACTCAAAGCAACTTGGGAACAAAGAAATAAAAAGAGAAAAAGAGGGCCAAACTCTTCCGCAATGACACTGCGAAAGCGGGTGGCAAAAAAGATCCAAGGTTTCCACGCCGAGAATGGGAGAGAAAAAAAAAAGGCCGGGTCTAAAAGACGACAAAAGAATGGGAAAAGAGTTTTTGTTTGTTTGCCTAGGGGAAAGGGGGATAAGAGGGGGGGGGGGGTGAAAGAAGGGAAGAGAGAGGGGGTGGTTACATGAGACAGCACCTCTTCTTCTTCCGCTTCTTGACCTGGAGCGCCGCCCTGGTGGCCATTTCAAACACCTCCCGCACGCCCTCCTTAGTCTTAGCCGAGCATTCGAGGTAGCCAAAGGCGCTGATCTTGTCGGCCATGGCTCGACCCTCGTCGCTCTTCACAGGCTCCTGCTTCATCTTCGCCAGCTCCTGCAGCAAAGGACATTCGGTCAGGACACTTCGCAGTTTGACCGACGCGTCCACCCCTAGTCAATGCCACCTAGGAGAGAGAAGGCTTGTGCACCTCCCCCCCCCAGTAGTCCCCACTAACGAATCCAAGCAGCGCCGCACAGCTTGCGTCGGCATCGCCAAGACGGACACGTCTGCTGCTTTGCAGCGTCTCTTGTTGAGCTTCTGTGCATTTGTTCAGCATGATGACGCTGTGAGCATGCTGAACAGTCTTCAGCGTAATGACATGCTCGGGTCTGGTCTTCTAGGTGGTGGATTGCAAGGGATGGCATGTTGGCTAGGGCGCAGATTTTTCCGGCGTTTATGGGGAAAATTAGAGACCGTTTCTTGGCGCTCATTTTCTCTTCTGCACGTCGGAGTAATCTGGCGACCCGTTCCCCGCAGACGCTAAGAACAACGATCATTTGTGATACAAAAATTGTAGATAAACAAAAGCCCAGAAAATCCTAGAGTACAAATTTAATTTAGAATTTGTAAACACCCTGACACTTCACAGTTGCAATGTTGCAAAAGTGCTCACTACTATGAATCTAAATGCCGGTCAAAGTTTGAGTGTTCTTTAACATAACCACCAGGAGCTATCCAGTTTAATCTAGCCCTGCTACTCTTCAGTTTCATGCGATAACAAAAAGTAAACTGCTACGATCGTTCCCAAGCAAACTGCTGCTGCCAAGAGGAAGGCAAGTCGCACTTTCTTCTTTTGCAAGACTCAACCAATAACAACCAACAGTGTAGCTTCGAACACTGTCGTCTAGCTAAAGCCTGAATGGAACAGACGTCGTGACCACCCGCGGTGATCAACTAACTGACCTATGCCACTGTCTTTCAGGACTGGTGACTCCATGATTTGTAACTGGCAGGGGGCTTGATTTTAGGTGAGAGTATGCACCTGACGACCGCTTAAGAAAGGAGGGTTTCGAGGAAAGTGATTCCTCACTTAGGGCTAACGTTTCCAGAAATGGATGTTTTTTCAGTTTTAACCGATTCTGCATTTTTGACACAAGCAGATGTTTATAGGTGCTTTCGTTTAAAACAGGAAAGTCTGCGGCCTTCTCACAGCGTCCTTTGCGGTCCATTGTAAGGAGTAACAGAGTTTAGCACCAAATCCTACACTTCAGCGACCCCATTCCCCATTTTGGGGACTTATTTAGCAATGTTCCCCATCTTGAGGGCTGCTTTATAATATTCCCCCTTTCAAACAACTCACTTTTTAATGTTTGCCATCTTGTGGAATATGTTTTAAGTTTTCACCATTTTGGAAACAACTTTCTTATTCTAGGGACCATCCTTTCCCATTTCAGCCATTCTAATCTACTTCATCATTTCCCCAAGTTTGGAGATCCTACTTTACCGTTCCCCATTTCGAAGACCATGCTTCCCAATGTTCCCAGTTTTCCCCATTCCAGAAGCTCCCACACCATTCCGTTGAAATGAGGGGAGAAAGGGACGTGCCTTGACAGTGGCGACGTCCGAGCGCAGGTCCTTCTTGTTGGCGACCAGGACTATGGGGACGCTGGGGCAGAAGTGCTTCACCTCGGGGTGCCACTTCTCCAGGATGTTCTCCAGGGAGTCGGGCGAGTCGATGCTGAAGCACATCAGGATCACGTCTGTGTCCGGGTACGACAGCGGGCGCAGCCGGTCGTAGTCCTCCTGACCCGCAGTGTCCCACAGCGCCAGCTCCACCTGCACCCACAAAGAACCAACCAATCAGCTCTGACCCTCAACAACTTGACAGACTAGGCCGCCATCTTTTCACTAGCTCCACCCACATACATTGTTCCAAACTCTTAATGCATGCCCACTAGTACCTCTTTTGATTGTAGGAGAACCAGTTCAATCAGTCTTCTTAAGGTTATAAGGTTATAGAACCTTAAAGCTACAAGGTTCTCGGGTTTTTCCAGGTCAACCTTTCATTGCTTAAAGGGGCCCTCCAATCATATTTAAGTGTCTACCTTTTTTGCGGTTTCCACGTCTCTTGGGGTTTGGGCAAGCCAGCGGGCACGGAGAGAGTAACTAAATATCAGTGCGTCATATTCTAACCGGATGACTGGGAAACCCCTCCACCTATGTGGGCAACCCGCGGTGCCGAAAGTGTGCAATATGTGAAGTCTTTGGTTCTGGGCTTACTACTGGTCAGAGCCGCTAAAAGCTTTTTAGTCGAAATACAAAATATAAGTGGTGCAAACCGTTTCAATTATTTGTAAAAGTAGTTTTTGTTCACCATTATAGACCAGAAAAGAAAAAAATGCAGTTTAAAAAGTACGGACACAAGAAATGACCCGTCAACCCGCCAGCAAGCGGTGGAAAAGGTGCCCAATGTACGCGGCGGCGCTGTGGTCGTATCAACTGGAGGATCCAACCGGTTCCAAGCATTCCCAAGACCTTTGGCAAGCAGCTTTGGCTTGCAATTTGTCCTTTTGGCGGTATAGCAGCGCGAAGTGGCTCCCGTTCTGAACTAATCTTTATCCCGTGTTTGCTGTCATTTCTGGCCAATGAAGTGCCATGCCGAATTAGTTTAATCACGCAGCAAATGTAATGCGAGCCGCCTTGGCTGCCCGCTTCATACAGCCTAGCCAGAACATGCTTTAGTGCCGCTCTCTTGAGCCGTCGACACTGAGTGTGGCAGCTGTGACCGCTCGCTGAGCTCATACCCCTCATCTAGTTCAGGGCCATTCAAGCAACCAAGGACGTCATGAAAGAGGTTATTTTTTGCTTGTATTTGTAATTTTAATTTGTCTATAAGTTTTAGAATAAAGCGAAATTCGAGACAAGAAAAGTGTCATCAAGTTAGCACGTTCAGTACGCTCAGGTTCGGTGCAGATTAAAAAACAGTATAAAAGTCATTGCAGGGCCTTTTTAAGAGGCGTGTCTGCAGCATTCAGGATTTCCTTCTTGAGAACTCTTGCAAGCGGTGACCGTAGGAAGTTATACAGTGCCGTTGAAAGAAAGAGAACCATTGGCTTGTCGGTCTGAAATACTGCCAAAAATGGTTCAGTTCTTCAGCAATTGACAGCCTGAAGGCTAAATTTGCTGGCAACAGCGTTCACTACGGCACTGTAGCTGGAGCATGTTGGCCGCTTGTTTGCCTTCGCTGAACACTCTACGAACTCTGCCGAGTTCGGAAGAACTTGTAATGCCCTATGATGACCTTGCTGTTTTCGAGCCACCTTATTGCACAGAACTTGAGAGGAAATGGTGTGCTCCTGGTGAAGTTGGCATAATTAGCACGACGAGCAGGCACATACTTCAAGAGGTTGTAGCTGCAGCAAAGAAATGCTACTGCATCCCAACCAGTTGCAGCATGGCCTGCCTTGTCTGAACCATTCATTATGTGCAGCCCACAACTTCTGATGTCCGGAATATTGTGGCTCTTGTCCGATTCCTTCAGTTCTTCCTTCAGCAACCTTAGAAACTTGTTTACACTTGGACCATCCATGGTAACTTGTAGTATCTTTGCTTGCTTTATTTGTCCTGTGACCTCACTGAATGCTGATGTCAGGTCCTCCGCACAGGTGTGGGCCAGGAAGCACGAAGTGAGGTACTGTGCATTCAACGGTGCCATTGGTAGTGTCATCCGAATATCGAACAAGCATATCCATCTGTTGCTTCCGAGTCACTTTGTTGAGCGATTCTCGTCAAACGAAACAACTATGAAATGCACGCTGGCGAGGCTTGATAGCAGCTTATTCCGAAAGTAGGATGCAATACCATGGCAGATGGTATATCCTACCTTGCCCTTCCCTAACTAAATTTTTGCAGCGACTTCACACGCGGGAAACATGAAAGGGAAGAGTGAGGCCGATGCTGCTGTAAAACGAAGGGATCCGTGAATCACTACCGAGTTTAAGCACCAAATCATCTCGGCGTTTGTCACAGCACTCTTCAGTAGAAAGCCGCTCATCGACATCTTCACACTTGTTGTGGTGGCTGCAGGCTCTTCAGGGGCACATGCGCTGTCTCCGCTACATCCAACCGAAACGTTTGTTGCTGCCGTAAAAGATGACAGAAGTCCAGATTGGGAACGGCTAGACTGAGACTTCAAAGCAGCAAGGTGCTTTTTGCTTGATGCGCGACTGGAAACTGCCGTGTTTCCCGTGCTACTCAAAGAAAACGTTTTGTGGCACATTGAGCACTGTAAGGATCTTTTTGCACGGGCTTAAAGGCTGTGCAACAGTTTCAGTGCTTTGCTTAAATAATTTGGGAGTTGGTGTCTCAACCTTTCTAAAGTAAAGAACAAAAAGACGCTTTTGCCTGCATGTTCTAGTTTTTATTTTAAAAATGGACAAAGATTGAGGTTTTCGGCACCCCTCAATTCCTTCACTATCTTCTGAGTCACGTGCGCTGTGATGTCAATGGGGGTTGCACAGGGTTCCGGAGAAGCTCTCTCTCTAAAGCCATCAGTGAGCAGCGAGATCTCATCCGCTCGCGACCGCGTGACCATGTGCTGGTGGGCGCAGCGCAATTCATATGGTGAAAGGAGGAAAGTCTCATCCAGGTCCGGCCATACCCGTCCGGCCCTGTCCCCCTCCACCTCCGGCTTCTGGCGGCTGTTCGCGGTAGCAGATAGAGCTGACGGTTCTGTGGACCTAGGATAGATGGCGCCACTAAAACTCCGTATAATAAAAGTTTTGTCAATGATACCGAGTTTTTGACGCATTTATATTTCTACAAGATATACAGAAAAGTTACCTTTTATTGAGTAGGTATTCACACAACTTACTATCTTTCTACAAGACCATCATTGACGTCACACCACATGTTCTCATGGCCGCCGCTCGCGGCGGCAGGTAGGGGAATATTTTTATTTTTGCCTCCCAGTTACGCAGCGGAATCGAAACATTTTGAACGAAGGAGGTGTGTTTTCTGTCCTTTGTGACAAGGTGAACAATGTCAAAAGTAGAAGATACCGATTCTTTTAACGTTAAAATCGTTGCACAGCTCCTTTAATCCAACTTGTATATTCCGAAAAATTCGGGTTTGTCCAGTCTAGACTAAGCAAGCACTTTCTTGCCACCAACACTGTCAGTGATGAGGCCACTTCCGGAAACACAATGAAAACTTAACGCTCAACCACGCACGTCAATAACCGAATGGCAGCATGGCTGCCAGATGCACACTTTCGGATACCTTTGGCTTAAATTAGATTGGGATCTGCAGCTGCGACTTCCCCATTTTTTTCTAAATAAAGTGGTTCTAACTGGATCTAGCCTAGTGTTGCGCCCTCAATCCAATCCAAGCATGGCTTGAACTGGATTTGTCGGCTGTTCCCTTTGCATTGTGTAGCACACTCTACATCGGGTGAGCAGAGCCTGCACTCCGCTCTAAGCAGAATTTATTGCCTATTTTTCTGTCCCCAAGTCCTCAAGTCTCTGCTGAGGGCACTCGATGGCGTAACTGGTTCATTTTCCCCGACTGGGTGCGTCTTTTGACAATATCCCTGACAACTCCCCATTTCTCCCCGGTAATTAAACTTTCCCGTCTATTCCCGGTTTTCCCGGTCGCTAGACACCCTGACTACTCTATAGAACAGGTGTCTCCAAACTTTATGGCTAAGGGGCCAGATCAGGTGCCTGTCAGTCTTGAGGGCCATAAAATAAACAAGTAAATATAAATTAGAAAAAAAAACACCAAGTAAATAGACCTAAATACTAAGCATTTCAATACAGATCCAAAATTACAAAAGAATCCAAGGTGTAAATTGAAAATCTACAAGTGAATAAAAGGACTCAAGTAATAGTACAGTTAAATGCACTGCGAAATTCAATATTTAGCGAACTGCAACAGCGCACAATAATTGTAGCCCAAAAAACCCTCTGCGCGTAAATCAAATCGTGTAAGAACGCTGGCGTACTTGCACAAGGCCAAGGAGAATGGGAGGACAGATAACGACGACATGCGATGCTTATGACACAGGGCACTAAGCACAGTACACATGAAAATGCAAAATAATTTGAACGTACACAGGCATGAAACAGGGGATCTACAGTCTATCCACGCAATGCATCTTGTTGGCAAATCTTGTGTCACGAAACTAGGTTTTGGGAAGCAAATGCCCCGTGTTAACACAACCGAAAAAGTTACACGGCTCCGAAAAAGGGTGAGCTTGCTCCTTGCTTCTGGAGCAATATTTTGATGAAACCTCACCGAGGCCTGTCAAACACTTGAAGGAGAAATGCGGACGTTGGCAATGGCTGTTTGACATCGCTACGACATCTGACCTTTGAGGCGGAGCAAGCTTTTGGCGGAGTCTGATTTTTGGCCGATCTAGTATCCGAGCCTAAGCCGAAAAAAGAAGACAAACATGGCGACGAGCGACAAGCGAAGAGTACGGGTTGCATACGGGCGATATGGGTTTGCAGTGCGGGTGGTGGCGTGTGCAAGCAACGCATACAATCATGATGGCTGTGGATAATTAATCTTTTAGAGGTACAAAAATGTCTGAAATACTTCGAGATCATCCGCCTGTTTTTTGACGTTTGCAGTCTTTTTGGGTTTGGCAGGCCTCGTAAACCCAGTGAGCTGAACCCAACGTTACTTTGGCCGAATCTAACAAAGTTTACAGAGAGGTACGTGGGAGTGGACAGGGGACACTATTTTTCTGTCTTTTACATGAGCCCTCACACCAAAATATGTCTCTTCCTACTGTGCCTAGCTCATACCATTCGATGCAAAATGCTTGATAG